TGGGGCTTAACAAGGAATTGCAGTTTATGGATGGCAATCCTTAGTGATGGTAATAAATGCCCGATGGCATTAGAAAACGAATGGCGTGGGAACAAGAGTTAGTCGGCAATCTTAGGAATTGGATGGTGTTTTATGGTACGAATTAAGGAACCATAAACATTAATAAACTTTAATAAAAGAAAACAAATGGTGACAGAATTCTGGGGCTTAACAAGGAATTGCAGTTTATGGATGGCAATCCTTAGTGATGGTAATAAATGCCCGATGGCATTAGAAAACGANAAAGAAAACAAATGTCCAAGAAGGAATAAACCATCGCAATAAAAAAAACTATATTGTCATCAATGGTTTAAGGCAGGACAAGTGGTAAATATATTTACCGTGTATAGACCGCTTGATCAAGGACAAGATGATGATTAACGACAACGGCCAAGAAATAGAAAATCATATTTAAGGCCTGGGAGAAGCTGACACTAAGAGATCTAACTTTGAAACTCTGAAAATTTATTTTGTTTGTAATTATAATAATTCGTGAATTTTTGAAATCAATCGAAACAAAAATGAAAAGACTTCCGACTGCAGTAGCTTCAGCCCGAGATCCCGATTATAAGAAAATGCTGGAGGATATTGATGCATTTGAAAAAAAAACAAAACATATAACGGATGTGGGGCCAAAATGTTTTGTCTGCGAAAAAGGTGTACCGGTGGGAAGAATTCGCTTTTTCGCAAACCAAAGGCAATTTTATAAACATATGTACCAGTACCATTTCAATTATTTTGAGTAAGTATCAAAATATTGTTAATTATTTTTATTCTTCATATAAATAATTTTTTAATCAATAGTTTCATCCGAAAAAACACAAGGCATGGTGCCAAACCAGATTCGTCTCGAGTGATTATCGATGAGCCATCAACGAGTGCAATTGAAATGGATGAAGAGCCATCAACGAGTGAACATTTGATGGAAATTGATGATAAAGATCGTGAACTTCATGAATATGACTATTATGAACAAATGGAACGGTATCAAGCGGAAAAACGAAAACAGGAAGAAGAAGAAGAAGAAGAAAAAATCGCTAGTGATGTCGATGATGATAATATCGAAATACCGTTCATGTTTTTGAACGAAAAAAATTTAGAAGGTAATTGACTATTGCAAAAGTCAATAAAAACTTGCTAAAATTTTTCTAATTATTTACTTCCTGCATAGAATTTGAAGCAGAAATAAGACCAAACAAAAGTAAACATGAGCCAATATTTCTGAAGAATTTGTTTCGAACAAAATATAAAGAAAATTATAAGCAGTTCCTTTTGGATGTTAATTGTTGGCGATATGAAGAAAATATGAATATGCAAACAATTAACAGAATTGTTCCATCAACAATAAATCACTGTTTATCTGCTGTACCAAATATCGAAACAAACAAGGAATGTAAAGAAGTGTATGATAATATGAAGACTTTATCGAATAGTCCATACTATCTTAACCAATTCCTTGAATTACTGCCAACATATGTACCACCAGGTAAAGCAATCAAATTAATTGAATGACTAAAAGTAATTATTATTCTTTTTACTGAAGAACATGAGAGATGGGAATCAAAAACTGAATTTAAATCAGAATTAAGATTTTCTTGGGTGAAACCAAGTAAAATTTGTGAAAGAATTTTTCTCAACAATAAATACATAATTTCCCAATTGGTTAAAGAATCCGTATGCAAACAAGCAAACAAATTTGAAGAATTGAAGTATTCTGAACATCTAAACTGCAGTATTGAAAGACGCAATGAAATGATGGGTAAACTCCAATTGGAGTTCGGATTCGATGATTTCTCCATTACGAATCCGATCGGTGTCAAGAATGTGAATCACATGTATATGGCATTGTATCTATCATCACCAACGATTCCATTACAATATCGATTAAAAAAAAATGATATATTTGTTTTAATGTTGATCAATAGATTAGAAATGAAAAGGGCGGGATATGAACTAAATGATGTCCTCAAACCTTTGATTGAAGATCTAAAAAACATCATGAAGAATGGTATCGTTAAAGAATATATCGATGATACTGATCAGAGAAAAAAGATGGTGTTTAAAATTTGCGTAAGTGCTGTTTGTGGGGATAATAAAGGAATATATGAACTATTGGGTAATTATTTAATTTATTATTGATGATTTGTTAATTTTTAATTAATAACAAATAAAAATGATTAATTATTTCAGGTTTCCAGACATCATTCACCCGCAATACTTTTATCTGCAGAATTTGCGGCGCCAAGGCCTTCAAACAAGAACTCAGACAATGTAAAAATCCGATCGATTTCCAAGGTGTTTTATATCAAAATGCTCTTATAAGAGATATGGCAAAAACAAAGACGTCGGACAAAGAGTATGGTCTTAAAGCCGAATGCATTTTTGCTGGATTACCGAATTTGACTATATCCAACATTGCTCCGCTCGATTGGTAATTAATTTACCAGAAATTTTGTTTTGACTATCTTTAAAACAAAATATATTCTTTATTTTACAGTATGCATGATTTCGACGAAGGCATTTGTGAAAACATCATATTTGCCATTATTAAATTGAATAAAATCGAAGTCAATAACATCGAAAGAGCAATTAAAAAGATTCAATACAACGAGGACAGAGTCAAAATAACAGGCTCCCATCGTGGAAATTTATCAACATTCAAAATCAGAGGAACCGCTGCATCGGTAATATTTTTTTCAAGAATTTTCCCATATCAACTAACTTTTTTCCCTTATAAGAAATTCGAATTTTTCTGTCGTTTCGATGAAATACTAATCAACCTAAAAATTCCATTGGTTCCAGATACAATTGCATACAAATTGTATACAAATGCCAAAGAATTCGCACAGCTTTGTCATAGTTTTGAATTGAATGCAGGTGATATTCAAAGATTGAAAACATGTGCAGAAATTATTGTCGATTTGTATTTATCTGTATCCGATGATTTAAACATCACGCCAAAATTCCACAATATTTTGCATTATTGGCAGGATGCCGCAAAATTTGGATCAATTTATAGGAACTCCTCGTATAAATATGAGCGGGTACATCAAAGTAATAAGAGATCCATCGCGTCATCCAAAAATACTATCAATCCATCACTTTCCATGATAAATTATTCGCAAAGAAAAAGAGCGATACACTTATTTAAAGAGAATTTTTTTGAAATTGATTTTTACGAAAATTTACAATAATTCAACATCAAAAATCATTTCAGATCTAATGAGTCTTCGCGAAAATTGCCATGTTCAAGTCAATATTGATGGACCTTTTCAATGAATGGACGAAAATTATTTATTGTTTTACTTTTAAAATCATTTTTATTCGTTATTTATCACATCATTTAAAATAATACAACATTTATATTATTAATCACTAAGCTTTAACATTCAAATTCATTTATTAAATATTTTTTGCAATATTTATAACACGCGCCAAATATTTTTAGATCATAATTTTGCATAAATGCGACCATTTTTTAAAGTCCGATTTTAATTAAGAAAATTTTTAAAATTTTGATTTTTCAAAGTTTAATTTTAATTAAGAAAATTTTTCAAAGTCAGATTTTGACTTGAAAATTTTTTCAAAGTTTAATTTTACAAATTCCGATGTTGACTTGAAAATTTTTCGAAGTCCGATTTTGACATAAAAATTTTTAAAACTTTGATTTTGACATAAAAATTTTTAAAACTTTGATTTTGAGTTGAAAAATTTTTAAAATTTTGATTTTGACTTGAAAAATTTTTCAAATATCGATTTTGACTTGAAAAATTTTTCAAATATCGATTTTGACTTGAAAAATTTTCAAATTGCAATTTGGACTTTAAAAATTTTTCAAATTTTAATGATTTTTTCGCTATTTCAACAGTTTTTGTATTCAATTGGTTACAACAGACGACACTCGAGTGAAAATTTTGAAAATTGCCTCACGTGATCGCGCTATTTCCACAAAAATAGTCAAAAAAAGTTAAAAAAGCCTAAATTATTTTTCTCTGTGTAGACCTTCAACACCAAAAACTTGTACTCGTGTCATTGCATTTGGATAAATTGGTTGCATCCATGATGATAATAATAATGGTAAATGATTATGATAACGTGGCATATCCATTGTTAATTGTCGAAATTCAGTAACATATTCTGAATATATTGATATTAACAGTGTTGATATTTCTGGACAAATCGGAACGAGAAGATAACGTCCATTTATTAATGGTATGGATATTTTTGTAATCAAATTTCTTGATTGTATAGGATCAATTTGTTTGATTAATGGTAGCGATGAAAATTGATGTACTTTAAATTTACGATTCATTTCAATGGAATATAAACGAAAACCAATCGGTATGATTGGTGAATTTTTTTGTATTAAATTAAAATTTATATGCAAATGTTCATCATGATTTGGTTGATGGTTCGAATCTTGATCATCGGATTCGACCACTGTTGATGAATGATGATGATGATGATTTGTGGCAGAAGAGCTGGACATTGGACGATGAACATCGAAACGAAATTGTAAACTTGATGAATCACCACCAACACCAACTTTGAAGGATTTATTAACAATCAGCTGATGAATAGAATCTTTTCGATATTGATATGGTCGACAAATGGTTAATGTATCAAATAAATTTGGTACATTATTTAAAAGTATCCAAAATTCTTGCAGACCTTTTTTCGAATTCAATGATAATGTTGTTGTTGATTTGGAATTTTTAACACCATCCGCGATGGTATTTGTTATTAATAATGGAAGATTATCTTGTTGATGATCTGATGAAGATTTGGTAGTAGTGGTAGATGATTTGGATGATAATAATCTTTTCAATGTTCCCATTGGTTTTTTAATGTTTCGAATTAGGTAATAACGATTTGAAACCAAGCCGAATGGTGCCGAACCTATTGGTTTGAATTCCTATTGATTTGCAGGGAGAGAGAAAAAGGTTAAAGTTAGTCAAGGTAAATCCAAAAATGATTAAGTTACCTTTGTTTTAAGAATTAATAATGATTTTGATTGAAATTCATGGCTAATTAGCGACCATAATGAATGGTCGGAATTTGAATTTGAATGATGATGACCAGAATGACCAGAATCCGAATGATAACTAGAAAGATCAATCGTTTCAACTGAACCACCACCAGTAAAATCAATTAATGCACTATGTAATGAACCATTTGTTATCATTGATTCATATGAACCGAAAAGTTTTGCATATGCTTTTTCCAATAATGGTAACCACCATGATGAATTTGACCATATTGGTCGTGTGAATATTGGTTCTGAATCAATTGATGGTAGACGATCATCGATAACAATTTTATGCCAAACGCCTAATTGCCATATAGTAAAACGTACAATACCATGATCACGAAAATTTTGTTCATCAACATTGATTAATTGATCGAATAATGATCGATGTTGTGATATGGATAATGCTGCTGCAACTAACCATGGATTTGGTGAATGACCAACAAACAAATGATTATGTTCAGTTTTAATCATAGGTAATAATGTTGGTTCAAAATTGAAATCATTTTCATGCAATAATTGTTTTGGTCGTTTCCAAACAGCTTTACTGATGTTAAAACGTGAACGAAATGCAGATGTTTGATAAATTTGACGATCATTTTGTTTAAATTGATCATCGACGAATGTCAATCCGATATCAGCTGAACGTTTTGCTAAACGACGAAATGATTGATTACCAAAACGATGAAATCGTTGACTTGATCGTAATGGTCCTGGTTCAATTTTTGTTGTGGTTGAATTTGTCATTCTTGTTTGAATCGTTTCAACTTAATCATCGAAAGAAAGAAATGCGGATGGCTGTTTTTCAGCTAGTAAATCAGTAAATCACATCAACATTATGGTTGGCTGGCTGGCTGTTTTTTTCGAACAAACGATATACGATATATTATGGTGATGATGGAAATCGAATCCTAAGATTTTCATATATAAAAATGAAAAGCGAGAAACAAAACAAAAAAAGTTAGATAAGTGAAAGTGATTAAGTGATGAAACAAAATATACCAAAAATAGAATCCAAGATCTCTTTCGCAGGCAAATCAGCAAACAACCGGATTAAATAACGATTACCTTTTTGATGATGGCAAAAAAAAATGATTTTTTCTTTTTTTCTGGATTGAAGAGAAGCAGTAAAAGAGCGCCAAACAAACAAACAAATGCAGCTGCTGTAAAGTCGAGCAATCAACCAAAACACAAACCAAAAAAAAACCAAAACAAACCTCACTTTCTGACTAGGTAGACGGAAAAACACAGAAAAAAACAGGTATTGATGGAACCAACCCAAACAAACAAACAAACGAGCAAACATATCAGAGACAGCAAACTGGCTTGTTGTTTATTTTCATAAAAACTCAATGAAACGGACAAGGATTCATTTCCAAAAGTGGTTATAATCAAAACAAAACAACAAAAATCAAATCAAATCAACAACAACAGAAAAATATCGAGGTCAAACAGCTGCGCCAAACAAAAAATCGAAAATATCAAATTGGAAATGATGACCATAACCAACCATAACCATATCATTTCAATTTTTTTATTTCACAGAAAATTTATCAAAAAAATATCATATATAAAAATTTCATTTTGACATTATGCACATATAACAAATTATTTTAAAATAATAATTTCAAATTTGAAAATAGGAAACAGTGGATCACAAAGTGTTAAATTGCAAGTAATATTTTGTTTTTCAGGAAAATGAAAAATTCATTATCAATCAATCAATCAATTCAATAACCTTTTAAACGTTTCATTTTAGCTTTTTTCTGTAATGCTTTTAAACGTTTTTCCTGTTCTTCACGACGAATATCTTCTAAATCTTCACGTAAACCTTCACGTAATGAACGCATTTCTTCTTTCATACATTGTCCATAACTTGCTTCTTCAATATCATCTTCAATTATATTACGATATTTTCTTTTATCATAACCAAATATTTCACGTATATGACGTGAATATTCTTCTTCTGGTTCTTCGGGTTGTTCAATTGGTCCATCATCAATAAAATCAGCCATATCATCATCATATTCTTCATCCAAACCATCATCATCATCATCATAATCATCATTATCATCATCCATACCATTATCATCATAATGATGATTATTTTGTTGATAATCATTATAAATACCACGACGATATGTAGCACCAATTGGTGGTAATTTTGGTCTTGATGATGGTGGTGGTAGCATTCTTTGTTGTTGTTGTTGTTGATTATTTATTGGCTGTCGTTGTTGTTGTTTTAATCGATTACGATTATCCATCAATGATGATGATGATGATTGAAAAGTAGTTTTTGATATCACAGAAGATTTTTGTGGCATTTGTTTTGTTGATAAACAATCTGATGATGATGATGATTTATTCGAATCGAACATATTTACAGTGGATAACGTTCGAATCGGTTTTGGTTGTTGTTGTTGTTGTTGTTGACGTTGTGATTGCGGCATTCTTGTTTGCTGACCTGATTTGGCCATCGATGATGATGATAACATTGATTTACTACCAACACCATTATTATTAATCGAATGTTTTGCCATCATCGATAATCGATTACCATTTGTTGAATTTAAAGTTTTTGTTGTTGTTGTATTTTGTATTGATTTTGTTGGTAGCACTTTTTGTTGTTGTTGAGGAACTTGTCGTTGCTGCGTTGATGGTCTACCATTCTTTTGATTCAAATTACGATCAATATCACGATTTATCAATCTTTTTCTATCATTTTGATCAATCATTTTTGATCGTTGTTCGTAGTCGTCGGTTGCCATTTTCATTCGCTTAGTCACAGCGTCTGATTTATTATCCTTCATCATCGAATGATTTCGATCAACGATTGTTGCTGTCGTAGTCGCCATCGATTTTGAATGCGATGAATTCGGTGTTTTGATTGTTGCTTGTTGCTGTTTCGATTCGATCGATTTTTCCAATTTCTTACCACCACCACCATTTCGATAACAATCATCATCAATTTGTCGTTGTTGTTTGTCTTTAGCTGCCAATAATGTTTGACGTTTTTTTTCAGAATTTTTCTGTTGAAATTCTAATTCTTCTTTAATTTCATCTTCTAATGATTTTTTCGTTGATTTTTCTGCCGCAATTCGAAGTAATTCTTCATATGATAATGGTGGTGGTGGTGGTGCTGCTGTTTTCGTTTTCTTATCATTCGAATTTAATTTTTGCAACTTTGATTCTTTTATCACATCGGATATTGTTTTTTTCGTTGATTTCGGTGAAACTTTTACCGATTCTTCCCGTTCGATTCGTTTCATTAATTTATCACGATCTTTTCGGCTAAGACCATTCAATTGTTGATCCAAATCAATACGAGCTTTCATTCGTTCTTTTGTATCATCAATGGATTTTTTACGAATTTTCTCCTCAATTATACGATCATTATCAGTAGTTTCAATTCGACCAAAATTATTATCTTTTGTTCTTGATTTCATCATTGATGCTTTACGCATTGATTTGGAATTTTGTGCACGTAATGCTAATAAACGTTCTTTTTCTGCTTGTGCACGAAGTAAACGTTGTTGTTCTTCACGTTCTTTTCGGGCCTTGAATCGGGCAATTGCAGCTGGATCTGGTCCACCACCAACACCACCACGTTTCAATCCATTCAATCGACGTTGAAGCAAAGCTCGTTGTTCCGAATTTTGTTCAGCAGTTCGAAGTAAATTCTGATAATCCATCATTGATCGATTGATCGATCTGTTTGTAGGGTGAAAAAACAATCAACTAATTACATTCGTTAATGAAATAAAATGATGAAAAATCATCGAAAAAAAAGAAAAAAAAATGAATTTCGAGAAAAATCCTGGATTACATCACCACCGATATAAACAACAGATGAGTAAAATAACCTAAAATGTTTTCATACGTTGCATGTTTCATTCATATGATCAGTGATGTGTGTAAAAATTTGAAATTGAATTTAAATTCGAATAACTTACTTGATCTGAAAAGAATTTTGGCAAAATTTTTTTTTTTTGATTCGATTTGATTAATATCGATTCTTTGACCATCAACAATGGTAAACGATTTCGAATTTTTTCGATCGAACGATTCGAGAATATTTAAATCGATACAATTTTTGGGTAAATTATTTTACCATTTTTTTAAATTTGATTTTGATTCGTTTTTTTCTGGTTTTTGTTTGATTTGTATTTTCCAGGTGAACCCCGATTATCGACTTTTTGCTTTTTGCTCTTTGGTCTTTGAATGTTGATTACCATGATTAAACAACGACAACAACAACAACAACTATCGATAATATCGATTCTTTATTTATTGGCTTATTTAATCTGTCAAACTTATGGACAACAACCATCAAATAACGATACTGGTCTTACAACATCAACATTAACTATAGCATCGGATTATGATTATACGTATTTAAATGATTCAACTGATAGTCTTCGTGGTGATGATGATAAAAAAAATCAAACAACCAAAATAATCATAGAGGCTGCCACTGCAACTACTCCACATAATACGACTAAAAAGCATCAAACAACATCAAAACATCATCTTCCAACAACAACTGAAAAAGATAAAGAAAATACTGATCCATTAATACCATGGATTGTATTTATTGCATTCATTTTCATACCGATGATATTGATTGCATCAATCTTATTGTTATTGTTATTCATAACATTATTTGAAGATAGAAATCGTCGAAAAAAATCTCAAAGCGGTGGTGGTGGTAGTGGCGGTGGTGGTTCATCTACAATTATATCAACACTTGATTATCCAACAAAATTATTACCAACATTACCGGATGAACATTGTTTCCCTGAACCACATCAACAAATATCAGCAATGATACATGGTGAACCACGTCCTAAACATTATTATCTTGATGTTATGACAACAGTAAAATTTCTACAAACAAATCAACTGTATCATCCACATTCTGGATTATTATTTCGTTTATTACCAAATGTTTTATATGATCCATTAAAACATTGTAATATTCGTACGGATATTAGTGGCGGTATGATGGAAACACCAGCATCAAATCAAGTTTATAGTTCATTTACTAATGAAGTATTTGAACGTTATCAATTTATGTCATTTGATCCACAACGTGAACGTTTTTATCTTACTGAATATGATACATCGGCTATACCAAGATTACCTGTTGAATTTACTCCAGATGATTATTTACAAATTTATCAACATTTATTAAATAAATCATCATCCAAGAAAAAAAGTCGACAACAACCACCATCCGTGCCACAGCCAGCAACAACAACAGGTGGTGGTGGTGGTATTGATACAATATCAAGTAATCCACCGAATGATAATAATTTATCACAGAAAAAACATCCATTATTATTGGATCGTCGTGATTTTACTAAACCACAAACAGCTGATTATCATCATACACCAAGATCATTATTACCGAAAAGTGGTAAATCTAATAATAGTGGTCAACCACCAACATCTGTTGGTTTAATTCCAAAATTTGCTGATGAAGAAGAAAGTCAATATGCAAGTGTTATGACAACCAAAATGTGAATGAAAAGAAATGAAAGGGAAGGGGAAAAATTAAGAAAAGAAATTTTTAAATTTTTAATTTTTTGTTTGTTTTGTTTTCATTTATTATTATTATTATTAATTATTACAAATAACAAGACCAAAAATTTTTGTTCATCCGATGTTTAAATGATTATCGTCAGAATTTCATCAGAATTCTTCTATGATGATGATTTTTTTGAATCCACAAACCAATCAATATTACCATCAGGTTTTTGTTCACCAATCAAATTAATACGAACACCTTTATCGGTAATAAATACACCGATACCATCGTTGCCATTACCTATATCACGTAATGATGGTGATGAATTAATTTGTGATGGTAATTGTGCCCAAAGATGACCTTTAAATGCTGTTATAGCACGAAAGAAAATTTTTTTGGCAATTTGTTGTATAATTTGACTGCCACCATTACCACCACTGACTGATGATTGATTTGTATCACCTTTATCAGTGATATTGGCCGATGAAGAATTAGTTGATGTTGATTCATCAAATTCTTCGATTTCAATAATTTTTGGTTCAAATGATTCAGGCAGATCGATAGCATGTACAATGATTGGTAATGTAAATGGTAATTTAAATTGTTGTTGCTGATCCACATTTTGTTGTTGTGAATTTGGACGCCAATATTTTGAAATAGATTGAACTGGTGACCAAACAACTCGATTCATAACAAAATTTATTTGATTACGAAAGGTTTCACGGAAAATTTTCCAATATAAACGATAGCCATTTGTTGCAGCTGGATCTTCGGATAATCGAACATAATACATTCGAAATCGTTGTTGTTGTTGATTCGAATCTTTTGATGATGTTTTTTCTTCCGATTCATTCTTAACAATCAATGCTAATGTTGATGAATTTGTTGATGTTTGATTTAAATGAATCAATAAACTATCACTATGACCATCATCGATTTTTTTTAATAAATCGGAAACATTTTGATAAATACGTGACAGAGTTTGATTATTCAGATGAATTTGATCAATGTTTGTTGTTGATGTTTCAGTTGATGAACGTGCCATTGAAATTGCATCATGTAATGGACATTCATTACTCAAAGTAATTGTTGTGATTAAAATTGTCACCAATATGGAATACATTTTCATCTCTTTTGGATGGAATTTGAATTAAATCAGCCAGAAAATTTAAATTCAAATTTCGTTAAAAATCTTCAAAATTCAAAATATTTTTTTTTCGACAACGATCCAATGATGGCCACTCGATGACTAACTTTTGTGTTCTTGTTGTCCAGTTTTTTTTTCAGTTATGAACCGTTGTTGTTGTGGCTTATATTTTTTTAAAGTGTATCAAAGTAACAATAACCAAATGTCCAAGGTCAAAGTTTAACTTAATGTTTGATTTGGTTTGGTTCGGTGCAATTGCACTTGGTGTTCAAAGAGCTTTTTATCAGTGTTGACCTTTTTTTGCTAGATACGACAACACGACGAATGTTTTTCATGTTTTAAAAAAACAAACATGGCCGAACCCATAAAAAATAAAAGAAAAATATTGACCATGGTCCATTTGAATGACCAAGTATTTCTTGTTTTGAAATAGTGGTGAGGTGGTGGGGGTGGACAAATGTTTTTCAAGGACAAATTTCATTTTTTTTGCTTTGCTTTCAACTTTAAAACTTGAAAAGAAAAATTCTGCAGAAAAAAAAACCAAAATGACCAAATGTAATGAAATTTGCTGATGATACACATAAAAAGAAAAGCTTTCTCGGATTGATTTCTCGATGATAATGATTATCATCATGATGATAATCGAATTGAATATAATCAATCAGCTGATGATTTGATAAACAAAACAAAAAAAATGAGTAACAAATTAATCAATGATTTTTGACAATGACAAACCTTAGATGTAAACAAACAAAAATAGATGGGAAAAACGAAATTTGTCAAGTTCGATCCAAGCAATAATAAAGGTTCAAATTTTTACATCTTATTTTTTGATCTGCCGAAAACCGATATATAAAAAACCACGATGAACCCTTCAGATGATGATGGCGGCTGGTTTCATTCATTTTCATCAAAATTATCCGGAAAATTATCTGCATTTGGTCATCGTTGTAAAAAACTAAGAAAAAAACAGAAAATTTTGAAAAAATCATCAAAGCAAATAATCGAAATGAAACAAATCCTACCAACAGATCCATTAATGATGAAATGTGATTATAAAATTTTATTAATCGGTTCAAAAGGTTCGGGTAAAACAAGTTTAGTTAATCGTTTTCTTGGCCGGCCATTTAATCCACGTGAAAAACCAACAATTGGTTTCAATTTGATGACATTAGATTTGTAAGTATACGATATCACCATTATCTTCTAATCGTTTTGTTAAATTTGTTTCGTTTTCCAAAAGAAATTATGAACATGACCATTTGATAAATGTTGAATTATGGGATACAGCCGGCGATAACGTCAATGGTAATGGTAATGATAATTGTCATATACTATCGAATGAACATTTTTATTATCGGAATGTTAATCTAATGATTGCCATATTTGATCTTACCGATTCAAAACGATCATTTGATTATTGTTTAAAATGGATTGATAATTTTCGAAAACAACATAATCATCGATCATCATCAACGATCACCAAAAATGATGATTTGGATCAAAACGATGTACAAATAATAATCGTTGGTAATAAATTAGATTTAATGAATAATTCGAATCGAACGAATTATTTTGATTTGGAACAAATAGAAAAATATTCCAAAACAATCGATTGTAATGATAATCGATTGTATCGAACATCAGCCAAAACAATGGAAGGAAATGAGCAAGAATTATTTGAAGAAATTTCCCGAAAAATTATCAATCAATTTGGACGACAACAACAAATGGAACAATTGAAAAATTTATCAAATTTACATCAAGATTCAACAATGATCTATGAACAATCTCAACAGCAAACATGGTTACTTGTATCAGTAGATTTATCCGTTTCAACAGCCAAATTATATGATGATGCGGATTTTGATCCATTCAATGGCCAGTTGATGAAGAAAACTGATCAAAATGGTAATGATCCGAAATCTATAAATTCAAAACGAAAAATGAAAGAGACAGCAAAGACAACAACAAAATCAATAACATTTGCATTATTTTTACGAAAATTATTCTGTCTGATTTGATACCCGAAAGAAAAGATTCTCTGTAATTTCAATCTGTATTTTTTGTATTTCATCTAAAAATTATCAATTATCGACCATTCGAATTAATTAATTATAATCATCATATAATAAAAATTTTTGTAAAACATCGAAAAAAACTGGTAAAAACCTGATATGTCAAGTTGACAGAAAAAAAAAGAAGAATTAACCTTTTTTTTCCAATTCAAAATTCTTCATGTTTTTTTTTTGTAGGTTGTCCTTGTTTTCGTTTTGCTGACGCCGTTGCTGTTTTTGGTTAGGAGGTTATCGAGATTATGATCAAAACTAAAAGCGAAACAAAAAACGAAAAAAAGTTGCACTTGTGTCACAAAGCCTTGAATGAATTGGCAAATTTTTATGTTTGGAGAATTTCGGACAAAACTTTCTCTCTTTTTTTTGTTGATTAACCGAGATTCGATCGATGGTGGATAAAGAATGACGAACCAGACATCTGTCCTCAATTATTTCCTTGAAAACCAGAAAATTTGCATTGAGATCAACCATCGACGTTTAAAAACATTTCGAACACGCGGATCAATTTCGAATGTTTTTTTGTTAAACGTTCGATATTTCGAATGTTTTGCACACACACCTGGGTCATCAAATGATAATTTTGAAGCTCTGTTGTTTAAAAAGCTTTGGTGTCCAAAATTTTTTGTTTCAATTCATTCCTGGGTGACCAAACATTGTTCATTTATTGTTTCTGTGTGTGTGTGAAATAGTTTCTTCTTTTTATCAAACCAAACATAGAAAAACTTTGCACAAAAAAATGTTGAAATTTTTCCTATTGATTTCACTGTGTTTGACATCAATGGTCAACAGTTTACCAACAACAACAACGATAACTAGTGATGGTCATCATGATCATAATGAAAATAATGATTATGATGAAAATCAGGAACAAGATCCAGAAACTTATCTTTGGAATATGGCAACAGCAACGGCATCTGATGATGGTGGTGGTGGTATACAATCATTTACCGATGATGAATTGGAAGAAATACTTAACAGTATGCAATTACCTGCTAATTATTCTGCATTTGATTTTGGTGGTGGTTTAACATCAACAACCAACAACAGCAACGATAAGATTTCCAAAAATTCAACAAAAGAACAACATGGATTTGTAATCATATGGCGTAATCCTTATGTATTTGCCAATAACAACAACAATAGCGAATCAACGATATTGGGTCGTAATGGTGGTGGTGGTGGTGGTGAAGATGATGAAGATGATGATCATCCACGACCACCACATCGACATGAATTTGATGAAATGGAACAACGTGATTTTTTACGTACAGTTATATTTCTTGCTAATCAACAGATGCGTATAAAATTTCATTTATGTGAAATGAGAAGATTTCGTAGTCATTTTGTACGACGTTGGAATCTGTATCGTTGTTCAGCTAGATTTACTGTTGCACGTTTAGGTAAAAATTGTGATCCGAATAAAACCTATGATGGTTATGTTAATTTTATTGTACAAAATCCTGAATTACCACCATTATTAGCAATACGTTATTATGTATTTCAATTTTTATATGAATCATCAATGACATTGGTTAATAAAATGAATGATCATCATGTTTCATTAGCATCGATACCAAATCAATTACAACAACAACAACAACAACAATTACAACAGCATCAACATCAATTACAATTACAACATCAACAATCAAATGATGGTGAAGAAATTGTTATGATGCATCAACCATCATCATCGGATATTGATCATTTGTAAAAAATATATATCATTTATCAACCAATAATTATTGCACATCACACACCAGCATATACATCATCCAAATGATTTAATTGAATTGAATTTTTGTTTTTGTTTTTTGTTTTTGATCATCATCATCATCAATATCATCATTATTATTATTATTATTATATTTTGATCCTATTAATAATCAACTATGAATCCTGTAATAATAATAATTAAAAATTTGTTTTGGTTTTTCTTGTGCTTGTGTGTGTGTGTGCGGTGGTCAAAAGAAACCAAAATAAAAAACAAAGAAAAAGATGGGAAACATGATGAAAACAATGAATGAATGAATGAAAAAAGATTTTTTTGGATGTAATTTTTCTGTTTTGATTAAAATTTTATTGTTTTTTTTTTGATGAATTTAATGAATGAGATTCCACAGTATTTTTTTTCCTGTCTGGTTGGTTTTCTTTCTTTCTGGTCAGATTACACTGGATTTCTGATTGTAATCGAATTACCATTATTCCATAATGATAATCGTTGTTGTTGTTGTTGTCGTTGTTGCTGCTGTTGTGAACGTAACCGATCCAATATTGAATGACCACTACCACCACCGATCGATGATGATAATTGATCAGCAGTCAGTTGATCAACTTGATCATTATCTTTGTTGTTTGTATTTAACAAATGTTCCAAATAAGCTAAACGTATCAATGGTCCTAACTGAAATCGATTACCATTATCATCATTATCATTATCATCGTTATTAGATGCAGCAGATATTGTTGTTGTTGTTGGTGATAATGGTAATTCTAATTGTTGATTACGATAAACATACAACGGTATTGATAATGGTTTATTATTATTATTTAAATGTTTTTGTTGTTGTTGTTGTAATTGTTGTATTAGGGAAAAATTTTCCGATGATAATGCGGCCGACGACGATGATGATGCGGATGGAGATGCGGCTGATGATGATGAACTGCGTTTACCATGGCCACCCAAACAAGAATGTCCATATTGGGTACATTTTTTTCCTAGAATATTTGGTTTTCGGTTTCGGGGTTAAAAAACAGGAAAAAAATCATTTTTTGGGGTTAAATAATGGAAAAAAGTTTCAGAATTTTTGAATTGAAAAATCAATTTTGTTTACTTTGATTCAATTGATCAGGTAAATCTTGACCATTAACATTAATAGTTAACATTGCCAACAATAATGATATCGTAAATAATGCCATCATAATGATTGTCATCTGATTTGATTTTAATTGTAATCGTTGTTGTTGTTGTTGCTGTATAAAATGACGATTACAATGACGGTGAATGCTTACAAATGATGATATCGAATTATCATCATCACCGTCTTCGGATTGTCGCCGTTGATTTTGTTGATTCATAATTTAAGAAATGGAAATTCAAACACAGCAAAAACAAACAAAAAAACACAGGTAAGATTTTCAATGAAATTTCGTTGTTATTTTTCTTCGTGATTCAAAAGATTTGACTTTTGAAAATGGATCGGAAATTTTCCCTGGTTTTTATACTCGGTTTCGAATTTCAGAATTTTCCAAAAAAAAAATCATCATCAACAAAATGTACGCAGGTTTTTTTCTTTCATCACCACTTAGGTATTTCGGATCCACTTAGTGGCGGTGGTTGTCAAAGAAGAAAAATATTCCTTTGATAAATGATCAACAACAACAAAATATTTACTCAACATTATGTATGGGTGACATTTACATATTTAAAAGAGAGATTCTCCATGATGATCATCCACCAATACCAAAAGCTACCTGGGCATTGGATTGACAGAAGTTTGTTTTTTTCTTTCTTTCTCTGAAATTGTATACCAAAAACCACCGGATATTTAAATGTTTGTTTGTTTAGCTTACTTATTCATTTTTTTCAGTAATAAAAAAAATGATATTTTTGTTTGGTTTAGGGAAAATAATAATAATTTGTTTTGAATGTTCCCATCATCATCATCAATTATCATATGGATGATAATAATTTCTTTGAACCAAAAAAAGAGAAGAGAAATCGTTGATTGATTCATCGATCAATCATATTCACTTTTATTATTTCTTTTTACTTTTTTGCCATCATCATCAAATGATTATGGTAAATATTTATTAATTTTTTCATGAATTAATGAATGATGATTTCAATAATATCTTGGCAATATTCATTTACATAATGATGATTATATCGATGAAAATCGAAGAAGAAAATCGAATATATTCCAGAAATTCAAACGAATTAGAGCATATCCATTTGGCTGATTGATTGACTGATCAATCGATCATTCTCAATTCAATTGGATTTTCTTCATCATTATTATTATTTGAAATAAATTCAACAACAACCAAGAAAAATGGATAAGTTAATAATATTTATTTATCTTTATTTTTCTATATATTTGTAATTGCTGTTCATTGTCCTTTTTTTATTTTTATTTGTTCTCCCCACACAAGTACAAATGAACTTATTATTAATGGAAAATTAAAAAAATTTTTACGGAAACAATGCATTTTCGGATCAATCGATTGTGTGATTTTTTTTTGTGTGTGGTAGAAATGAAAAAATGCTAAGCGTTTCAAAATTAACATCATTAATCGATTCCGGTAATTCTCCAAATAACGTAAAAAAAATATTTACCGGAATGAATTATTTTTGGATATTTTTTTTCCAGAAATATCTAGCAAAAACTTAATGGATAACGGGTTATTTCATCAATCAATCTTTCTTCCAAAAAAAAGTTGTTGTTGTTGTTGATGATCAAAGGAAACACACAAAAAAAAATTGTTTTTGTTTTGCAAAATGTTAAAAATTTGTGTGTTTCCAGTTCAATTGATAATGATGTTTTTTTTACTTACTTTTATAATAATAATAAACTTAATACATTTTTCATTTTTTATTTTTAAAAAAATTTATAATTTGACAGTTTTGTTTACTCAATAGTAATGTGTGTGTGTGAGGGTTAATTTTACTTAATATTTGATTGGTGCAGTTAATGTTTTTTTTTCCAATTGAAAATTGAAGATGAAGAAAATCTTTTTTTAACTTAAACACGACGTACCATATCCTGACTGAATATTATTTTCGATTGTGCTGTACTATATGATGATGCTGATGATAATGAACGTTCACGACGATTATTATTATTATTATTATTATTAGCTGCTGATGATAATATATTTGATGGTGAATGTGATAATATTGATTGTTGTTGTGAAATTGTATCCAATGTTTGTTGATTTGTTTGAAAATTTATTGGTAATTTTTTAATAATCATTATTGTCATATTATCTTTACCGGCAATACCTTGTCTAGGCATTGAATTTACTGGTAATATTTTTTGTATAACAGCTTCACATATACGTGTTAATGGCATATCTTCTGACATACATTTACCAACAAAATCAATTAAATCTTGATTACTGATTGCATTCCAAATACCATCACAAATTAATAGAATAAAACGATCATCTTCTTGTATTTTTTCTACTGTTGAATGTGGCCATGCAATTACCATCTGTTGTTTACGATTCAGACGTTTATTTTGTTTAAAATTATGATCACCAAATGCTCGTGATATATCAATACCACCATTAACACGATTATTAATAATTTGTCCACCAGCATGTTCAATACGTTGTCGTTCTTCCGGTAATGTTGGTTTATGATCATATGATAATTGAAGTGCTTGTAAACGACCACCACTTGTAGAACGACCAACTAAACAACGTGAATCACCAATATTAGCACAATAATAAATATCATTTTTAACTAATAATACAACAGCCGTACAGCCAACATAATATGCTAATGGTTCATCTGATGGTAGATGTGGCATCATTGATGATGATGATGATGATGATAATTTTTTGTCACGATATGGTCCAATTAATAAATCATTTGCTTCTTTTGTAAGTAATAATTCATCTAATGCCATAAATGATTCTTGTATACCACGTTCAATATTACCATGACGATAATTACGATTTTTTAATAAATGTTTTGGTAAATATTCTGAACAAAATTTTGCAACTTCCAGTCCATTATGACCATCAAATACAGCAAATATTGATGTATTACGTTCCAGATCGGCAATAGCTAAATGTGCATCTTCTTGTGTTTTACGCCAACCTTGACATGATGCAACAGCATATTCAAATCTTGTACAACGGCCATTTTCTGTTTGAATTTTTGATATACACGTTGAACGAAATGGTGACAACATTCGATATGAAAATTTAGAGTGTTTAACACAATATAAAGGGGAACAACCAATTTATAAAAAAAAAATGGAAACGAAAAACCAAAAAAAAACGAAAATCATGCCATCTACCAATACTTTTCAATGTTTTATCGGCAAAATTTTCAATTGTTGCTTCCTTTTAAAAATCTAATTTATCAAATTGTAATGTTCGATATAATAATAATTGTTTTTGTAAATTCTTTTGTTGTTGTTGTTGTTGATAATGATTATTATTGGCCATTGTTGTTGTTGTTCGATCTGAAATTAAAATTTAATTTTAAAATCAATTCAATCAAATCAAAATTGAAAACTTACTTCTATAAACTAATTGATTACGTAGATTAAAATTTTCTCGACGTAATTGTTCAATAATTATATTACGTTTGGTTAATTGTTGTCGTAAATGTTCAATTTCTGAATGTAAACGGCCAACTAATGACCATTGTGTACGATATGATGCCAGGAGATTTTGACGCCATTGCAATTGTGCCTGTTCAATTAGATCATCAACAAAATGATTATCCAATCGTTCGATTGTTGTTCGTTGATTAGCCGTTTCAATTGATTCGGATAATGTACCAATACTGAATGGTGGTAAATAACACATTGATATCATTGATGACATTAATTTTGATCGATCAATAATGTTGATATTTTTTTCATGTTTACGTTTTTTTCCCGGTCTCATTGTCATCGACGATGAATAAACACCACAATATGAATTGGAATGTTGAAGATTTGTTGATTTGGATTTTGTTGAATCATCATCATCATCAACATCGAGATTATCATCACCAGAATCATCTGATTGATTAATAATTAACTGATCAAAACTAGCATTCAATATTAAATCATCAGTAAATTGATTTCGTAGAAAAAATCTTCTTAATCGTTGATTATTTTCAGCGATTCGTACATGCATTGCATCATATGGTCCAATTTGATTGTTTTCTTTTAAAAACTACCGAAACAAAAAAACTAATTAGAAAATGATCATTCAGTGATTGAATTACCTTGATCAATTGACTACCCAAACCTAAACGTTCATAACCAATTTTTATGGCCAATAATTCTATTTCAATAATTTTTAAACTTTCCAAACGATATGATTTATAAAATGTTAGGGCACCATAAATTTGTTGTTCCAAACCGATCATGGATTTTAAATCAAAATCATCATTATCATCATGGTCATCGTCATCATTTATTATGGTTCGTTGTCGTTGATATTTCTGTTGACATTCAAAACGTTGATCAAGAAAATGTTTGAAATTCGTTATAAATTTTGTATTTATCGATTTATTCGATACAATCGATAAATCATTTCGAATTGATTCCATAATTGATTGGATTTTTATTGGAATTGTTATCGATGCAGTTGATGATGGCGTTGATGATAATAATGATAACGATGAAGATGGTGATGAACTTTTCAAATCATTAATATCGACCATTTCTTGATCATCTTCTGAATGATGATGATGATGACCATCATTAAAATGATCATCATGATCATCATGATTATCGAGCACGTCTTGTTTATTTGCCAATAATAATAATGTACGTGTGCCTGGCATACATAATTTTTGTTTCAAATTCATTATTATTTCTTCTTTGGTTATTTTCATTTCATTTTGGTGGGTGGACATTGTTGTTGTTGTTGTTGCTGTTGTGGCCAAATAATGTATCAAAGTGGAATAAAGTAGTCCATCGACATCCGAAACCTATAGGTTAATCAAGAAAAAAGAAAAAATCAAGTAAGTAAAGTTTCACTGTCAATTTTCAATTCCGAATCGAATCCAAAAAAAACCTAATCAATAATTAATCAAACAACAACCATTTCCACTATTTTCATCCATGTTGGTTGATTGTTTATATGTTCGACAACGACAAACTTAATGAATCAATTTGTATTAATGAATTTTTTAGTTGTTTTTTCCAGTTTGGTTTTTCCTCTTTTCAAACCGAATAAATTATTGAAAAGCAAAAAAAAAATCAAGGACACTTTTCATCATCATTATCAATTGTGTGGGCGGTTATTAATCCCGAAAAATGGCAAATTAAACTTTATGTTTTTTTGTATGTGGAACAATTCTGAATCACCAATAAAAAAAAAAGTTATTCTTTGATTAATCCTCGAACCAAAAAAAAACATAAATTTTCAGCCAAAAATTTTCAAACTTTTTTTCTAGGTAAAGAAAAATTTTTTATCTGGAAATCTACGGTCAAGGATGATTTTTTATTTATTTATCATTGATGTTTTGAAAAGCAAGAATCGTTCCTTTGTTGTTGTTTTGTTTTCATTGTTCATTGTAAATTGAAAAGGGATTTTCATAATGGAAAAGAAGAAGAAGAAAAATGAATGAAAAGAATGTTTGTTTAACTTGGCCAGCGAGAGAATATTTTTGCCAAATGGACTTCCGCTATATATAGAAAAAACAATCAAACTTTTCAAACAAAAAATTCCATCATCGGATAAGAATTTCAATTGTAATATGCGAATGTTGAATATTCCCGATTAAACAGAAAAAAAATTTTGAAAATTTTCAACACAGAGAAAAAACCGAGAATTTTGAAAATAAAATCTCTTGAGATTCTTTTCTTTTCAAAAATGGCTGTCTTTTTATTATTATTTTCAAGTTGTTTTTTCAAGGCGTCTTTCCAGCACAAAATCAGCAAAAAAAGAAAAAAAAATGGACAGATGTTATTTTACAAGGAATAACATCTTTCACACACACAGAATAATTGTCAATATAGTTAATACGATAAATTCGAAGCAATAACAAGAAAAAAAATCAATATTCTTTCCATGGAATAATCATTACAAAGAAAAAATTACAAGAATTTCGAATCAAACAAAATCTATAGTGATAATCATCAATAACGATCAAGGTCAAAATAGTCGTCCAGAATAATGGACGCCCATTATTACCAGATTGTAATTTATTTAAATTATCATCACCATCCGAAAAGAATTTCTGTGTTTGTTTGTTTTGTTCATTTTCACACACACAAAAACACAGATTTGAAATATTGCTCATTTCCTGCGTTTGTTTTTTCAGGTTCTGGTTATTCTGGTTATTCTCTGGACCACAAAATTTCAGATTCTTTTCAGGTCCTGTAAAAGAAAAATAATAATGATCATCATTTGCATATTGAAATTCTCTTTCTTTTGGATTTTTATAAACATTGTTTTTTATCACCTACAACAAAAACAACAACAACAAAAACCACGAGAAAACAAAAAAACAATGTTATCAAATTGATAGCCATTTTTTATGATTTTTTTGTTGTTGTTTTTCGTCGGGGTAATTTATCTCTCACTGTATTCATAAATTTCATCATATTTTTTCTATTTGGTTTGATAATCTTATTTATATTCTGAATTTGAACATTTCGGAAAAACAAACATGCAGAATACGCCGATGGAAAACATTACATTTTTTGATTTGACAATCGTAATTCTCGGTGTGTCTGTCTGTGAAAGTGAAAGAGAAAGGGAAACATGATATACGTGATTTATGGCGACATTCAAACAAACAAACAAACATTTCATTTCAATTCAAAGGAAACTGAAAACCAAAAAACATTTGGAAAAGGGAAAAAAATTGTCAAATAAACGAAAACGAAAGGTTCCCATTTTGGTTTTTTTTGCTCAGAGAAAAATTTCAGGAATTTCAGCTCGAAAAAAAAAATTTTCGGAAAAGGAATTTATCCAAATCAAATCAAAAAAAAAACTTACATCGTTCAATATGTTGTTGCTGCTGTTGTTGATGGCCGTTGATGATGAAATTGTTTTCAAATCGATTCGATTTTGCTGCTGTTGTTGTTGACGACGACGAATCAATCGATTAAATTCGACTGTGAAAAATGGAATTAAGGGAAACTTTATTAGAAAAACTATATTTTTTCAGAAAAACTTTTTTCCCAAACCTGTAATCGGATATAATGTTAATGTTTTTGGTTTAGTCTTCATCTTCGTCGTCGTCGATGATGATCGATCCAACAAATTATCGGCCATCGTTGATGATGATCTCGATGATTGATCAAGATCTTGATTTCGAAGAAGATTGATTTGAATAGGTTCGAATGTTATGATAGGTAACATTTTTGTTGTTGTTGTTAGTTTGCCTGTAAAGTTTATCAACAACAAAATAAGTTAATTAACAAATTAATTAAATCTGAAAACACACAGAAGATGTTTGCAACTGGGAAAAATTCCCAGGATTAAATAAACAGCCAGAAACAGAAAAATTAATGGAGAAAAAAAAACCACAATAAGATTCACATTTAATAAGATTTTCCAGTCAATCTCTCCAGAGACAATCACGAATAACGATGGTAACACACCGAGAGAATATTTTTGGTGAAAATTAAACACAAAAAACAAACGAACCAGAAAAAATTTTCGGTTTCCAAATTAGTTCCAAACACGACAAAACATTCGACTGGAATCGAATCTTTTTCTTCTGTGTTCCAAACGAATGCAGATATTTTTTTTTCTGGTTGCTGTCGAGGACATATGCGCAAATCGAATAAAATTCTGCATGCGCAATTCGAATTCTTTGAATCGAATGAAATTCTTGGATTTTTTTTTATTTTTGTAAAAAAAGAAAATTTTATTTAAAAATTTTTATAAAAAATATAAATATCATTGGCATCGAATTTGTAAATTTAAAAATTTATAAAAAGGTAATTTCCTATTTAATTAGTTTTTTTTTGATGATAATCTTTCTTTTCGATAGCAGTGGTGGAAAATAATTTTACAATATCATTAATCAATGACATTGGTAATGCATGTTGAAGATTAACAATTATTGCAACAACAATTTCTGAATCTGGTTCAATCAATAATAATGATGATGCACCAACAGCACCACCAGTATGCATTGCAACATTATTAAATGGTGGTTCAGCAGCAAAAGCACGACAATTTTCATGACCATTTCGAATAACTGAAAATCCTAAACCATAACCACGTGATTTATCTTTTTGCCAATTTGGTGATGAATTTTCTAATGGTTTCCACATTTCATCAACAGTTGATCGTTGAAGATAACCTTTTCGACCATTAATTGGATCCGTACCCAAATAACTATACAGTAATAGATTACCAAATTGTAAAAGATCCGGTACATTGGATAATAAACCACCACCAGACCATTTATAACTATTATCAACATATGGTACATTTTGAATTTGACCATTATTCGGTTTTTTCGTATCACGATAATAATAACGTGAACGATTATAAATAATTTGATCATTTTGATCCAAGTAAGTATTCAACAGGCCAAGTTCATTACGAATAAATTTTTGAAATTCTTTAGCAAAATTTTTCGTTTCCATTTGGTTTTCCATAACGGCTGCCAACAATGTATAATCATATGTTGAATAATGAAATTTTGTTCCCGGTTTGACCACTTTTGGATAAATTTTGGAGAAAAGAGATTTAAATCAAGAAATGTTTTGGTTTTCAAGGGTAAAGACTTACCTAATGGATCATCTTTAAACAGTCGAAGACTATCGGTAACTGATGAAAAATAATCTTTTTGATAAACTTCTGGACAATCAAAATCGGTTTTTGTTTTATCCGTTTCTTCTTCTTTATAGGTACGTATACCGCTAAGATGTGCAGCTAATTGTCGTACAGTAATATCAACTTGTTCATTTTGCCATTGTTTTCGTGGGAATTGTCCATCATTAAGATAATTATAAATAGAATTATCTAAATCAATTTTTCGATCTTCAACCATTTTGGCTAACATTGTTGCTGTTATTGATTTTGAAATGGATGCAATACGCATAATAGTATCACGATGACATCGGACATTATTTTCAATATCAGCATAACCTTGTCCTTCAATCCATACTGGTCGACCACGAACACTAATACCAATTACAAAACCCGGTACAGTTTGTTCAGTTTTCCATTGTAATAATCGTTGTCGACTTTTTCTGATTGCATCCGAATATAATTTTTCGGTTCTATCATTACCATCAACAACAACAACATCGATATTTTTAACGGGATTTTTTTCCAAAATCTGATCATTATTATCCTGTGATTTAATGATAGATTCGATATTTTTTTGACGTTTTTTCAATGAAATATAATCAGGATATTGATTTAGAAAACCATATGTAGAAAGGCTACCAAACGTAATCCATCCTAATGTTTTCCATGTTTGTCGAACGTTCATTGGACAATTCTTATTCAGTTTGTTCGGTGACCAACCGAAAAAAAAACAAAAACGATCCTGTCTATTGCCCGAAAAAAAAATTGAAATCAAAAATCAAAAATCAACGATGGAAAAATGAAACCATCAAATGGAAAAATTGACCACAAATCAATCAAACAAAAAAAAACCTTGTCGATCTTCTTCATCAGCCACTACCTCTATCATAAATGAATGCTACTACGTTTCGAAGAAAAAAAATTGAAAACTTGAAAAAAAAAACATTCGATAACGTCCTATATGAACGGAGCGAAAGAATGTGCATTGAAAAAAAAAATTTACGCAAAAAAGAAAAGAAACGCAAAACGAAAAATCGTTGCAAGCTTGAAAATTGAATTTTTTACTTTTTTTCGATTTTGAAAGTTTTTTCTTGATCTATCTTGATTGATTGATCGAAACATCCAAATATTGAACTTTTTTTATTAACGAATTTGGTTTGTATAATAATGATTCGAAGGAATGATTCCTGAACCAAAATCGAATCAATTTTCTTTCGAATGTGTGTTTTTTGCATGATGTATGATGTCGCTAGTGTTTGGCGAGTGTCTGTGTTGCATATATTCCGCTGAATATAGAGAATATAGGGGGCTTTTTTTTCTAATTTTTAATTTCGAATGTCAAGTTTGGTCGATTAAAAATTTTTATTAAAAAAAAATTTATTTTCCCATTTTATCAAACGAATCCAAGTAAGCTAAACAGTTTCAGTGTTGAGTCAGTAATTTTAATCAATGTTTTGTACCGTGTGTGTCCTGTTGTCAAATGTTTGAGGTGATCTCTGATGGTGGATCAGTTTGTCGATTCGTTTTTCCATTTTAACAAATTGATATTTTGTAACCAAATCTTTCTCTTTTTCGATGTTACTTTAGATGAATGATGGCCGAAATTCAAACAAATAACGTTTCGAATGAATCGTCAACAACATCATTTGTTGATATGATTGGTAATGTTGCTGAATCTTCTGCCATCAATGATAATGATAATGGTGATTGTGATGTGAATAATATCCATGGCCATCAAGAAATGAATTTTCAATTGGAAAACGATAATGATAATGATGATGATGATGATGAAATTGAAACTTCAAGCGATGATGATGATCAAGATCAAGATTTTGAATATCCATCCGATTTTGATCCAAATGAATATGAACCAATTGAATTTAATAAAGAACATAAACAACAAATGTTATTAATATTAAATATGATTATACCGGATCTGAATCCATTGACATCATTCAAATCAATTCAACATTCAAAGCAATCATCATCGCAAAAATCAACAAAATCATCATCAAATCAACAGCAAATTTTAGCCCGATTAACATGTTTAATACAATTTTTTAATGATTATTTTCGTCCACAAGAAATATGGCCATTATTAGATCGTTTGCCTGTTTGTATTCGAATGGATAAATCGGCAAAAATATTACAATTTGATTGGAAAGATAATATCAACAACAATGATAATGACGATGGTGATGATGAAGAACTGCAAAGAAAATTACAAAAATTGAATAAATATTTTCATCGTTGGCTTTATCTATTCTATACATGTGATGAAATTATTGGTAAGTTTTTTATTTTGAATTGTTTTTAATTGAGCTAATTTTTGTTGAATTTTTTGCAGAATCCATTGATATTACAAATGAATCATCAACTACAAAACCATTTGAAATGTTTACCATAATGTTATTGAATATTTTTAATCATTTACGTGATATATTACCATCACAAATACGGAAAATATTTTTAGAACAATGGTTTTTATTGGAAACATTTGAACAACGTTTTGAATGTTTTTTTCGTTATGATAAATTGTATCAAATGGTTATGCAACAATTAATACGTGAACGTTTATTATATCAATTGATACGTGAAAGACAATCATCAATGGAAAAACAATTCGAATTGAAATCAAAAGAATGTGATCAATTAAAATTACAATTATCATCAACCACATCATCATCATCCGCATCGATAATTGATAATAAAAAAACAATGTTGCGTAATAAATCGCAAATAATTACCGCTACAACCACTGCCAACAACAACATTCCGCAAACAATTTTATCATCAAATTGTCCATCGAATAAATTACCATCATCATTGTTGTCTCAATCACATCAACAACCTAAAAGTCAATTAAAATCGATTCTATTGTCACAACAACAACAACAGCCAAAATCTCCTGTACCATCAATAACAACATCGGAAAGTTGTTGTTCAAATAATGCATCAGCATATAATAGTAGTGGTGGATCATCACCTGTTCAATCGAATTCAAATTCATTGCTAATATCATCGACTATGGATCAATCACAACGACAAATATCATCGCAAGATCCAAAACCAACATCATTGGAATTAGCTGAAGCAGTTGCAAATAAAATTCATCAAACAAGATGTACAACAAATAAAGCTAAAGCAATATCATCATCATCAACATCAACATCGATTGTAATATCGAATAAATCGAATGTTAAGGATTCTGAATATATTAATGGTTATATGGTTAGTGGTTTGTTTTGATTCTTTATTTTTGATTTGATTTTTAATCCTTTTGGTTTTTTTTCTGATTTTTAAAAAAGGCACGACGAGGAAGACCACGTAAATTATCCGCACTAGATAATGATTTGGATTTGGATTATACATCATCATCATCATCAAAAACAAATACTGATCGTTCAAATAGTCAACAAAATAAAAAAGCACGATTAACTTTTAATATAAAACAACGTTCGATGAATGTTGATAATCGTCATAATCAACAACGATTACCATCATCATCATCATCAACAACAATGACAGCAGCAGCAAAAGATTCATTAATGCAATCAATACGACCACAACGTTCAAGATTTAAAATGAATCAATCATTATTGGAAGTAAAATCTTCGGTAGAAACAATGAATCAGAATAATTCGAATAATAATGGTAGAAATTCACAACAAAAATTACCAATATCGGTTAATGCTATTTCACAACAACAAAGCGGACCATTAAAACCGATTGTTAAAATGAATTCATCATCAACTGTGATTCGTTCGAAATCATTACTCGATTCAACGAGTAATAATAACAATAATAACAATGATAATAATGTGAAAACTACAAATGAAAAATCAAAAAGTTTTATTATAAAACCTTTATTGATAAAAACTGAATGTTTAGCTACTAACAATCAATCATCATCAACATCTTCGGTAACAGTGACATTGGAGAAAAAATTATCAAATGATTGTTCTTCAACGACAACAACAACAACATTATTATCATCTGAAATTGATAATCTTTCATCATATTATCAAATTGATTCATTAACAAATCATTTTCAATGTCGATTATGTAATACCAATAATGATGATAATGGTGATAATCCAATGGATAATATGGATAAATTTCTTGAACATTTGGATAATAAACATTTAAAAACTGGTCAAATTTATCAATGTGAACAATGTTTGAAAATATTTTCAAATAAATATAGATTAAATCGTCATTTGTTGAGTCATACGGGTGAAAAACCATTCGAATGTGTATTTTGTCAACGTAATTTTTCACGTCGTGATAAATTAAATGAACATATTAAAGCAATACATGTTAGGAAAACATCGTTGGAAAATGAAAATTCCGATGCTATTGCTATGGCTAATATTCATAATAAGGATGATGATGATGATAATGAACAAGATTTACAGCCACCACCACCACCAACAACAGCACCGATGAAAACTTATGGAACAACAACAACGAATGGTACGAACGATGATGAAATGAAAAATTCACAATTTTCATCATTGAATGATGAAAAAAATTTTCCGTCTCAATCAGCGACAACATCGTGTGATTTGAATAATTCTTCTGTCATTGATAATAATAATGAAAATGATAAACTTTCATCAACAACAACATCGACAATACCTACATCAACAACAGCAACAACAACGGCAATGGAAATTGAAGAAATTTTAATCACCGATGATGATAGTGATAATTTGAACGCTTCTCACACAAATATTAGTGGTGATGGTGGTGATAATCATCATTCTACAAATATCTTGGATGATGATGATGATGATGATGACAAACAACAAGATCAAGATCAAGATGACGATGATTTAGATATAAAATCTAAAATTGAAGTTGCCGAATTAGATTGATTTGGATTCAATTCATTATAAATATCATTTTATTATGTAAATTCTACCTAAATTTTTTATTTGTGAAAAAAAAAATTTTGGCTGTAATTAAAAAAATTTTTTTTTTGTTTAATTATCAAACAAACAGAAAATAATAATAAAAAAATTATTCAAATTTTTGATTTTGGTTACAATTTTGTTTCAATTTCTGAACGACAACATGGTTGTTGTTGTTGTTGTTAATGTTGTTATCATTATTTTGATTATAATTTTTTTGATAAAAATTATAAAACATAATCCAAAATAGTATGGCATGTGCAATCATTGCATAAGCAAAAAATGGTTGAAATCCACAATCAATCCACAATGGTATCAGTGAATGAACGATAGCAATGGCAAATTGTAACATTTGTAATTGTGTTAGATAACGTTTCCACCAAAGATATGGTCGTAATCGTTCGCCAAATGCTGCCAAACAATAATAACTATACATAATGGTATGGACAAAAAGATTAATTAACGGTACGAATGCATTATGACCACCTGCACCAAATTTCAAACCGATCCATATACCCCATGGTACTAATGAATGATGTGTAACATGTAATGCTGATATTTGTTTGGATTTTTTTCGTAAAACAAAAAATATTGTATCAAGAAATTCAACCATTTTCAAAATCATTAACCACCATGATAGATTTAATAAATGTAAATTCCGATCCGTATAACGATAATCAACACGTTCACATATTATACTAAAATTTCCACCCGGTGGTATATATGTTAATTGACCACCATAATAAAAAAACCCGGCTGATAGTAAAACCATAAGGATATTATACAAAATAATTATTGATTTGATTTGCATCGGTGGACGATTTTTCATTATACGTGGTCCTAAACGTTTGACCACATAAATATAACAAAATATTATTGTCCATATTGGAAATGGTGATCCAAGTAATGGCCATTCAGATGTTCGTGGATCTTTATCCGAAATTAAAACCGAAAAATCAAATCAGTAATTTGAATGGAAAATAAGTTCCGAAATTCACACATACCACTTTTAGACATAAGCCATTGATATGGCCTGGTTAATGATTCCAACATTGTTTTTTGTTTCTGGATTCACTGGATCAGTTATTGAACAAAACGATCCAAATTTTGTTGAACAAACGAAAGAAATATTTCCGAAAGATGATAAGAATTGGAAAAGAAAAGTGTGTGCAATGAGATATTAGAACAACCAAAAAAACAAGTTTCTTCAACGGGTAAAAAAACGTCAAGAAAAATGCCAAAAAACGAAACGAAACGAAACGCATGGCATTCGTTTCGTTCCATTGTCATGCTTGATTGGATCATCATCATTGTAATAATGATAAAAATCGAAGAAGACGAAGTCTAACGAAGAAAGAAAAAAAAACTTGAAAATGATATTGCCAAATAGATTTAGAGAGAGAAAAGATAAGGGCAAAAATTGTTGTTGCTTGTTATCCATTGAGCCATAACTTTTCTGGATTCAATTTTTTTGGAATTCCTTCCGATCATACACACCGGTTAGAAAAATTTGATTCATTTTGATTCATTTTTGGTTCGATCATCATCAATCCGATTCGTTTATTGATTAACTTCTCGAATCAAATCCGAATCGGGAAGAAACATGGATTGATCTTTTCTTACGTAGTAGAATCTTCATACGACAAGTTTTGATTGACACAAGTTAGTTAAGGTTTTTTTGTTGTTGTTGTCGCAATCGTCAAACTATAGTCATTTGTCCTCGTTTCAATCAATAATGAATGGAATGGAATGAATGAATTGACAAAAGGCAAGGCAATATGTTTTTTTTTTTTGTTTTGTCTTGTCTTGTCTTCAATGACACTTTGAAACACAACACATAACACTAACTTTGAAAATAATAATGATCAATAATTGGACATCAACTTCGACGAACCGGAAAAAAATTGACTCGATAACAGAACGACAAGAAAACGGAAAAAATATCACTAATCGATTTCATCATCAAACTAATCATGAAACTAGTCTTTCTCTTTCTCGCTAAACGAAGATAGAGCTCGAGACATGACAAATGATTATAATCATCGATCGGGCGTTAAAAAACACCTAATCCCTAATTGTCATAACAAACAAACAAAATAAAATAAGTTTATTATCTTTAAATTTAAAGAAAAAAAAAATAAAAACTTGTGCTTATTATTATGGTGGTCATTAGGTATTTTGATTCAAAAAAAGAAAAACAAAATTCAAAAAAAAACAAAATCATTGGGAAAAAAACAGAAAGTTTCGAAAAACAAACGAAAAAAAATTGGCAAATATGTAGATTTTAGGTAAATAAAATTGGTAATGTGACTAGTTTTTGTTTGCAGGTTTGAAAAAAATTATCGAAGGGAAAAAAATTCTGAAATTCAAAAAAAAAGAAAGAAAGAAAAGATAGCCATCAGATCATCGGTTGTAAACGACAAAGAATTGCTTTCATATATGCTGCAGCTGATAATGCTGCATATGGTTGCCATTCTTTTTTTCTTGAACCATCTTTATAATCAGCAATACCACGAATAATTATATAACGATCTTTACGATTACCAAATATTGATTCAATAACAGTATCGAATTCAATATCAAATGCTTTGATACCGAATTTTAATGCAATATCTTGTCGTAATTGTTCATTGCCAACAGCTAATCGTCCTGAACCAACAGCACCGAAATGAATTTTTGGCATACCACGTTTTCGTGGATCATTTCGGTAGTTTTCTTCATTTTGTGGATCTGGTTCAGGATGAGCCATTTCAATCAAATCATTTGTACCGATTGACATATATAATTTATCAGTATTTTCATCAGGTCGCACGAATTCAAGATCATCACTTTCTTGTAATCGATTTCGTGCTTCTTCAATATATCGTTCCCATGATGGTTGACATTCATTATGATCATCTTGTTGTGTTTCATTATAAATTTGTCGAGCAATTTCCTGCAATTCCAATGATAATGGACACCAAAAACGATAATTAAATGAATCAACTGTTTGCAATTCTTTCCATGTTGAATTCGATGCATTCATCGGTTCATCGGGTGATGATCGTAATTTTTCACAATGTACATAGATAAAATCTGAACATGTTGGTGGTAATTGTCTTGGACGATTTTTATTCATTGAATTTGAATTTGAATGACCATTATTATTATTACCATGACCATGATCATTATGTCCACCATTATCACCGGCCAAATTGTTGATTGGTGATGATGATGCAGAATAATGATTTCGTCTTGGTGATGTCGATACAACAATATCACCAAGTCGTACATGTTGTTGATAATCAGTATAATGTGGAACACCACCACCGATACCAACCAAGAAAACATATTCAACATGTTGAAATGTACCTGTTGTTTTTGGTAATTAAGAAAAAAAATAGATCAGGTTAATTAATTGATTGATTGAAAATTAATTTCTTACCCAAAAGTCGTGTAGTTGTATTACCGGCAGCAATCATAGCCGAACGACTATTACCAACAGCCGGTAATTTTGTAGCCACAACACGATGTTGTCCAATATTACCCAAAGTATAAACTTGATTGGAATCACCTTCACCTTTATAACGAACATATGTATCTTTATTATCGATCATTGAATCGACAGCTAATTTTTCACAAAATTGTGCCGTTATTATTGCAACAGTTGGTTGTTGTGAACGGATAACTTTAGGCATTTGGCTAACACGTTTCACCTGTTGTTCATCACTAGTTACACGAATAACCTGACCAAGATCGGTTAAACGTGCAACACCTTTTGAACAAAGTTCATCAACTAAACGTTCAACATCTTCAGGGTTTGAACAGGTTGTACTATATAGAAAATTTTAAAAAAATATTAATTTTAAATTAACCGAAATCAATGGAAAAACTTACGCAGCAATATCAGGTAATGAAAGTGGATTTGGATAAGCCGATTCAATCATTTCACGAACTTTTTCTTCCGTTAATAATTGATTATAATGATGATGATGATTATTATTAGTATTCGAATTGTTTGAATCAAAATCCATTGCTAAAGAGAAAAATAAAAATGAAATTTTTTATCATTATTATTATGAAAGCTAAATAAAAACATCATCATCGAGGTTCAATAATTATTGTTCAATAAAGCAAATAATGTTCAATATGGATAAATCAATCAATCGATTGATTTTTTTAAAAATAGAATCAATTATTATCGATTTCCATCATCATTTGTGTTATTTTTGTTTTGTTTTTTTTTATGGAGAAGCAAAAAAAGAGGTTATTTATTTATTATTATTGTGATCAATGTGATTAAATGAAATCAATGATCAAATGGAACAAAAAAATTGAGAAAAAAAATCAAAGCAAGCATTCATTCATCAATTTGGAACTTGTTCATTCTCACACTTTTCAAACCAATCGATGATGTTATTAATTATACAGCCACACACATCATACCATTGTACTAATCATGTGTTTTCAAGCAAAATTCGTGATCAATTTGACCGCGCTTACAAAAAAAAAAGAAAGCAACACCATCGGTGTTATTTGACAGACAAAGACATCCATAATTTGTAGAAATTAAAGCCTTTTTCCTTTTTTGTTTTGTTTTTCTTTAACATCACTATTGATTATTTTAGACACACACACACACCACACTATTATTATTAGGAAAAAAGAAAAGCAAAACATTTTTCTTCAATGATCATAAGCTTTTTATATCATAAGCTTATTGATGAATGATGATGATAATCTTTTTGTTTCAAAAAATATTAAATGGCTTGTTTTTTTTTGATGGCAAAATATCTATCTATCTTGCTAACTGATGGTTAAATATTCATAGCATTTTTTATCATGCCTAAGCTTTCTATAGCATATCATATATTTTTGGTCGACGAAAAGAAAAAAACTAAGAAAATGTTACCATCATTTGATTGTTGTTGTTGGTGATAATCTTTTTCATCAATAATTTTTCGTTTAGGTTTGACCGGTGGTAATGTTTTTGTTGATGACCAACAACAAGGTTTCGATGAGATTCGTAACCTTTTGGTCATATCATTAATTTCATTAATACAATCTATTAGTAAATCATATGATGATGATAATGATTCTTTGGGTTTTTCATAATCTACAAAGAGTGATGAACGAATCATTTCGATGATTTTATCATTTTACAAACAGGAAAAAAATCACTAAATTCAAATCCAAACACAAATTCATTACTTACATGAACGTTGTGATGTTGATGTTGATGATGATAATGGTCGTTCAAATGGTTCATCAATTTGTTTTACTTCCAATTCTATACGTATTAATGGCCTATACATTGATTGTTGCATTGTTTTCATTAATTTCATTATAAAACCAACATAATTTTTTGGAAAATCTTTTGGATCAACCAATTGACGAAAAAATGATTGTGCACATTGAAGATAATTTTGATCTTTGCTGTTGCCATTGCCATTGACATTGATGCCGTTACCATTATTCAAATGATGATGATCATCATCATCTTGATTCTCATGATCATGATCAAACCAGAATCGTAATTCACGTGATTCTTGTTGATGAACATTTGTTATAGCATTGACCAGAAATACTTTGAATGCAAGACGTAAATCAAATTTTTTCGTAAATTGTTGTGATTGTGATTGAGCAATTTGTTTATTAATAATAATTCCTTGATGTTGACCACCGGCAATATGATGAACATTTTGTTGATCTTGTAATTGTCTACGATCAATACGTTCAACACGTAATATTGTATGATCTAATTCTTTTTTTAATGGTGTCATCATTATTAAATCTAAAAAAAAGGTTAACCAGATTAAAACATTATGAAAAAAACCAAATCAGCTTACCTGGTTGCTGTTGATGATCATCACCACCATTATGATGATTATGATGATGACCATTAACACCATTAGTTTTTACCATTGTTGGTGGTGGTGATCGATGTTGTGATCCACCATTCGATGATGATAATTCTGATGATGATTTTTGAATCGATTCGATTCCGTTTGTTGCCATTATTTTATTTTATTTCAAGAAAAAAGGAATGTAATTTTCAAACGAAGGACAGCAGCAATGGATTATATTTGGACCAAAAAAAATTTGTTTAAAAAGATTCATAAACAAAGCTCTTGACATTCGTTAAATAATTATCTTATTCTGAAAACAAAAAATTAGCAGAAAAGAAAATTAGTTAAATTGTCATCAATCAATCAAACGATAATAAAAAAAAATGTCATTTCTTTTCAAAGAAAAATAATTATCATAATGATGATGATGATGATATCAACCTTACGAATGACAACAAAAAAAATGAAGAGATTTTTTTCTCCCCTTATTTTTTTTGTCCGTTATTTTGGTTGTTTGTCAGTTATTCATTATGTGTCGATGTTTGCTTGTTCGATGATTGTTTGCATGCAAAACCATATTTGGGTTTTATTCGAATGTTTTGAATCCGGCTTTCCTTCTCTCTCACTCTAGGCTCAATTATTATATCCCGAAAATGGTAAAATCCTCTTTTTTTTGAAAACAAAAAGATCTTATTCTCTCTCTCTTTCTATATATAGTGGATTTTGATTTGATAATAATAATAATAATAATATCCATATAAACATGATAAACGGATAATAAATAAATAATAATGATGTTTAACTATGGTTTGAAACAACAACAACAACAAAAATGGATTGTGACACACACACACACACACGACCCAGAAAACGATCAAAGGATCTAAAACAAAAACAAAAAAACATTCATATCAAGTGTGGAGGCAGGCAAACAGGCAGTTGTAATTCAATTATGTAACAAAAACATTAAGGCAAAAAACCATCATCTTCATCTTCGTTCGTCCATATTTTTCGGGACAAAAAAATAATCGATTAACCGAATCGGTTTATTTATCATTGTTCGGTTATTTCACATATATAATCGGATTAATCGGATCAGATCAATAACATCATCAATCAATGAATGATCAATGTGTAATCCGATGACATTTTGTATGTAATTTGAATTTTCATGTTTTTTGTTCCATGTTTTTTATTTAAGAAATAAAAAAACAAAACAAAAAAGAAGATTTTATGGTCAAAATTGACCTAAATTTTTTTTTACTCAAATGAAAATCATTGAAAACAAACCTGGTCAAACGATATTCAAAAGAATTTTTTAAAAATTGCAAAATTTAAAACAACAAACCAAAACTAACCAAGCCATAATCATATTTCGGGGTCAAATAACACACACAAAACACAGAAAAATGAAATTAATTGCAAACAAACATTGTTGGATACAATGTTTTTTTGTTTGTTTGTTAACAAAAAGATGATTGTTTATTATTTCAAACAAAAAAACAAACAATGAAAAAAAATACTTTAAGAAAAAGATAATCATCATCAACGATGATGATTATGATATTCATATCATCATAATCATTACATCATCATCAGGTAAACATAGAGAGAAAAGAGACATTACCTTTTTGTTCTTTGTTTGTCAAATTGAATTACAGTCAGTCAGAAAACGATAAAAAATTCATAAAGTTTTTTTAAAAATGACGTTTGGTTTCACAATATTTGATTGATTCGATTTTTGGTTAATTTTTTCCGCAGATGAAAAAATGGAATTTTTTAATCGAACATTTTTTTCAAATCGCAAAAACAAAACAAACAAATGAGGAAAAAGTTCGTTAAATAATTTACACAAAGAAAAAAATGTTAATGGAGGTGACCATTGCCATGGTCACCATTTTAGGTTTATTTACATTTTTGGTTGTTTGTTTATTCAAAAAAATTTGAATTTACATTCAAATGTACATTCAAACATTCAATGCCTCGTGTGTCATTGGCCTCGAAGTGTTTCAAACAAAACAAATATTGTTTTGATTCATTTACATAAACGTATTTGCTTATTATTACCTGCATATTGTTTTAAAACTTGAAAAAAAACTTTTCCGGGATAAACACCATTCAAGAGAGAAATAAATTTTGCTGCTGTTGAAAATCGATGGTATCGATCATCATTATCGATCAATGATTGATTGATTGATTGATTGGAAATCTGACAATAATCATCATCATCATCATCATTGTTTGTTTGTGATGGTCATGGTCATCATCAGATATTTTCAAAAAAAAGAGAACACAAAAAAAACAATGAAAAATCCTATCTACCTACCAATCAATCAATCAATCATCGATATTAAAAAAAATATCGATAGTATCGAAGAATATCGATTGACAACAGAAAATTCGAATCATTTCCGAAAACAAAACCTAAAACCAAAACAAAAAGCAATCATGCAAATCAAAAAAAAAAGCTAAATTTTATTTTTTTTCGCTAAATTTGATTTGAAAACTGTCAATCAATCAGTTCATCATTAATAAATAATAATAATAGGGTAGGGTTATAATAATAATCTCCCTTCCTTCCTTTCTTCGGTTGATAAATCGACTGTGAAGAACTGAAAACAAAACAATTTCCCCCAATGTTCATTAATGAAGTACAAAAAAAATTCGTATTTCTTTCTTTAATTATAGCATCATCATCATTATTTGAAAAGGGGAAAAAACATTGTTTATTTTCCTTTAAAAAAATGTCGTGTAGTAAAATGTTTTGTTTATTGTTTTTACTTAATGGATGATGATGATAATGATGTCTTAATCTAATAATGTCATCATCATTATGGATGGCCAACAACAACAACAAAAACAAAATATCAATCGAATCAATTAGCTGAAAATGACATGTTCACGATTCAAGATTTTTATCAAAGGAGAAGAAAATGATAGTCGTGAAAACTAAATCCAGAGCAATTTCATCAACAACAAAAACGAAAAAAAAATCTCATGGTCATTTCCTTATCCTTATTTTATCAATCAAGGATTCATCAATTTTTTTGTAAATAGAAAGTGTGAACAAAACAAAATCGAATAATGTTCAATGTTTTTTTTCATCATCAAAGGTCCATTGTTTTCAATATTCTTATCATCAGCAAAAACATCAACAAAATGATTGTTATTTTTTTCGGATATCTTCTTGAAATCGCAAAAATATCATCATTTAATAATAACAACAACAACAATGATTTACAAAGACACACACACAGAGATCGTTAATGTGTTTCTTCTTCTTCTTCTTCAATATTCATTCTAAATATAGCAAATTAGTTCATTGAATTTGATTGTTATTTGACAATGAGAAAAAAGTTTGTTTGTTTCTTTCGCACAAACACATAAACAACTTACTTATTAGAATCGTAGAATTTTGTTTGGGTGAAAAAAATTGAAGGGATTCTTTTGGCTAAAAATATTACCGGAAAGATTCTCTTTGATGCACACACAAAACAAGAAAAATAAACAAAATCGAAACGAACTGAAAGAATTTTTAAAAGTTTTTCTCAAATCTTTCTCATACCAACGAAACCAACAAAACAAACAAAACATTACCATTGGACAGAATTGAGCGATGAGAGAAAAAGATGTATAATTTTATTTGCTTATCAATCTGATAATTTTATTGGTTCGTTGTCAAGGTATTTTTTCTACGATAACAACAAACAATCGATCGATCTACATTTTACAATCATTTCATCATTTTAGACTAAATAAACTAAACTAAAAAGTAAACTAAATAACTGATGATAATAACTGATGATGATTCTATGAATACCATGACAACATTGTTTTTTGATAATGGATTTTTAGTGGTAAACATTCTAACCACAACAACAACAACAAAAAATTGAAACAGGTGCCATAATTTAGTCGTCAGGCATATCAAAACACAAAATATATAAGGCCATAAATAGTGATTATATAAAAAAATGTGAATGTGAATCACATTTTGGAAAAACAAAAAACAAAGCAAAACTAAATTTCAAAAACCTGTTGAACAATGATGATGATAATAATGGGACACAATAATGATGGTTAATGAACAAATGTTACACACACATACACACCCAAAAGCCAAATATAAAAAAAAGGCTAGGTGTAGGCGTCCAAGTTCAGGTGATGATGATGATTATGGAAACAAAAAAAAACAATGATTCTGGTTCCATAATCATCATTATTGATTGAACTTTTTGGACACAACGAAAGAGAGAAAGTGGAAATTTGATTAACCGTTAGAAATTGTATTATTTAGTTTTTTTTGGGCGAAACACATTGAGTGTGTGCTATATGGAAAAACATTTCGTTAAACAAAACAAAAAATGGGCAGAACAAAACACAATCATTTTTGGCTGTTGTTTCAAGTTAATTATGACGAATGAATATTTTTGCAAACAACAGCCATATCAAACAACAAAACAACAGCCATATATATTATTCATAACAAATTTGAAACAAACTAAATCCTGGAATACACATAGATAGTTTTTCTGCATTTTGTTTCCAAAGTTACCAATAGAAAGAAACTTTTTTTGAAAAAAAATGACAATTGCAAATCAATTGTGCAATATCTGTTTGTTGTCGTAGCAAAATTGAAGAAACTGTAAATAGACTTACCTCTATATTTTTATTAAGTTTTGTTTTACGTTTTGAAAATGAAATTTGAAAAAATGTCACCCATAAAGCTTGTCACACAAACACAAATTGTTCAATGTCAACCCTTTGTTGGTTACAATTTTGTTCTTTTTTGGATTCTGACGTTTATCAATGACGTTTGAAGATTTTTTTGATACGTTCCAGATGCGCGTTTGTTGTGTTATCGATAACAATTATTGTTTATTGGGCCAAAAATTTCATTATTGTTTTTTTTGGAAAAACATCTGCAAAAACAACAACAGCGAAAACAAAATATCATCGTTGTTGTGGTCGATATTTGAAGGTGATGATGATGATGATAATATCAAACACACCAAACAGAAACAAACAGATGCTCCAAAAAAAAAGTTGTTCAGAAAATAATCATGATGCTGGTGTGATACATATGTTGATTATTGATGTTTTGGATAATTGCCTGTTTTGGAATAAACAAATTTCTGTTGATATCAATGATGATGATAGGGATGTTTTCTTGCTTGTCGTTCACAACAAATTGATTATTTTTTTGGGTATATCTTTCGATTAATTTTAATGATTTTTGATTTCAAAAAACCAAAAATCAAAATGTTGTTATTGTCGATTTGAGTTGAGCTGAATTCGATTGAAATATTCGAATAGAGATGACTCAGATGATTCTTTATAAAATACTGAATACGTTCATTTTACGTTTTTGATTCGTTGATCCATCGTTCGAAATGATGTTTTTCTCAAATGAAATTCATCAAAAAAAAACCTTGATTATAAAAACGATCATCATTTGGGAAATTGATTTGGAAAAAAATGGGTTGATGATGATGGTTTTATTTTGAATTTTTTCTTCAATTGTGTGCACCAGAAAATATATTTTTAAAAAACGACAAACCCAAAACAATGGTGGATTATTATTTTTTTTTTTTTTTGAAGAAAATTTTCAAAATTAATGACGAATGATAATAACGATGATGATGATGATGATTAAAATTGAACCAGGCAGGTAAGCACAGGCAGGCAGGCAGGTAAAACGATTAACAATTTAAATAATCCACCATTCAAAAAATTCAAATCAATATTGTTGTTGTTGTTAGTTTGTCGCATGACTCATACAAACTAAAAGTCAGAAATGAAAAAAAAACAAAACAAAACAGACGAAGAAACTTATCCCGCCGTAATAGCATCCTACATTTTGAAATGTTGTTGATGATGAAAATGATGTTTTTCTCTTCTCTTTTTCTCTCTCTCAATCATTCGACTAACTGTAAATTTGAAAGTATTTTCATTTTGCCATCAAATTTCATTCATTGCATTTTCAATGATGTCCATTCAATCCATTTTCTCTTTTTGATGGTTGCAGTTGTTTTAGGGGTTTGTCATCGTTTGAATAACACAACAGTTATACCTTTGTATTATTATTATTGTTTGGTTGATTGGTTTGTTGATGGTTTAGTTGAATTGACGATTGATTTTGATTTGTTGATGATGACTTGATGACTGGATGACGATCATTATTCAACAACAAACAAACGAACAAACAAAAAATGATGTAAATTAATTTGAAAGGAAAAAAGAGAGATGCTCAAAAGAATCAAATCAAAATGAATGGAAATTTTGGCTTATTCTGCAGTTGCTGCTAGTTGTTGTTTCATTGAATAAAGATTCATCGAAGAATGTGATTCATTCGGGTTGGAAAATGATTCAATTCATTTGAGAATGGATATTGGGTAGTAGTGGTGGTGGCTTTCATCAATTCGCGATTGTGAATTTTTCGGTGGGTTCACAGTTAAGTGATGTAAATATAGAATCCACATTTGGAAAGTTCATTTTCCTGGTTTTGCATTTTGGGTGTTCAGACAGAGAGAGAGAGAGAGAGAGTGGGATACCCATCATCACCAAACACCAGAAAATGTTATCTGGGTATATATTTGGGTGGCGGTGGTAGTGGACAAAATTTTTGGCAAACATTGCTGCTTCTGTTGTTTGATATATGAAAATCACATGGACGATTCGATTCAATTTGATATGATTTCGGCCATTTAAGAAGAAAATAAGGGTATCTCCCACACACACACAAAAAAAACTTATTTCATCAAACATGAGGCTTTTGACCTGATTTTGCTCGCCATACTGGTCAGAAGAAAAAAACATGATGATGATCGGTCATTATTGAAATTCATTCATTCATTCAATCAATCAAGAAAAAACAGCTGTCCATAACCATGAAATAAAAAAAACGTAAAAGTTTTTTTTTGGTTGTTTTCTGGGTTGATTTTCGGTTTTTCGTTTTTTGCTGGTTTTTTCATCATTCGTTTTGGTTGATCCACCCAGAAAAATGTTGCATTTTCGAAACAATGTTTTTTGTTGTTTCATTCGCGGTTGATTAGATTCGATAATTATGATGATGATATCGATAGGAAAAAAGTGGTAATTTTGATTCAAAAACTTTGAAAATTAAAAAAAAAAAAAAAATTTTGTTTTCGCGAACCATTCGAAATATCCGGTTCTTTGTTTACAATTTCATTTGTGCCATCTATCGAATTCGAATCGAACATAATTTGCATTTAATATCTTGGAAATTAGATGGCGCTAAATGCAAATGAATATTATGGTTATAATGCGCCGACTCATTTCGATAAAAAAAAAATTCTGGCGTGTCATTCTCTGTCACAATGTGTGTTTGTGATGTTTGTGTGATGCAAATTGCCAATTAACAAAAATTCATTATCAAATCAATTTTTGAAATTTTTTTTCACTTTTTAATTTCTATTTTTTTTCATATAAAAATTATTTGAAGCAAAACATTAAAAATCTTTTTTTCCAAATCATCAAAGATGCCTGTCATTCATGTTGAAAATGATGAAACATTTTTAAATCATTTAAGCCATAATGGAATTGTTGTTGTTGATTTTACTGCCAGTTGGTAAGTGCCATTAAATGTTTTCACTGCTGTCATAATTATAAATTAATTTTTTTTTTCAAAATGGAAAAACATCAAATCAAAGGTGTGGACCTTGTCAACGTATTGCACCGGTATTTGAACGTTTATCACAAGAATATTCGGCTCGTGGTTTAAAATTTTTAAAAGTTGATGTTGATGAATGTCCGGATACAGCACGTAATAATAATGTACAGGCAATGCCAACATTTATTTTCTTTAAAAATTTGGTTGCTATTCATCGTATGCAAGGTGCTGATCCAACAAGTTTAGAAACAAAAATACGTGAACTGGTTAATTCACAAGAAAATATGGCTACAGCATTAGCTGAATCTGGTGTTGCCGGTTTTATGGATTTATCATCATTCATTAATAAATCACAATCCGAATGTTTGAATGAATGTGATAAAAATAATCTTGGTCATGCATTATTACCCGGTTCAGGATTTTATCTACAATCTGATTGTGATGAACAACTAATTATAAATTTGGCATTTAATCAACCGGTAAAAATTCATTCGCTAAAATTAACAGCACCAGCATCAAATGGTCCAAAACATTTGAAATTATTTATTAATCAACCACGTACATTAGATTTTGATCAAGCAAGTACAATGCAACCAATTCAAACTATTGATGTTCAAGTTGATGATTTGATTAAATCAAATCCGATACCATTACGTTTTGTTAAATTTCAAAATGTACAGAATTTAATTGTAAGTTTCCTTTTCTTCTGTTTTATCATTTGATTAAAATTTTTAACCCTTCTTTTTTTTCCAATATCCCATACATATCCATAGATATTTGTTGAAAATAATCAATCAGGTACTGATTGTACACGTATCGATAATATACAATTAATTGGTCAAACAGTAAGCAATACAAATATGTCTGAATTTAAACGTATTGCAGGTAAAAAAGGTGAAAGTCATTAATTGAAAAAAATGATAAGAATAACCATGCAAAACATTGTTTGCACAACAAAAATGTAATCTTTTCTTTAAAAAAAAAGATAATTCAAATTTTATGATGAAATAAAATTTTTGTCAATTTTGAAGGAAATCCAATAGTCTTTTCTTTTGTTGAGTATAAAATGAATAAACAAACAAACAAACGATAAACATTACCAGTATCTTTATACTTGTAAATATCAAATCTGTAAATCTTGTTGTTGTTGTTGTTGTAATATTTATCGGGATTTATTTCCCGGACGATCGTGCAATGAATTGTTAAGATGATGATCTGGATTAATCTAAATGATGACCAGCAGTGAAAAAAAAACATACAATTCTGATCATCTGTGTTTGGAAAATGTAAATGTAATCAAAAATTTTTTTCGATGAATCAATTTTGGTTAATGGAAAAAGTCTCTTCATTTGTATATGAATGACGTGAATGATTTTCATAAGGGCTGTTCTGTTTTGAATTTGGATATTGCGATCACTCCCGAAATCAATGTTGTTGCTTTTCGTTTTTTTTAAAAGTTTGATTTGGTTGTTCTATATAGACGTGCGCAACAATTCGTTTGGATTCTTTTTTTTGTAATCTTCTCTAATAATAATCATCATCATCAGATTGTTGGTTTCACGGTGTTTTTCCAACAAAAATGCCCATGTGCAATTTTTCTGGAATGACGTACATATATATGTTTTGTATGTTGTAATTACATCTACCCAAAGAGAGAAAAAGATCTTTCAAAATCGATTTTGGAGAATCTTTATTTGATGCCGGTGTGTTATTAGCCTGTGTGAATAGAACGAATGGTTATCATCCACCAAGGATCCATTATTACCATTCATTCAATGCTGTTTTTTGTTTTGTTTCTGTTTTTCTGGATCAAGTTTGAATCGATTCGCGGTTGATTTTTTACCGATTTTCCTTTTTTTCGCTGATGGCTGTCTTCTGCCAAAACCAAAAAACCTCGACAACAAATGTAATAGTTATTATAATGAATAAAATAGAAAAAAAATTATCTTTTTGTCAAAAAAAAGAAAAATCACATACTTCTCTTTTTCATTGTTTGGTTTTCGTCTGTTGTTTTTGGTTGATAAATTATATATAAAAATTGTATTTTGTATGTTTTGCACACATTTTTTTTGTCTTTTCTTTTTCTCGCCAAATTCATTTTCCAATATTGTTATTTTCTTCTCATCGTCGTCGTCGTTATTGTGTTTATCACACGCTATATTCGTCGAGCATTATTTTCATCAACCGAAAGAGACAACGACGACAATAAAATGGTGGTAGCAGTGTGTGTAACGAACCAAACGAAACGAAAACGACAATCAATTGTCATTTGTCTATATGGCGCCAAATAACAAACAACAACAACAACGACCATAACGATAAAGATAACGACCATAATAACGACAACCGACAATAATGATAATGATGATGAGAAGAAAAAGAAATTTCAATTCAATTGCTTTCGAAATCATCAAATGAATTTTAAAAAATTCAACATTGAAAAATCAAATACATTCGAATTCTATTTCGATCCAAGTGGTCTGTCCAATTGTTTCCGCATTTTTTTCAACAATTTGTGTGTTTATAGAATCGAATCAAATCAATTCGATACAATCGATACTTTGCATTCGATTAACACCCGCGAAAAGAATATTCTCTCCCGGTGTTGGTAAGTTGCCCAAAAAAAAAGTTTTGATTTTTGATTTTTTTTCTGAATTTTTACAAACATCATTTCTCTCTCTCTTTCTCTGTCTGTTTGACATGTTGCTCTCTCCCGGAATCGATTCGATCAATCTTTTCGATTGACTTTTGATTTTGATTATTTTATTAATTTTTTTTTGGCTCATCTTTCAGTCAGTTTCGTAATTTCAGTTTGTTTAACAATGATTATGATGAAAACGAATGGCCATGAATTCTATTTTCAGCTATTCTTTTGTTTTTGTTATTTTCAAAATGTCAGATGTTTTTTTTTTGCAAGAATCAGATCCTATCCAATTCCCTAATGTCCTAATAAATAACTTTTTTTTAAGTTTTTGTTAGTTCTCAGTTTACAATTTGTTTTCTAAACATGAATCATTAATGAAATCTGTTTAAGCTTTCTTTTTCTTCAAAATTATCAGATCAGTTTTCTAATGAAATTTTAAAGAACGAAACACTTTTTTCGTTGTTGTTGTTGTTGTCATAATGAAAATCCAGATTCTGTTCTGATGACGAAAAACGAAAAAACAAAAATCCAAATTGACATCATTCAAATCGAATGATGATGAATGATTTATGTTCATCATCATCATCATCGAATGTTTGATAATCACGAAATCCTTTTCAAACAGAAAACAAAAATTGTGATTTTTTTTAGAATAAACAATTTTTTTTTAATACTAACCTATTTCGCTGGTTTCATTTTCATTTTCATTTCTGCTATTTTTGATTCATCTCTGGTTGTCAATCATCAATCATCATCATAATTGATGAAATGGAACTGTAAATCTTGATTTAACCGGATTAAACCCAAAAAACAAACAAACGCCCATCATCATCATCATCATCATCATCATCATCATCTATCCATCGTCTTTGTCAGGTGATTGTAAATTACCTTATAATTTTCTGTATCGCTTCCGGTTGTAATAATAATTATTTATTATTAATGAAAATCTGGGTGATCAGATGATCTCATTAGAAGATAGTTATTTTCAATTTTTTTTTGTTTGATGAAACACACACATACCTTTGTTCAAAAATGATTGATGGATTTTGTTTTTTGGTTTGTTTGCTTCAATGAATCGTTGATAAAGCAAAACAAAACAAAAAAAAACCTGAACAATTTTCGAAAAACCATACGCTGCACAATTCCATGATGATCGAAAGAAGATCATTATCAACGACGAAGACGACACAATGTCAAATGGCCATCACCAAGATTATCATCAAAACCAACGATAATGGGATTCGAACGTCAAAACATTCGAATGGCCACCACCCCCATCATTTGTTCCACTTAATTTTTTTCCTTTGGCTAATATCGATACAATCGATTGTTGTTGTTGTTGTTGATTGTTATTCAATATCGAATCCAACATTCGATTCGGAAATTGTTATTGTTGATGGTCGCCGTCAAAATCAAGCACAATCAAAATCATTATCATCATCATCATCCTCACCACAATCATCTTCATCTTCATCATCATCGGCTACAACAATACCAACAACAATTGCTTCAACAATTCAATCATCAAATCATCCAAATTATAATTATTATTTTACCTCAAACAATCATCAACATAATGATGGTAGTAATAATAATCATGGTAATCATGATGGTAATAATGGTGGTAATAATGGTGGTGGTGAACATCAAGAATTACCACCAAGAAGATTTCAGGTTGCCAAATTTGATTTTGAACATGGTATGTTTCATTATTGATTTTTCTTTGATTTCTGATTTTTGATTTGAAAATTGTTATTATTTCAGTTTCAACACCTTATATCATTCTATTATGGATCATTATTGTTGGTTTGGCCAAAATGGGTGAGTGTTAAAAAAATCCTATTTACTATTCACTATTTTTACATGCGTCAATCGAATGAAAAAAATGGGTTTTTCTTCTCCAGAATCGATCATCAATCAATCAATCAATCAAAAAAAAACTTTTTTGTTCAATTTTGTTGGAATTTTTCATTCATTTTTGTAGAAAAACCCAACAAGAAATGAATGAAGAATATTTTCTCCTTTTCACTATCACTTTCATTGACACTGATATTGATTACTGACATTGCATAATAGCTATGCAATCATCAATGTCATTGGTTTTTTTCTGTTTCTGTTGATTGAATGTACCTGAAGAATTTTTTATTATTCGAATTGAAATTTGTTTGTTTCATTCACACGCAAACAATGTATTTAGAAAAAAAGGTGTTTTTTTCGTTCGTTTTGTTTGCAAGAATCGATCATTTATCCAGTATTTAATTAGTTAGGATAAATAGGTTCGATTTGTGTGATAATTTATTTCCCGAAAATTACCGGGTAATTTTCTCTAAATTGTTCATTAATGATAATGATTCTTTGGTGAATTCTTTGGAAAAACAAAAAAAAGAATTTACTTTTACTCGATTCTCTTTTGATTATCAAAAGTGATTTTTTGTTTCTGGTTTTGTTTTTTTTTTGTTTTTTCTGTAACCAACCACTACTCATATAGCTATTTCATATCAGGTTAATAAATTTTTTACCAGAAAAAAAATAGAAAATTGGCCCGTTACCATGATGATTTTGTTTAGTTTAGTTTTGTTTTGTTTGCTTTGTTTTTTTCCAGTTTGTTGTTTTTTTTTCATTACCGGTCTTTATTTTCCCGAATAAAGAAATTCTTTAATTCTTTTGATTCGAAAATTATATTTGATCATCGAAATGAATGATGATCGGGTGTGTCGATAATTGATCATCACACTTAGTCGTTCGTCACTCGCTATACAAGATTGCCAAAAAAATTGATCATTTCGGGCGATCAACCTTGAAATCAATGATCAAATTTGAAGATTATCTTTATTTTCATTCACTTAATCGATCGATCGATCAATCAAACTAAATTAAATTGATTGATTGAATTTTGGATAGGAAATCAAAAAATACTTCAAGGATTTTCTTGTTATTTCCTAGCCATTAGATTGATGACAAATTGAAAATAAAAATAGAAAATTTTTTTTAAAAAATATCGATGGTATCGATCGATATGATCGATGGTCATTGAAAAAAAACAACATGTGTGTGTGTCAAGTATGACATCCTGTCATGATTTTGGACAAGTGTTTTTTGTTGTTGTTGTGAAAATCCTTGAATTTTTTTTAGAAAAAAATCGAAATATTTTTCAATTCAATCGATGATTCTATCTTATCTAAGATTCTTTTAGAATCAATCAATCAGATACACCTACACACAGGGTTAAATGGAAAGGGTGTGTGTGTGTGTGTATCAAACTACCTGGCAGGTATTTATCATCCACATCCATCAGAATCAATCAATCAGAAACAAGAAAAAAAAAGAAACATCGATTAGGAAATGCGTTTTTTTTTTGATCGCATAAATCATCGAACCATTCCAAAAGAACAAAAGCCAAACAACAATCAATCAGTGTATCGAAAATGATAATTAAATTTGACAATTTTTTCTTTCTTTCTCTGTCTCTAAATTGTTTTTGATTGAATGATCTCTAATCATAATTTTTGTTTTTGTTTTGTTTCTCAAACATGTTTCTCTCTTTTGTTTTATATGTTGAAAACTTTTTTTGTTTTTCATTTGTATTGGTTTGGTTTGGTTAGGTTAGGTTAAAAAAAATGCGAAAAGATAATTAGGCCGCCACCAAATAATTATTCTTCCAAAATGATTATTGTATTTGATGATGATGGTAGTTTATCAATTCCACATTCAAAGTTCAGGCGCTTGGCTGTTGTTTTCCAAGAATTCATTTTCTAATCCGGAAATCCTTTTTTTGTGAAATTGAAAAAATCTTATCAAAAAACAAAATTCCTACGAAATCTAGTTTTGTTGTTCGGGATTTCCTTGTTTTTTCATTTGTCCATCAAACTACCTGGAAATAAAAATATTGATTAAATGTGAAAAACCAATGAAATTTCTGTTGTTTTCTCAACAAACAAACAAATTGATGTGAAATTTGGAAAAAACAAAAACAAAAATTGGCCAATCGATTTGATGGCCAACATTATCTTTTTCTCTTTCTTGGATTTTTTTTTAATTTGTTGAATCCTTGAAAAAATGTTGTTGTTTCTCTGTTATCTTCCTGACTGCCAAACCAAAAACGAGAAAATGAATGAAATTCGCTTGATTGAACTTGACATTCAAAAAAAATTTTTTTTCAAAAACGATTGATAATGACTTGTGTGGATAATTTCAATCATGATGATGATTGAAAATATAATGATGATTATTATTCTGTGGAAATTTTCATTTCCTTTCCCCCTCTATTTCTACCACCATGATCACCTTGTATGTGTGCATATAGTTGTCAGAAAAGAATACAGTGACAGAATTGATTTGTTGCCATTTCATTTGACAGTTGTAATTAACATTTGATAATAATGATTCTTTGATTTGATTATAATTGATTGATTGATTGAATAATTTTGATTGACAATCCAATCAATTTATCATTACCAATTTGCATGATTGATGTGCAAAATCAACACTATAATAACAATGATGATGATTTTTTAACTTTTTTTGAATTTAAATTTAATTTTCTCTTCCCCCTTAAAAAACAGGTTTTCATGTTACACCAAAATTATCATCAATATGTCCGGAAAGTGTTGTACTAATGATACTTGGTGTTATTATTGGTTTAATTATGTATTTTGCTGGTATACCGGAAGAACGTTTACAACCATTAACACCAAATTTATTTTTTCTTTATATGTTACCACCAATTGTTATGGATGCTGGTTATCATATGCCAAATCGTTTATTTTTTGATAATTTAGTATCAATATTATTATATGCTGTTGTTGGTACAATATGGAATACATTGGCTATTGGTTTTTCATTATATGGTTGTTCACAATTGGGTGTTTTTGGTGAAGAAATTCCATTTTTAGATATAATGCTATTCAGTTCAACAGTATCGGCTGTTGATCCAGTTGCCGTTCTAGCTGTATTTGAAGAAATTCATGTTAATGAAGTTCTTTATATTTTGGTTTTTGGTGAATCATTATTAAATGATGGTGTTACCGTCGTCCTATATCATATGTTTGAAGGTTATGCTGAAATGACATATCATTATGGTGTTGATTCTATACAAACAATCGATTTGCTAGCCGGTGTTGCATCATTTTTTGTTGTTGCTATTGGTGGTACTGCTATGGGTATATTTTGGGGATTTCTTGCTGCATTTGTATCACGTTTTACACATCATGTTAAAATTATTGAACCAATTTTTGTATTCGTTATGGCTTATCTTTCATATTTATCGGCGGAAATGTTTCATTTATCCGGTATTCTAAGCCTTACGTTTTGTGGTTTAACAATGAAAAATTATGTTGAAGAAAATATTACACAAAAATCACATACAACATTGAAATATGCAATGAAAATGTTGGCCAATTCATCCGAAGCAATTATTTTTGTATTTTTGGGTGTTTGTACTGTTAATGATCAACATCATTGGAATACAGCATTTGTTGCTCTGACAATTATATTCTGTTTGGTTTATCGTACTATAGGTATGGATATTTTTACCTGAATTTTCTTCTTAATTCTTGGTTTTTTTTCTCCCCTTAATTGATTACAGGTGTATTAGTTTTGACTACATTAACAAATCGTTATCGTTTACATCAGGTTAATCGTGTTGAACAATTTATTATGTCATATGGTGGTTTACGTGGTGCTGTTGCATTTGCATTGATTCTAATTATTAATCGTCAAATTATACATGCTCGTGAAATGATGGTTACAACAATTATTGCTGTTGTTTATTTTACTGTTTTCCTTCAAGGTATGACTGTTGGAACATTGGTTAAAATACTAAATGTACCACGTGCAAATAAATTTGAATTAACAATGAATGAACGAATTCATACCAGGGTATGTATCATTTTTCAATCTGATTTTTTCGATACATTTTCTTTCGTTTTCTCTTAGCTTATGGATCATGTAATGGCCGGTTTGGAAGATATTTCTGGTATGATGATGGGCAATTATAAATTACGTGATAAATTTCGTTATTATAATAATAAATATCTACGTAAATGGTTACTACGTGATTCAAAAGAAATGGGAAATTCATCAAGGAAAATTTTTGAAACATGTTCCCGTCTGGATTTACGTGATGCAATGTCCCTAGTTTCAAGACAACATTTAATGGCAACATCAGCAGGAGCAGCAACTGTAACAATGAATGGTGACAGTGCTTCAGGTAAACGTTTAGAATTTGCAGCAGCATCCGCTGCATATTCGAATGCAAATTATGTTGTTGATGATGATGATGATGATGATTTTAAAAATAATAATATCATCAATAAGAAGAAAAAGAAACCAAGAAATATACCAAGAGTATTTTTAACCGTACCAGGTAATCCAGCACTTGCTACATCAGGTATAACACCTATTGTTGTTGATCCAAATCAATCACTGCAAACATTACTTCGTTCATTTACACAATCAAATTTGGCTGCACTGTATCAAGAAGATTCCGGTATGAAATATCAACCAACCAATCCAACAACTACACCATCAACAAATAATTCAACACCAAATTCATCATTTGAATCAAATTATGATAATGGTGATTATTTTATTTCATCAAATGAAGAAGTTATAAAATCTAAACAACAACTACAACAACCGAATAGTTTGGATTTTAATTATGATATCGGTACGGTTGTTTATTCACCTAGTTTAAAAGATTTAAAAGATGCTGAACTACATCATATTCTTAGTGATGCTATGTTTAAACCATTTAAAAAGGTAATTTTTTGATTTTTGTCTAAATCTTGTATTAATTTTCATGCAATGATCATTAGGCACATCATTATACACGTAGTGATTATTATGAAGAACCAATATCACATCCACCATTTCAACATCAAGTACGAATGCAAATTCGTCGTTTGATTTCGGAAAAAGAAACACAACAACAACAACAACATCGTCGTCATCAACATCGTCGTCATACACATCATAGTTCTTATCATCATCATTCATCACAAAGGGATAAAAAAATTAAATCAAAAAATCAACATCAAAATAATGATAATAATGATGGTGGTGATAATGAAAAATTTGAACAAATTGAAATGAAATCATCAAATAAACCAAAAAATCATCATCATCATAAACATCGATCAAATTTATCGAAAAAATCCAATTTAAAAAGATCAAAATCTGAAAATGAAATTGATAATTTTGATGATTCGGATAACAATGAAAATTCTGATGAAAAAAATTATTCAAAAACAACGAAAAATAATAACAACAACAAAAACAATGCAGATGATAATGATGCTGATGTTGATGATGATGATGATGATGGTGGTATAACATTTGTTGCTAAAAAATTACCAAATGATGATGATGATAAAGCAAATGATAAATCATCGCCATCTCTGCCATTGGCCACTACGATAATGATGACAAAACCAATGAATTTTCCATGGCGTCGTACATCATCAACAACACAGAATAGTGAAACTGAAAATTATCAAGATGATTCGATAACATCGTTATCTAGTCAAGAACAACAGCCACAATCACAATTACAGCAGCACAATTCTCATAACCATCGTCATTATCATCAACAACAACATAATTTACCATCACCAAGATCAAAATCATCATCATCATCATCAAATCGTAAACGATTAAAAGATGGTGTTATTAGACAACGTGAATTTCCACCATGGATTAAAAATCGTGATTATGTTGATGATTATTGTTCACCAACAACAACCCTATTGGAACGGATTAATTTTTTCGATAATATTCGTTCGAATTCCACATCACCACCACGAACATTATCACCAAATTCATTGAATTCGAATGATGTGGCCGAACAATTGCCACCAATGACACCTGCATCAACATTGAATAATAATAATGGCGGCCAACAACAGCCGAAAAAAGTGCCAAGTGTTTATGAAATATTTCAACTAGATAAAGATGGACAACCAATTAAAACATCAAAATCGTTGGATCAAAATTTCGAAAAATCAATGATTGTTGATGGTCATGATCAAAAACAACAATCAAAACAACAACAACAGCCACAGCATACTAATTTTGGATCAAATGATACGGTTATTGAATTTAAATCATCATCAAATTCGACCAATAATAATAATGATAATGATAATGATGATAGTTTAGTTATCATTTCAAAATTGTGATATTGTAATTTTTTTTGCTTGTTTGTCAATGAAATGATTAGTAAGATTTTTTTTTTTTGAATTTATTTTATCAAATTGTTATTATTTGGGTAAATTTTTTGGGGGGTTTGTTTCTCTGAATTTAGATTTTTGAAAATAAAAATTATTTTATTTTTTCTATTTAATTCAATCATTGGGGTTTTTTATAGTTGAAAATTTGTGGAATTTGGTAAAAAAATTTAGACTTGTGTCCGTTTTTTTAGGTAAAGTTCGTCGTAATATAATAGTGATTTGTTATGAGATAAATCATTGACCGGAATTGTCATCGGTCCTTTACACTCGGACCGAAGGTGAAATTATCAGTCTGGTAAATAATTTAAAAATAATCTCGAAACAGAGATGGTACCTTTTGGCCACTATAAAATTTCGATGGAAGTAAGAAGTTACATTCGTTTTCCATTATATCTCGAACGATGTGACTTCGAAGATTGTGTTACCATCGGATGCAATTTCTTAGTTAGGCTTTGCGAATCGAAAGGGCTATCTTGGCCTATTTGAGAATATTAATGTTAGGAAAATTTTAGTAAAAAAAAATTTAACACCAGAATTTTTTCTGGAAACAATAACTCTTGGTGCAAACGTGTCAAAGAATACGCAACATTCCAAAAAGAAAATTTGATGGCGGGATTGAAATTTCAAACAATACTTCATTCATTTAAAACTTTTCCCACTTAGAAAAGAATTCGAAAAAAAATTTAATTTTTTTCATCAATTAAATCGAAAACCGAACGCGATTTGGATATTTGATTGTTGCATCACATGAAAATAATTCCATGTTAAATGTTCGATTTATCGAACATCGTCGGAAAAACGAATTCGAACCGGAAAAAAAAATCGAACATTTTTTTCAAAAAAAAAAATTGACGAACGACATCTATGAACGGAAAAGCACATGTTTTTTTCTGCTCAAAAAATCGTGCAAGTTTTTTTTGAAAATTTGAAATTTGACAATTCAATCGAATTCAAATTAAATCAAAGTTGACCATTATCATAAATTATCATCAATCATGGATGTCGATCAAATTGTTGGTGAACAACAACAACAAATCGTACAAAGATTGGAAAGAACTGGCGCGCATTCACATATACGTGGTTTAGGTTTGGATGATAAACTTGAACCGATCGAAAAGGTTTGTTTTTTTTTGTTTTTCACAGGGAAAATTTCCCTAATCATATTTCATTTTGAAATTAGTCGGAAGGAATGGTTGGGCAAAAAGCTGCACGTAAAGCAGCCGGTTTAATTGTTAAAATGATTAAAGAAGGACGAATTGCAGGACGGGCTATTTTGATTGCCGGCCAACCGGGAACTGGTAAAACAGCTATAGCAATGGGTATTGCTAAATCATTATCACCAGAAACACCATTTGTTTCAATGTCAGCATCGGAATTATTTTCGCTGGATTTATCCAAATCTGAATCATTAATGCAAGCATTTCGTAAAGCAATTTCAATAAGTATTAAAGAAGAAAATGATTTTCTTGAAGGTGAAGTTGTTGAAATACAAATTGATCGTTCAGCTGATCAACTGACACGTGTTGGAAAGTTGACATTAAAATCAACCGATATGGAAACTGTTTATGATTTAGGACAGAAAATGATTGATAATTTGATTAAGGAAAAAATATCCGCGGGTGATATTATTACTGTTAATAAATCAAATGGTGTTGTAACAAAATTGGGAAGAAATTTTACCCGTAGTCAAGATTATGATGCTATTGGACCAAATACCAAATTTATTCAATGCCCAGAAGGTGAAATACAGAAACGAAAAATTGTTCGTCATTTTTTGAATCTTCATGAAATTGATGTAATCAATTCCAGACAACAAGGATTTATGGCACTGTTTTCAGGTGATACTGGTGAAATAAAATCTGAAGATCGTATGAAAGTTAACGGGAAAATATCCGAATGGAAAGATGAAGGAAAAGCTGAATTGCATCCAGGTGTATTGTTTTTGGATGAAGCACATATGCTGGATGTTGAATGTTTTTCCTTTCTGAATCGTGCATTGGAATCAGAATTTGCACCAATCGTTATATTGGCTACTAATCGTGGTATAACACGTATACGTGGTACAAATTATCGTTCACCACATGGATTTCCACCAGATTTTTTAGATCGTTTAATCATTATTCGTACACAACCATATACAAATGAAGATATTTCACAAATTCTGAAAATTCGTGCCGAAGAAGAACAAGTTAATATTGATAATGATGCACATTTAATATTGACAAAAATGGCTACCGAATCTAGTTTAAGGTAAGTGGGTTTTTTTTGTTCGGAAAGAAAAAGGTTATTAATTTTTTCTCCATAGATACTCACTTCAATTAATAATAACATCAGATATTTTGGCTAAAAAACGTAAATCCAATAAAGTTGAAGTACAAGATGTAAAAGAAGCATATGGTTTGTTTATGGATTCAAAACGTTCAAAAACATTTATCGAACAATATGAAAAAGAATTTAATTTTTTAATGGATGTTATGGATTCAACATCGACAAAAAATGTCGAACAAAAACAACAAACATTTAAGGCTGATGGTAATGAAAATTCAATGGAAATTTGAAGCCAAACCAAATCAAATCAATCAGAATTATCATCGAATTCGAATAAAATTTTTTGAAAATATTTTCTCCACTAGATGGCATTCTGGAATTTCGGCGCGCACCATATTTTTTTTTCTATTTTTGTATGCATGGTTAATATGAATGAATAATTAAAAAAAAAATTTCATTATTTTTAATGCTACTACCATTGGGTTTTTTCATTTCTGTTACTAATTGAAATGCTATTAGCATTTTAGTGGTAGTGGTAGAGATCGAACGAATGATTAGCCAGAAAAGAAAAGAGAGAGCAGAGCTGATCATTGTCTTTATTCTGAAGAACGAAAAAAAAAGTTTCATTTTTCGTTTGTTTTCGGTAATTTTCATTTGGTTTTTTTTTCATCTTCCAAATTAAAAATTTCAAAATAAAACTCGAACCACGTTTTTTCTTTTCGCTCATCCATTTTGTTTACAACCAGAAAAAAAATTTTGAAAATTCGTCATCAAAATTTGAAAAGCTCAAAACTTTTTTCTGAACGAATTCGATTCAATTTCGAATTTTGAAATTAAAATTTCGTTTGTTGATTGTGTGTGTGTTTAGTGTTTTTTTTGTATGTTTGGTGTGTTTGCATTCGAGGTATGTAAAAAATTCTTCACTTTTTTTTATTCTAAAATTCTTTGATAGAACATAAATCAAATTGAACCAAAAAACAAAACAGAACAAAAATCTTTGATTTTCAACAAAAAAAAAATCTTTTTTTCCTTCCAAACAAGTGAAAATTTAGTTTGTTTAATTTTTATGATCTCATCATCCCTATCTCATCTCTTGTCATCATCATAATCTCAATTCTGTCTCATTTTTGTTTGAAATTACTCAAGGTATGTTTTGATCGCCATTTTTTCGAAAATCTTTTTCAATAATGTTTTCTTTTTCTTTTTTTTTTTGAAAAAAGGCTTAATTTTTTTTCGCACATAATTTCAACGTTATAAATCAAATTCGGGTAAGTAAGGCAATATTTTTGTCACATTTCATTTCCTTAAACTCTCAAATCTCGATTGTCTGAAAATTTTTATTTCTTGGTTGCTGGCAGCCTAAATTCTCACTTTGCAAACTATATTCTGTTGATAGTTTTGTTTTTTTTTTTGAATATGAAATCATCATATCCATAGATTTCCGTTTAGTTTTAGTTTTTCCAGTTTGAAAAGTTATTTTTAACCCGAATATTTTTTTTCTTTCGAATGGTAAATGCTGCGTATAATTCTAATTGTCACACACTCTATGCTCATTTTTGATTGAAATTCTAGAATTTCATCATTGTTTGTTTTTGGTGCAAATATTTTTATCGAATCTTGAATCGTCATCATCATCGTTAATCGATAAGGAAAAAAAATTTTCTTAATCAAAAAAAACTTTTCTTTTTTTCTGATTGATAAAGCAATGAGCCATTCATAAATTGTAGGATGATTGTTCTCGAAATCCAAAAAAAAAAAATTGCCTTTTGTCGTCGTTGTTTGGTGTTTCAAGTTGTGACGAGCAGCAATAGCCGGTTGATTCTTATACTTTGTCTATGCCACTACTACTCTACACTCTCAATAGACCACACCGTCTCTTTATTATGTATGTGTTCGCATAACACTAACTTTCACCGAGTTTTTTGTGTGTTTGTCTTGAAAAACCAAAAAAAAAAAAAATTTTTTTTGTCTTGATTTTTGCTTTCTCAATTTCATCATTTTTTTCTCTCGATTTGATTTGATTCATTTGCCTAAAACACACAATAATAACTTCAAAAAAAACTAACAATCAATGATCTTTGATCTTGCTTTCCAACACTCAGAAACAAAAAAAACGCTGCTCGTTTCGTTTTTCTGATTTTGATTTTTGTTGTTTTTTGATTTCGGTGTTTGAATCTGTTCGTTTCAAGTGTGTTATTTCATTTTTTTTGTGTTTCGGGTTGTTTCACTCAAAATTCTTTGATTTCGGTAAGTTTTTGTCTGATTTGATATGATTTGATTGCATCATTGTGAGGAAGATTAGGATTATTTTTTGATGACAGCGATGTCATCATCAATCAATGATTTTTGAAACCACACTAAATAACCTGCTTTGTGTCCTATGACTTGATTTGATTAGTTATTTTCGAATTCGAATATTTTCAATTAATTTGATTAATTTTTTCCTTTTTTTTGAAAATTTATTTCAGATTTAACCACTCAACATTGATTGTTTTTCGTCTACTATTGTTTGCCTATTCAGAAGCATATTTTTTTTATTTATAAAAAAAAACATTTTTCAAGCAAACATCATCTATTTGCGTTTTTGTGTATCGCTACAAAATCAGTATTTTTTCATCATTTTTTTTTGATAACGTTTGCTTTTCTTTCTTGGTAGGTAATTTTGTGTTTGCAATTTTTTTGACTAACATAATTTTTTTTCATTTGAAAGATTCAGATTCTTCTTTTTTGTTGCTATTTATCGTTGGAATTTTCTCATTAAAAAACAATGATGACCACCGATTTATCACAAGATTTTTTACGTAACGGTGCCGTTGAAGTTCAAGGTGAAAATGGTGTTTTCTATCCGGCTTATCTATTTGATATAATTGAGCCATCACAATTATCACAACAACAACAGAATTGTCAACCATTATCATCGAATAATAATGTAGTCAGTAGTCAACAACAACAACAATTAAATGATCAATCTATGTGTTTTGGTTCGATGAATGGATCTGGTCAGCAACAACAATTAGGAAGTAGTGGTGTTGGTGGTACATCCAATGTAAAATCCAATCAAATCATTTCATCGTCATCAAATATATCGAATGAAACACATGTTGTTGTTACATTTCAAAATAATTTCTTCCCAAGATCTTCATTTCCAATATCACGTATTCGACTTCCTCCCGCTACTTCAAATAGTTCAACATCGAGTGCAACAATCAATAATAATAATGCCAACAACACTAATGATTTAAATAATGAAAATGATAAAATTCATAATATTAATAATCCATCATCGTTGTTGTTGTCTGGTCTTTCTGGTCTGAATATTTCGAATGCTTCCAACAATAATCAAATGCAATCATCATCATCATCTTGTTCGAATGCAGCTAATATCAATAATAATAATGGCACAAATATATCATTGGATGGTAGTAATGTTGGTAGTCAAAATCATCCAAATATTACTGTCGGTATGGAAGTTGAAGTTTTTTCATCAAGTTCAGATGATCAACCACGTGGTTGGTTTCGTGCTATTGTCAAAATGATCAAAGGTAAGTGTGTGGTTCTGATTACACGGTTTATTTTAATTTACTTTTGTCTAGGTTGTTTCTATGTGGTCGAATATATTCAACATAATCAAATGAATAATGTTGGATCAACAAATGTTGATTCATCATCATCAACAAATGCTGCTGCTACATTGGGCAATCAAAATCATCCGGTACAAAATTTTACCGAAATTATTCCTAGCGATGATATTCGTGTAAAAAATCCAAATCCATTGTTACGAACAAATCCATTTTTTCGCTTTGAATTAGCTATACCGGATGATTTTAAATCATTTAATACCAGTTGGTTATTGAAAGAAGAAGCACATCGACATTTTAAATTGTCTATTAGTGCCAATGTTGTACGTTTTGATGAAGCAAAAAATTGTTTAGTGGTTATTGGTTATTCACAATCGCCTAATGAAAAGAGCTTTATTGCATCGAAATTAGAGAATCGTGCTGCAATGTTATCCGAAATGCATTTTCGTAATTTGAAACAAAAATTGATATTATTGAATGATGCTGAAGAAGCGGCAAAAAAATTGGAATCGACCAGAATGCCAACCAATCAAAATGAACATGGTATTTATGAGGCAAGAATTTTAGTACCAGAAAATCTAATGGGTTTAGCTATCGGTGCACATGGTACAAATATTACACAAGCACGTAATGTTCCTGGTGTTTTATCTATCGATATAATGGATAATCCAACAGCATTTACTGTCCGTACCCAAGATTTGGAAGCATTGCATAAAGCACGTTCTATGTTGGAATTTGCTGAAAAAGTTATCGATATTCCACGTTCATTGGTTGGTAAATCTATCGGTCGTAATGGTCGTGTTATACAGGAAATTGTTGATAAATCCGGTGTTGTTCGTGTAAAAATTGAAGGTGACCAAGAAAATGAACTACCACGTGAATATGTGCCTTTTGTATTTGTCGGTACACTGGAATCGGTTCAAAATGCTCAAATATTATTGGAATATCATATTAATCATTTGCAAGAAGTGGAAAAAATACGTAAAGAAAATAGTGAATTGTTTCAACAACTACGACAACAATCGGTTACAATCAATTCATCACAACATGCCAATATTAATAATAGTGGATCCGATTTTGATTACATGAGTGGCGGCGGCCATCGTGGTATTAACCGTGGTGATGATATTGGTGGTGGACCATCTCGTGGTATGCGCACTGGTCCAGGTGGTAATATTCGTGGTGGTCATCTTGGTGGTGGACATCGTCGTAATGATCGTGGTCCACGAGGTGGTGTTAATGAAGATCATCGTCAACAACGTGATGTTCGACGACCATTTTCTACTGCCGGTAGTGGTGCTCCTATTGGTGGTGGTATGCCTGATCAACAAACAGCGGCACCACGTTCTCCGCGTGATCGACCACAGCGTGGTACATATGCTCCACGTGGTTTTGGTCCACGTCGTACTGGTGGTGGTGCAGGAGGAAATTTTAACAAAGATAATTCACCAACCGAATCTGGTGGATCAACAACATCGACAAATCGACAAGATCATCGTTTGGCTGCTGCTGTTGTTGATCAACAACAACCTTCATCTGCCGCAGATATCAGTGAACAACAGCCACAACATCAAGGCCAAACTTCACAAACTAAGTCACATCATCATAGTAATAATTATCGTGGTGGTCCTGGTGGTGATCAACATCAACAACAACAACAACATCGTCCACAACGTAATTCATCTCAACGTAATCATCGAATGTCACGTGGTGGCCGTAGCGGCGGTCATGACAGTGGCAAAGGTCGTGATCGCGATAATCGTGATCGTGATGGTGGTGATTATCATCCAAATATGAAACAAAAAATGAATGGTGTTCGTTCATCATTATCATCTAACAATACTAATAATTCTCAAATGCAACCATCGAATGGTGGTAATCAGAATTCCGCTGCCGAAATGGAATCAACAAATGGTGGTGGTATGCCGGATATTGATTCGAATGAAAATGATGATCATCATTCATCACCAATTCCACAACCAACATCAATCATTAACGGTGAATAATTAAAATTTGCAACAAACAAAAGTCATTGAAAATGTGGAAACAATTTAATCCCAAAAACCAACCAACCCGCATATAAAAGCAAAATATCCGTTTCTTTTTTCTTTGTTTCGTTTTTCATTTTTCACACACACACACAAACACATTTACTATTCAACAATTTTTTTCTTCTGTGTTATAATTCTTGTCTCATTCATTTTCTTTTTTCTTATTCGGCGCTATACACTTGATTGATTATCGCTTGATTGACACACATTACACATACATACACACTTCTCAGAGCATCATACACTTTTTATTATATAATTAAATTTCTCAACAAAAAAAAAGTAATAATTGATCACAAATTATATAAACCATCTACCTGCTACTATTACTATTACACTTTAATTATGATGTGAAAACATTCAAACAACAACACTGAAAAAAATAATATTGATGTAAAGATTTGAAAAAAAACTATTCCTTTTTTTTGTTTGTTTTTGTTTATCTCTTCATATAAGAATTTTGTCGTTCACACACACACACACACCATACATCATCATATAGAACATATTTTTTTTTTCGTTTCTGTTGTCTTTCGAATTTTTTTTCTTCATTATTTAATCTCGTGGTTATATAAAAAAAATGGGGAAAAAAGGATATTGGTTTTGGTTTTCTCATTTGGGGGTAGATTCTCTTAACATTACTACACATTCAACATTGATCATTTCCTAATCACACATTACATTACATTAACCCTTTGGCTGAATCAATCTTTGTTTTTTTTCTCTCTCTTTCTCTCGGTTTATGTTAACACACTGAAACATTTTTTATTCTACCCTCCTTTTCAATTCAAAATTGTGATTCATTCATTCATTTAACACTTTAATCAACCAAAAACAAACGAATACAGAATATTCAACAAATGAACAACTTTATTTCTTCTGGAAAAAAAATATCACATATAAAACATTTGTAATTTATATTTGTAATTAAAAAAAATGATGATTAAATATTCTACCTTAATTTTTCTTAATTAATTAAATTGTATTTCAAACAAAAAGAAAATTTTAAAAAATTCCGGAATATACGTCCTTAATTGATGGTCCCGAAAATTCTTTCTTTTTTTCTGGTCATATGATTTTCGAATGTTTTTCATTGTTTGATTTGATTCGATTTCGATCCAAAATAATGTTGTTATCATCGTTACGTGGTAACCATCATTGGTTTTCCATTATTCGTAATGTAACAGTCCTGAGAATAAATTCATTTTGTTCAGCCAATCATCAATCAACCGAACAATTGAAACAACAACAACCAGAAGAATCATCAAAAATCAAAAATCTTCGTAAAAAAGTACAAGAAAAAATCAATGAAATTGATAGTGAACAATTAAAATCACCAAATACACCGATTGGTTTGATGAATCGTTCACCACAATTGGATCCAAATTCATCATCATCCAATGATTTATTAGCTCGTCAACCAAATCCTGTTTATGATCCATTTCCAAATGATAAAAATCCTGAAACAGGTGAAATGAATGGACCGACCGGTCCTGAACCAACTAGATATGGTGATTGGGAACGTAAAGGTCGTTGTTCAGATTTTTAAAAAAGAAACGAAAAAAGTAAAAATATTTTCAAATGAAATATGACCATATTTATTATACAGTATGTTATGCTTTATAAATGAATTTAAAAAAAAATCAAAAATAAAAATTCTTATTACTTGTTGAGAGATATACACAAAGGCACCGGGAGAGAAAAATCATTATGTTGGATGTTTGATGAATAATACTGTTTAAAAAAAAATTCAAAGTTTTTTTAGTGGCTTAATTTTAGGTAGGAAATGATCGGATGATGATGCGTATTATTATCACCATCATTTGTTTTCAAATTATCGGCAACAATGGTAATATCACCATAATCATTGACGTTATTATTATCTTCATCTTTACCACCATTACCATCATCATCATCATCGTCATCGTCATTATCATCATCATTTTCCTGTTGACTAGGTTGTCGTTCAAAATACATTTTATTTGCCATTAATGGTACCGATGGTGGTATAATAATAATCGGTAAATCTGGTTGTTGCTGAAGATTATGTTGTTGTTGTTGTTGATGATTATTATTACCATGATTATTATCATTATCAACAATCGGTATATTCAATGGATCCATTGTTTTATATGTTTGTAATAATTTTTGTAATATTTTATAAACCGAACTAATAGCAATACGTTCATTAGGTTTAAAACGCCAACATTCTAACATTATTTTATATAATTCCAATGGGCAATTATCCGGTGGTGATAATAATTTTCCCCGTGTTACATTTTGTATTACTTCCAAATTAGTAAATTCATACCATGGTTGTTTACCATATGTTAATACTTCCCATAATAGAATTCCGAAACTCCAACAATCACTTTCAACAGTATATTTTCGATACATTATTGATTCGGGACTCATCCAACGTATTGGTAGAAGAACATCACGTCCAACCTGATCAATGATAAAATGAATTAGGTTAGTTTAAGCCAGGCGTTAGGTTACATACCCGATAATAATCAGTAGCATAAACATCACGTGACATACCAAAATCACCGATTTTTGTTATAAAACCAACACCAACCAAACAATTTCGTGTGGCAAGATCACGATGTACAAAATGTTGTGATGCTAAATATTCCATACCAGCTGCAATTTGTGTTGCAATATAAAGTAAATCTATCAATTCTAATGGTCTTATTTTACGGCTATTAACAGCTGATAATGGATCGATTAATCGTGTTTTTGTTTCATCATTGTTATTATCGTTGTTGTTGGTGATGGCAGAATGGTTCGAATGAAATGGATCATGTTCACGAAGAAAATTATTCAGATCACCATATTCCATATATTCAAATAGCATCATTAATGTAGGACCATCCATCGAAATACCATAAAATGTAACAATATTTGGATGAATCAAATTCGCCAAGAATTCAGCTTCACGTGAAAATTCATCACGTAAATCGGAATAATTTGCCTGTGCAGTTTCTTTCAACATTTTTATGGCAACCATTGTTGTTGGTTCATCAACAGTCAAATAATCAACTGTACCTAAAAACACTCGGCCAAATGCACCTTCACCTAATTCTCGTATGAAATTTATTTTCTCCGTACTGATATGACAAATTGCTACATTTGAAAACGTTGAAAAAAAGAGATTAAAACTGGTCACCATGGCAGCTGGATTCTTACCGGAATTTTTCAAAAGTTGTTGCGTTTCAGAAAAATAATTTGGATTTTGGACAAAATTTTCAACCAACGATCGATTCACCTGTTGTTTATTACTAATCATAATTGCAATTGGATCATTTTCGGGACGATATGAGGTTTTTTTCGTAAATAAATTATTATTATTATTGTTAATCGTAGAATCAGCTGACGATGAATTAAGGATTATAGTTGAATTCGTATCGAATTGTTGATGTTGACCATTATTACGATTTTTTTTATTATTATAATACAACATTGTTGCACGGCTATCCGGTAAACGTCGACGAATTGATGTTCGATGACGATTATTTGTATGTCTTGCACGTATCAATCGAAATTTTCTATTCAACCAATTTGGTAATGTTGTTGTTAATAATTTTAATGATGATTGTTCATTAAATTTTTGATGATGATGATCATGATGATGATGATTATGATTGATATCGATTGCCGATTCCCATGATCGATGATGATCGATTGATTTCAATTTCCAACCAATTATTCGATTACGATATAATATACCCAAAATAAATATAACAAATAATGATATTATCAATAAACTGCTCAATAGAAAATTTGTTGAAAGATTAAATTTCTTATTGTCATCATCATTGTTTTGATCATCTTCGTTATAATCATCGTCATTATTTTCATTGACATTCGAATCCGATTTATCGATACTATCGATATTTGATATTTTCGATGGTATCATCGGTGATATTATTGGTGGATTATTTTTATCATTTTGTTGTTGTTGTTGTTGTCGATTATTAAATTGTGATACAGCCGGAAATGTAGTTGCTGGTGAGAGAAAATCTAAATTAAATCCATTTTGTTGATAAAAATCTTTGCTAAAAAACAACTAATTTACCTTGATTAAATGTAACATTAATCGAACGTTTCATTTGACCATAATCATTTGTTGCTACTAATGTATATTCACCGATATTTGATTGTGATTGTTTTCGTATTTCCAGATGACCATCAATAAATGACCGATGATCAATTTGATATTCATGAAAATCATCATTCGATTGTAATTCTAATGGTTGTCCATTTTTAAACCATTCTGTTTTTGCATATGGTATACCTTTTATACGAAATACAATATTTAAATAAAATTTTCGTTGTAATTTCATTGAAACAATTTTAGGTGCAGCTAGTTTTTTTTAAAAAACGTTTTGTAACGAAAATCAAAAAAAAATTAAAATCGGGAAATTTTTTTCGAAAAAAAGAACAAAACTTACAATGAATATTTATGGAAATTTTTTCGGAAATTTTTCCCACAGAATTTTCCGCCTGACATTCGAAATGATCATTATCATCGATATGGGCATTATCCAAACGAAGTGTTTGTTTGACTGTCATTAATTTCGATTCTGATTCTCCAATAATGTTTGTGGTTTCATCATCATGATCATCATTGACGATTTCAACATCCATCAATGTATAATTTGAATCGATTGTTGTCGTATTCCAGGTAATGCTATTAAATGTTTTCCATCAAAATAAACAAAATTTGATGATTTAAAAAAGTGTTTTTTACCCCTTTTTTTAGGTTTTTGAAAAAACTTACATTGGTCTTGGCAATCCACTAGCCAAACAAGTTAATATTGCTGTTTCATTTTCATTAATTTCAATCTGTTGATTTGGTTCAATTTTTATTGTTGGAAATTTACATTGATCGAATGAAAGATTAGCTAAAATTTGTGGCTGTTGCGATTGTTCCGAATCATCATTCGGCCATAAACAAGTTACATTCATCCAATATGGTCCAAGTATATTATGTTTTTTATTTTGTACAAGATTTTCAATCCATTTTGATAATGGACAATTACATTCGAATGGATTATTTTCCAAACTGAGATCTAGTAGTTCAACAATTGTTGTCATCAAGTTGATTGGGATATTTTATGTAAACAAAACAAAAAAACAAACATAAAAATTAATCAATTATTTGCTATCATCATCATTGAATCAACAAAAAAATCAACAAAATGGGTTCGTTGACTATCCAATAAATAAATAATTAATAATGATGGCTGGGATTTGAAATAAAGCAAAACAAAACTGTTTTGCTACCAACCAACCAAAAGAACAACGAAAAAATGATAAATCAAATAAATACCCAATAGATTTAATCCATCAAAATGTTTCCATGTAATTGTTCGTAATTTATTGTTTTTTAATGATCTACAGAAAATGGAACAGAATGAAGAATAAGAAGGATTTATCAATTTTTTGGAATTTAATTCTTCAATGAAAACAACATTACATTTCTTTTAGATGAATATTATTAACAAATGTATCGACATCGATCAATTCAAGGCCACTATTATCGATGATTCTGTTGTTTTGGAGAAAGAACAACAAAAGATAACGAAAATAAAGATTATCAAAAAGTTTTGACAGAAAATCAAATGGAAAATGCGAAGAAAAACATACAATTTTTCAATATTTACATATGGTGATAATTGTTTTCGATCTAATCGCCGAAGATATGGTTGATTTGAAGCGATTCTAAAGAAGAAAAAAAAACATTGGAAAATATTATCAAGAAATTTTTCGGGCAAACTTACATTTCAATAATTTGTAACAAATCATTCGAATCATCAAATGTTGGTATTGTTTCAATTTGTGATTGTTGATCATTACGATAACGGCAATCTAATTCATATTGTTTATGACATGAACATTTTTGTTGACAAATTTCCAAATGATTTGTTGTTGTCGATGATTCTATGGATTTTTTTCTTATTATTAATGCTTGTTGTTGATGATGGCGATGTTCGGATGATGATGATGATGGAATCAATTCGGTTATTGTCGACGGCTCTGAAGAATTATCTTCTCCAGAATCATCAACTGATAATGATGATGATGATGATAAACTATCGGATGACCATTTAACAAATGTTAATATCGTTAAATCATCATTGTCATTTTGACTAGGTTTTATTGTTGTTGTTTCAAATGATGATAATAATAATAATGTTGTTGATGAATTATTGGCTGGACTAGAAAAATTTATGATAGATGAAGAATCGATTGCCATCGATTTGGATAATGTAAATGATGATGATGATAATATCAACAATAATATCATTAATATTGATTGATGATTGATGATTTTTCCTGTCAATGATGGATGTTTTGTACAATGATCATGATGATGGTGATTTTGATGGTAATTTTGATGTTGGTGATGAATATCATCATACAAATCAATAGAATTATTCATTTTCATTATTATTATCGTCGTCTTCGTCGTTGTTGTTTTCGTTGTTACACATTGTTATTCAAATGGATCATCATCATAATTGATGACTGAAAACAAAAACAAAAAAAAATTTTATCAGATTAATTTGATTTGATTAGTCAAATTAGATCAATGAAAAAACAACAGGCAAAGAATCGTTAAAGTTTTTCAATTCATTTCAAACACAGAAAATAATAATCATTTCATTTTCATTTTGTTTTTCACACACACAGGTTTTGTCAATAAAAATCATTATGTTGGTTTTTTTCTCTATCATTAAGTGACGTCAAATCAATATGATACATTCAACGAAAAGAAGAAGAAGATTCACATATGAACATCATGATCATGATCAAGTCGTATGATCTTAAGAAATCCAACGAAACAAAATCACATCAACAAGTCCAAAGATCATCATTATCATCAACGACGATGAAACTAAATCAAACGATGTTGTTGTTGTTGTTGTCGCTGTAGATGTTTCATTTTCTTTGTAGGTTTTTTTTCGTCTTCTTCTTCTCGTGTAATCAATCAATCAATCAATCGAGAGAAAAAAAAAATCAACAAACAAACAATTAAAAGATATCGATGATGCTAATACGAAGCTATTTATTTCAAATACACACACCAAAAAAACTTTTGGAAAACAATTTTTTTTTTTGAAATTTACGAATTTTTTGGAAGTTTCAATCAAGAACCTGTTCGGAAATTCAGTTTTGGTTTGATTCAAATCGAGAAGCAAAACAAAAAAAATTTGATCTTCTTTAAAAATAATGATGATGCGATAAAGGTTACGCGCATTGTTGGTTAAATTTTCGGTATAAAACGGATAATGGAAAAAAATGTCGAGAGTTTTTTGTGCATCGTCATTATCAATCGTCATCATCATAATCGACATTGTTCTTTATTAACTTATAATTATGGTTATTAATTTTCAATCCATTGTTATCATTATCATCATCATAATCATCATCGACAACAACATACAAACAACAAGTTACAAATGACAGGATTTTTGTCGCCTTTTTTGTTACCGTTATAAACCGTTATCGTCGTTTTATATAATGTCTTAATGATAATGAGATGATTGTCTTTTTATTATTATCAAAAATTTTAAAGATTTTTTTGTCAAACAAGAAGAATAGGTCAATAGGCGAAATTCTTTGTCGAAAGAGAAAAAAGGATTTGTTTTTCCTCATGTATGGTTTTACATCAATCAATCAACTAAAATCACACACACAAACATCATTCATTATCATTGATAATCATCATGAGTATGAAGAATGATGATGATTATCAATTTTGTTCAGTTTTTTTCGTTGTTCACTGTTCACTGTCATCATACCATCAAAAAAATGTATCGGTATCAAACGAACCAATGTTGTTTATTTAATTTTTTTTTCTTTTTCTTTTTCGGATTGATAATTCATAATCATAATGATGATGATGATGCACTTAAAAATGAACAAAGTTTTTTTTTCAATGTTTTGCGTTCGTACGAACTTAACCAGAAAAAATGAATGAATGAATATTATTAAAACAAAAGTTGTCAGGTAAATGTTGTTTTGACAAAAAAACAAAAATTAATAGCGATACATTTTTTTTGGTAAAATTGTAGCAAAATTGTATCCAATTAATAGTGATGACGAAGAATTGTAATGACGATGAATGAATCGAAAATTGATCGATCAATTTCAATTCATTTTGTCTAATCAAAAAAAATAAAGGAATATTTCAAGAAAAATCGAAAAACAAATGAAAATTCTGGAAATATCTCCACACTTGATATCAATTGTTTCATTTTGTTTGAATATTAATTTTGTTTGATCGATCACAATTAATTGATTGATTGATTGATCGATCACATATTCAAAATACAGATAACAACAACAACAACAACAACAACAAATGATTATCATAATGAAAATGATATCATTAAAATGTTGGTTATTATTACGAACATTTTGTTGTTTCTGTTTGTTGTTGAAATTAAAATGAAAATGAAAAATGATCGAAATCGATACAAAATCGATTATCAATGGATCGATTGGTACGAAAAAATGAATTGGTGTTACATTTTCAATTTTCAATGATGATGATATTTGGTATTTGGTTGATCAAAATGTTGGTGATGGTGGTGGTGGGGGGAAGAAAAGATTTTTTCGGGTATTTTTTTCCTACTGCGTAAGTTCTTCTTCACACAGAAGCATCAAATGACGTAATTTAATATTCATGATGGTAGCGCATATCATTATTATTATGGGGCGTTTATATGTGAAGAAGAAAAAAAATTCATCAACTTTTGAATATCAAATATCATCAAAAGATTTGATTATAGTTTTTTGTAGTTGATGAAGAAAAATAATAATGTTGACAGCTTTTGAATACCTTTTTTATTTTCTTTTTGACTACTGAATTTACTTTCAAGAAAAGTTTCTAAGTGAACAAAATGTGTACCCAAAGGACGAAAATTTTACTTATTTGTCGGGTTATTCATGGAGATCACAATCGATGGAAAGAAGAAAACATTTTTTGACAGAAACTTAGGAAAAAAAGAAACGAACATTTCAAAGAATCAATTTTCTCTAATTTTTCTCTTTTTCTGATTTTGAAATTCATTGCCAATGTCATTGACAGATAGTGATGATAATGTTTATGGTAGTAAGGGGGAGGAGTAAGAGGAGAGAATCAGAGAATCTTTCCATTGATTTAATCAGAAAAAAAAACTGTACTTGAAATTTGTCACGATGCAAAACATCAAACGAAACAAACAAAAATCTAATTAAAAAACAACCGAAGAAAAAACAACCGACTTTTTCTATATATATTTTTGGCCCGAAAACAATAGAATTTTATCATTTCGGATAATGATGATCATTACAATCAATGTTATAATCAATCAAGTGGTTTGTCCGATCTGATTTGATTTGATTTGAAATGTACAAATCTGGTAATGATTTGTGTGTGATCAATTGGATGATCACCATTCATTGGATGAATTGAATTTTAGATAAACAAACCTTTTGGTGGAAAAAAAACTTTTGATTTTTTTTATTTCGGAATCCAATCGGATTATGCTGAAACACGTTTGAATATTTGAAACAATTCAAAAATTGCCAAAAAATGCACAATTTTTCAAAAAATTCAAAAATCGCCACAAAATGCGCAATTTTCCAAAAAAAGCACAATTTTCTGAAAAATGCGTAATTTTCCAAAAAACGCACAATTTTCCGAAAAATTCAAAAATTTTCAAAAAATACGCACAATTTTCTAAAAAAATCACAAAATTTCACTTAAATTCACAAAAAATCAAACAAGAAACGTGACAATGAAGGAAAAAGAAACAGGGAAAAAATTCCAAGATAAAAAATTCAATTTTGGATCGAAATAATCAAACTGAAAAAAAACTAAAGGCAACCATTTCAAACAATGATGATGATGAAAGAAATTGTGGAAGCAAAAGGCATGTGTCAAAGAAAAAAATTCTGTCAACTGGTTAGATTCTTCAGTCAGTCAGTCAGTCAGTTGTTTTTCACATTTGAAAATGCGCAAGAATCCAATTCAATTCCAGAACCAGAATCTGTGTTTCCATCAACTAGTTGTTTCAGTTTAGTTAGTTAGTTAGTTTAGTAGGTGCATAGTGGTTTTTTTTTGAAAAATTTTTTATGCAAACAAAAAATGATCAATGATAAATTGAACATCATGAACGACGTAGTGAAAAAGAAGAATTTGCACAACTCAAGTGGGGAATTGAATTGAAGGAATGAATGGGGAATAGTTCCCGTAATTTTTTTTATATATAGGAAATTTATTCTCGCGATTCATCAGGAGAATTCTCATTCATCATTCATCTAGAATAGTAAAAATGAATGCTTTGGTCCTGAACATTTCAAAAAAAACTTTTTTTCGTTTCGTTTTGTTTCATCAGTCAGTCAGTTAGAGAATTTTCTGTTTGAAAAAAATGTCAAATTTTTTTTCTTTCGGGGCCTTTTGGGCTCCATTCTCATTAATTGATGCGGAAAATTAATGAAAACCAATAGAGTGTGTGTTAATGTAAACGAGGTAAAAACAAACGGTAGAGAAAAATTTCTAAATGACAACCATGTTTGACAGGTGAAAAAAACAAACAGTAAAAAACAAAATGAAAAACCTTATGTCATCATCATCATCAAGATGAAAAAAGAAGGAAAGAAAAAATTTGTAACCAAAAAAAAAAAACTAAAATTACAATTCTTATTCGACTATTTCGACTTATTTTGGTTCATGGAGGATTTTGTATAATCCACCATCCCCCATTTGGATTATGATTGATCAATTGATATTAATCATTGACGATAATACATTCGCCATCTAGTGGATGTTTATCGAAACTTTTTCAAATTTTTATTTTAAACAAAAAAAAGATAATTTTCAAGAAAAATTGTAAATTTTAATAATAACGAAATAATAATAATAATTTTTTAAAATTAAATCAAATTAGATTTGTTGTTGTTCTTCAAATTCATTTAAATAACGTTCAATAATTAGATCGGCAGCTTGTGTAAAATGTTCTAAAATAGAATATAATGAATGTAAATGATTTATAAATTGTATTGTTAATTGTCGGGCATTCAAGTGTGGTTGTTGTTGACCATTAATCGATTGTGGTAACATCATCATTGTCAATGCGGCAGCGGTTGTTGAATCATTATCATTCATATCGATTCCATTATCCGATGATGAAGATGATGATGATAAACCGGGACTTGTACGGCCACCATTCAATGATGTTTGTGATGTTTGTGTTTGATAATTTACAGCCGCAGCTGTTCCATGATACATGGAAACCAAATTGTTTGATGATACACTACGTGATTGAGCTGTGAAACGTTCGTTGGCGCCATTTATGCTGGATCCATTTGCGGCATTTGTTGTTGTTGTTGTTGAATTTTGTCGTTGTTGTTGTCGGGAAATTTTTCGTTTTGGCATTTTAAATAAATTATTCATATCATTGGAAAAATTATTTGCTAAACATGATGAATATGATTGATATGAATTTTGATGTTGATTGGATGAATCCATAAAGAGATCATTTTTAATAATATTTATCATTTGATAATATGAATAAAGATCATCATTTAATAAGGAAAATTTTGTTGCTGCGGATGATCGCTGTTGTCCAATCGCATTGGAAATTGCATTGGAGATTGCATTGGAATTACCGTTGGAATTAGCAGCTGCCGTCGTTGTTGATGGTAATGGTTCTAAATCTTTTAACTTGGATGGTATCAATACAACATCATTCATTTCTCTTACGGAATCGATAAAATTTTCAATAATATGATTATTGGAAAAAAATTGTTCATGTTTTTGTTGTTCCATACTCATTTGTTTAATCAATTGTACACCATTATCCAGATGAGCTGTCATTGTTGCTGTTGCTTGATCAGCTGCTGCTGCTGATGTTGTTGTTGTTGATGTTGCCCATTTCATTTGTAACATTTTATTGGAATTATTATTCATCATTTTTGATTGCTGGAATTGTTGTTGTTGTGGTGGTGATTGTGATTGCAATGGTCGCATTGAATGTTGATGAATAACATTATCGTTATCATTCATATTATCATTGATTAACGGTAACATTTTTTTTCGGAATTTTCTTTGACGGTTGAATTTCACAAAGGTTCAAGATCAAGGATTCAGAATTTATTGTGTTTGATGAGTCAAAAAGGAGAATATTTATTTTCAAGAATACTCCAAATAAATCACTATGGCAATATCACATCAAACCCAAAACCAAACACAAACAAACAAAAACGACAGAAATGAAATGGTAGCGAAGTCTGGTGATACTGATGAATACAAACCAACCAATGCAGTGTTTTTATATAGCAAGAAAATATATTTGAATCGCTGTTTGTTCGGTTGTTGTTGATGATTTATTTTTAGCCAATATAGTTGTTGTTTTTTTCCATATTTTACCCAGGAATATAGCTGTAATGGTATTCATTCATTTACATGATGATGATCATTATGACAAAAATAACCAGAAAATATCAGTAAAACAACAACAAGAATAATACAAATGTTACGCAGAATTAATGCTACTAGACTTTTGGTGAAACCATTCGATTGATCGTGTTGAAAATGAAAATTTAATTTGCAAAAAAAAAAGTTTTTTGAAAACTTTCTGTTACAAAACAGGCGTTTTTTTATCGTTTCTGCACTGTTACATTTCTCTCTCTAGTTTGTCAACATGAAATCCAATTCAAAAGCAACAGAGAAACGCCGCCCGCTTGATGCAAAATGCACTGTACATCTTTTGACGTACGTACACATCACATCTTTCGATTTTCTTTCGATGTTTCTTGCTTGCTCTAACCACCCCCAACTACAACCAAATCACTGCTACCATTAAGGAAAAAAGACGAAGATGATGAAAACATCCGAAAAGAAAGATGATCGATAAGAATCACGTCATTTCAGTTGTCAAATGAAAGAAAATTTGTTGATTAGACAAATATTTGGCGAAAATCACAAAAAAATTTCAATTTTCTCATAATCGAATGATTTTGTTTCCTTCTTCTTTGTAACCAAACTAACTAAAACCTGATTGATTACAATCGAATCGGATTGATTGATTGATTGATTGGTTGGTTGGTGGATGATGAATATTTGAGTCATATGAGAATGAACAAAACTTTGTCGATCAAGTCCAAATGATTATCATCATCATCATCATCAATCGATCATGATGTGATTACATGATTGATTTTGATTCGATACACAACATCATCATCATCTGTTTTTTCCTTAACCAAACATATTTGACAAATCGAATGATTTATTTACGAGAAGCAAAACAAACATATGATGCACACATGAGAATCCCGAATGATTTTTTCATTATTTATGGTACGATTTTGTTGGGTTTGTTTCTAACCAAAACATAAACAAATCACTGGTCATTCGATTGAAAAAAAATCGCATGATTTTTCGTTTCGGAAAAATTTCTGGAAAATTTTTTTTTCAGAAATTTCCTTGACATTGACCCCTTGACGATAGTGGTCAACCAACCTTGAATGAACTGGGAAATAGAAAAAAAAGTTCCCGGAAAGTTTCTTATATTATATCATCATCATTTCAATGACCAATGATGACCTTTTTTTGTGTTTGTAACGACCACCAGTGAAAAAAAGCCAACGTTTTGTTTTACAAAAGGAAACACGTGACCTTGGTGATCACGACGATGGTGATAAGGTCCAGCCCAATTTGATCCGACCAACCGATGAAACAAAAAAACTTGTTTTTTTCTGTTGTTGTTGACGGTTTGAATATATCAATGTCATAAGTCATGTGATTTGTTTGAATGAACCTATGGCCCTTGAACTCAATAAAATTGAGGCCATTTAAAAATGTTAACTAGGTCTTTGAAGGTTATATGAAGGTCATTTGATATGGGTTTTAGGTCGATCGACCGATCCTATTAAATATGATGGTCATGTTGATTCTATTAATAGAATCAAAAATAACATTATCAAGGTCTTTAAAATACCAAGGCCATCATCATTATAATAAGGTTCATATGGGGAATGATACACCAATTTTGGCTTACAAAGCGAAACAAAAATAAGGGAAATTTGTCAACCCTTTTGTTTTCACTCAACTAAATTTTCTATGTCAAGGTTAGATTTCAAGGATTTTTTTTCGTTTGTTTGTTTGTCAAGACGAATAAATCAAAATTTTATTCTTCATTATCAATATAAATATTATTATGATGAATGTATGAATGAAAATTAAACCAAAAAAAAATGATGATGAAAAAAATAACAGGAAGGAAGGAAGGGTTGTTTGTCGATTTTATATTGTTGATGTTTTTTGTTATGGATGAATGAAAAGAAAATTTAACCACATTATCATCATCATCATCATCGAACCATACACACACTCAGGAAAAAAAATCTGGATTAATTCTTTTTAGAAATGAAAAGTGTTTTTGGTTGTAAAAAAAACTTGTTGTTAAAAATGTTGTTGTTAATGATCAAAACCATAGAAAATTGTTTTCATCATCGAAACTAAACACTAGATTAAGTTCTAATTTTGGCAGATCGTTTCAATCAATTCTGGTTGATAATGTCTGTATTGTGTATTTATGTTGTGTCAAACAAAAGAAACAGGAAAAAAAATTCAATATATTCACATTATTGATGATGAAAAATGAAAAAAAAATGTTAAGCTATCCTAATTATAATGATGATGAATGGTTTCCCCCCAAAAAATGAATGAATGAATTGAATTTGATTGATTGATGAAGATTATGGATGATGAATACTGACCAAAATAAATCAATGCTTTGTATGGATTGTATCAAATATGAATTTAAAGATTGTAAAATAGAAAATAGTTGAAATTGGCGGTCATTCCTGTTTTTATTTTTTGTCTTTCTTTCAATTGATTTTTACCAAACGGAACATTTTTTTGCTGGACGCATTGGTGAACCAGGTGGACAACCAAATGTTTCACCAAATTCTTCTAAATTCGATACAGTACCAATAACACGAAATTGTGCTGGACTATGTGAACCAGCTTGTAAACGTAATTTCAAAACTTCTGGTCGATATTTTCCACACCAAATATTGGCAGCAGATATCCAAAATAATTGTTTTGGTGTATATTTTAAACCAGGTAATGATGGTTCTTCACCATTATCTTTGACATATTCTTGATATGCCTAAAAATCCATAAACATCAAACGTCAAAAAGAAAAAGAAAAAAAATGCAATCAAAAATCAAATAAATCAGCCAATATTTTTCACACATAATCACAAATTGATTGATCAGGGAAAAAGGATAATTTTTTTTTGTCAAAAAAAAATTATTACTTACACGGAATGCTTCTTTAATACCACCATTATCGGCAATATTTTCGCCTTGTGTATTCACACCATTTACCTGTTTCAAAATGTTGGAAAAAAAGAAAGAAGGAAACAAAAAACATATATATCAAACATATGCAATCACTATGCATTTTTTAAAAGAAATCAATCATAATAATAATAACAAGTGCATGCACTAACAACACATCACTGGTTTTTGAAGGTTGAAAAAATCCTTTTCCAAAGAAAGAAATAATAATGACCAAAATTCAGGTGAAATAACGATAACAACTTACCTTCAAACCATTTTCCGGAACCGTATAATTACCATATTGTTCAATAATACATTTGGTTCTTTCTTTGAAATTTTTATCAGTTTCCGGTTCCCACCAATTTACATTATTACCATTTTTGTCAAATTGTCGACCTGTTTCCAAATTAAAAATTTAAAAAAAATTAAAAATCAAGAAAAAAAATCATATGATCAGTGTTCATTTTCTTTTCTTTTTTTTCCAGTTTATCGATAGCAAAAAAAAATTATTATTATTTATTAATAGTTAGTTACCTTTATCATCAAAACCATGTGTAATTTCATGGCCAATGACAAAACCAATGGCACCAAAATTTAGATAGCTGTAATAAAAAAAATTAAAGAAAAATGATAATAATGAAAATATTATGTTTTCTTTTACTTAAAAAATATGATGGTTGAAATTTTTGAAGAAAAAAAAATCTAACAATCAATACTATAATGGACAGACAATCGATAGACCAGATCGATATATCAATGATCATTAGAAATACACACAATCAATATTGCACAAGGAAAACAAGTGTTCAATTTTTTTTAAAATTCTTGTTTATCGATTGTACGCCGTTGATTGTCGATATCCAATTATTAGAATTATTATTGATGAAATCATCAAAAATCATAAAAATAAAAAAAAAATCTTACTTTGGTCGATCACTGGAAAAGAATGCACCCTGTAAAATTCCGGCAGGAAATTCAATACTATTTTCAATAATATTATAATATGCATTGACAACTGTGTGTGGAAAAGAGAAATTAAAGTGAAAAGTGAAAATAGATTTACAAAATGTAAAAAAGAATATTATTTTGTCAATATTTACCTGCTGATTTTCCGTGTTTACGCCAGCTAAATGAATAAATTTCATGTTAATATCATTCAAAGTTAACAAATCAATGTTGATTTACTTACTCTCCTTTTTTATTCAGTTTTCGAAGAAAACCAAATGCTAAATCAGTTGACCATTTACGTAATGTTTGTACATTGCTAAAATAATCATCTTTTACAAATTTGAGCTATAAATAAAAATGGGAAAAAATGATTATAAATGAATAAATCTTATTAAAAGTAAATAAATACCCCTTGATAAAATAATTCAATTTCAGTATTATTCAATAATTCATTTGGATAGCCAATATATGGTCGAATTGCTAATGCTTTATCACGTGCACGTTGTCGGGTTTGATCATCCATCCATTCAACACGATCCAGAATTTTCATAAATTCACGATGAATATAACCAACCATTTCTAATGCACGTTCTTTAGAATTTCCTTTAAAATGATGTCGTACATAAAGTGATGATAATGAAATTCCTAATGAATTTGTTAATGATGATATACATTGTTCCCAACGAGGTTCTTCACGAGCTTGACCGGTTACAACCGTGTTAAATTCTTGTATCAATTCACGCCATCTTTTGCCTAACATTGAAAATGATTGTAACACTACACGCCACATCATATAATTAGCCAAAAGCCTGTTGAATATTTTCAAATGAAAAGATAATGATTAATTAGCCCGGTGGAAGTAAAAAGAAAACTTACTTTTTATCAGTTGTTTGTAACAGTTGATCTAATTGTGTCAGAAATTTCGGTACATTTACAATAATATCATCATTATCGGTAATCTTTATACCCAATAATGAATTAAAATATTTTTCCCAATGAATATTTGGTGCTAATTTTTGTATCTGTTGAATATTCATTTTATTATATAATGAACTCATATTACGACGTTCTTCACGTGGTAAACAATATGCAGCTAATGTTGTTTCAAATTGTAATGCATCGAGCATTTCTTTTTCCGCTACAGTACGATTTGCACCCAAAAATACAGCACTATCAACCATCAATTTATAATAAGCAGCAACAGATGAATCATTTAGACCATTATTATAATAATTACGATCAGGCATTCCTAATGATGTTTGATCCAGATCAATAATATGACGTGTATTATTACGAAAATCTGGTGTAACCGATAAATCCATAAGAATATCATGTGTAAAACCAAGTTCACGAAATTTAATCAATGTATCGATCCAATCAAAATTTGTTTCATTCCAATTTTGGCTGCCAACAACAACTGGCCAACCACCAAAACGTTTCAATGCTAAATGTAATGGTGTATCACCAGCTTTTTCAATGGCAGTTAAATTCAAACAACTACGATACATATTACGCATTGAATCGAAAAATTCTGGTTCTTCAGGTGTTCCTTTTGATTCGACCAATACTAATGCGATAATGATAATGATAATGGAAACAAAAAAAAAGTTTATAATGTTACAACGATTAATAAATTTATAAAACAAACCTCGTAATTTATGATTTAATTCATCTTGTAATAATGAAAATACTGATACAGTTGTACGATCATCCGGTATAACCTGATTTTTAATCCAACCACCACAAGCAAATTGATAAAAATCATCACATGGTGAAACCAATTCATTCATATTGGTTATAAGTTCAGATGCAGCACGTACACAACCTTTGCTAAGACATACATCGGTTGCTGGTGTTTTTGGCCATTTTATATCCGATGATGATGTGGACAATAGTTTGGTATTTTTTAGACTTTTACCTTGTTTTTCAAATATGCGATTCATCGACGAAGACGACGATGGTGATGATAATATCGATGATGCAGAATCGGATGATGATGATGATGATGAATCAATCACTGATGATAATTTGGCTTTTTCATTTTCACGATTGACTAGCTGTTGTGCTGTCGGTGATTCTAATCGATAATTATAATGATGCGATGATGATGATGATGATTGCGATGGATGTTGTCCATGTTCAATGTTAAATCTTGAATCTTGTTGCGGTTGTTGTTGCTGTGGTGGTTGTCGTCGTTGATAACGAACCATTGCTAATGATATGGACATTGCTATACACATCATTAATGTAATGGCTGTTACGGCACATAATAAACGTTCTAATCGTGTACGACGATTCCACCATGGTGGATTTCTATAGAGAAAACAGGGAAAAAACAGAAAAAAAGACATTAAAGAATCTACTAGGTTAATAAATGGGAAAAAGGATGCATAAACTGAATCAATCAATTCCAAATACCGAAAACAACAGAATCGATTCAAACAGACAAACATTGTTGTTTTTGTTTGAATATTTTTTTGATTATTATTCTTTAATGATGGTAATGGTGATGTTGATGTTGATGATTTAGTTGTAACAATCATCATATTTATTGGTGATTTATTATCATTATTATTATTATGATTCGGTTGATGTGAATCTTGATTACAATTATTTGATTGTCCTGTTTCATTTACAGTAGCAGCAGTGGTTTTCGAAATAGAATTCATCATGGCCATCTATTGTTATCCAATATGATCTTACTCGGGTTTAAATAGATTTTATTTGTAAAATGACAAAACTTCCCTCGTAAAACAATAACAACAACGAAAAAAACTTGAAATAAAAACTTTGAAAAAAAAACTATGTCAATGGAACAACAAGTGAATATTTCATCAACAAATCAATCAAATTCACACCAACAAAAATGATGTCATCATCATCATATTCGCGATAAAGTGGAATACAAAAAATTTTGTTCAAGTTTCGAAAAAACTTGAAAAATTTTTTGTTTCGGAAGAAATTATGCAACTTTTGTTGTTGTTGTTGGTTGGTTGATTGGTTGAATAAATCACAAATTCATGTCAAAATCAAACAAAAACAAATACACGTACTGAACGAAACAGAAATAAAGAAAATCTATCGATAGAGAAAAATTCATCATCATTATCATAATCAACACAGGTTAATTAAACATTCATATTCGACATCAGTAGTAATCATCATTTATTATCAATAATTTTTTTTCGAATGTAGTGGTAGTTTATATTGATCAATATTATTTCTCCGAAAAAAAATCGATCAAATATGTCAAATCAACATACACCTGGTATTTCACAAATGTATCAGTTTATTAGATTTGTAAAGGTATGTGTATGATGATGATGACAGAGATATTGATTGATAAATCGATGGATCGATCGATTGATTGATTGATTGATTGATTGATCAACACCAACAAAAAAAACTGATCAGGATCGAAAAGATTGGATTCGGTCGTAACACAACTTGGTGACAGAAACTGAAAGAAACATTCGAATCGAATCGAATCAAAACGAATGTTTTTGCAATGCGCACAAATGAATTTTTGGTTGAATTTCGCAATATTCTGGATCACGATAACATCTCATCATCACTGACATGCGCATTAGATTTTTTGTTTCTTTTGAATTTATAAATAGATTTGTAATCTTATTACAACAAGCTAATAAATAATAATAATAATAAAATGTAATCAAAAGAAGAAAAAAAACATGGAAAAATTACAATTCTCCATTCAATGTATTTTTATGATGATTATTATTGGATTGGATGTTGCAAAAGCCTATAAAAATGTGTGTGTGTTTGGTTTTCGATTAATCAAAAAAATATATCGATACTCGATCGATCAGTTTATTTTCCCGGTTTCTTGGTTATAAAAAAAATTACTGTAGTAATTCCCAGAAGTAATCTCTCCACCTAATCAATATCAAGCAAAAGAATATTTATTGAATACCCATCCATTCATTCATCGATTTCATTTGAATTGATTGATTGATTAGAGAAATGAAATGAAACGAAAAAGATTCTATGGATTCTTTCGAACGGCAAAAGGAAAAAAGAAATGTACCAATTTTGCTTATTATTGATGGAATATTATTATATTAATCAATAATCAATGATGATGATGCAATCATTATTTATACTGATGGACTTATGTACCATACAGGTTATGTTACTTTACTTTTTTATTATCCAAACTTTGTTCTTTTTCATTTTAAATGTCCAAATCTCATCATCATCATTATATAATCTTTGAGTTTTTTTTATGTCACACACACAATAATAAGGTCATCTTTCATTGTTAAACAATGAAGAATGATGATACATTCTCCATAGACACTGATCTTATTTAGCATCATTCATTCATTCATTCTCACAATGACAATGTTTTGACATTGAACATCTTGTAAAAGTCTTTTTATTCATTGAAAAAAAGACATTTTTCCCACACAGTTTCAAATTCGTGAATTTGAATTTGAATTTGAATTAGTTTCATCAGAATCAAAACCAAAAGTCAAATATTAGTTGTCAGCCAGCCATCGATAAACATCGATTGTATCGATTTTATTATTATTATTTTTGGCGTTAAAGAATTTCTCTCTTCTGTCAACCAACCAACCAACCAAACAAACAAACTTGTCAATTCATCAGAATTTGTTCTTTCAATAAAATAAAAAACACCAAAATAGATTTTTTTTTATATATTTTAGGTTGGCACAGGTGTGCTGTTTGTGTCGGTGTTTCCCGAAATAAATTATTGGTTGGTGGTGGTGGTTCCAGTGGAATTATTGATCCCGGGAATATTTATTATTTGGGCGCCAACAGAAAACAACCAGGAAAAAAACTGATAAAAAAAATCCAATAAAGATTCAGAATTCTATCCATCCATAAATTCATCAGCGAATGTGACAAAATTGATGATGATGATTATTAATATATAAAAATATCATCATCATAAAAAAAAATATCGAGGTGACAGATGTGCTGCCTAAACACTGATGGAAATAACTTTTTTTTTTATTCGTTTGGCCGTAAAAAGTTGTTATTATTTTCATTTTCGGTTGTTTTTATGATCACAAAAATGGTGACCAGCTTTTTGGGAAAAGTTTCGGCAAGCAAAGCAAAAAATTTTTAATTAAAGTTTTTTTTCCTGAAAAATTCCTGAATTCAAAATGTAAAGAATTTTTTTGTTTTTGTTTAAATCAAGTAGAAATAGTCGAAATTGACAAAAGCCAAACACGAAAAAATTAACGATTCGCAACAACTTTTTCTGCTTGGAAATCAAGTTTTTTCCCCCCATTTTCATGTTGACTAAGGTCAATATTGAAGAAAAATACAAATTTTCGCTTGCTTTTGCTCTCGCTTGTTTGCCCTAGTGTTAAATGAACCTTTATCGATAAAAATTTTCAATAATAATAATTTGCGGCAAACAGAAAAAAAAGCGGTCATCATTTACAAATGAAGTTTGTTTGTTTCAAATCTTGACTAAATTCAACAACAACAACAAAAATTTTCTTCATTTCCGTACGTGTCATTTTCATTGATTTTTCAATGTAATTTCTCACTGAATGGACGAAAAAATTTGTGGGGGGAAAAAAGAAAAGGGAGAAAAGGTAACTAACTAACTTATGGTTTGTTCACGATTTTGTATTTCATTGATTTGATTAAGTGGTGGTGTTTGAAAAACAAAACAAAAGTGAAAAGGTGCTTTTGTGTTTGTGGATGATGATGATGATGAAAATCGATAATTATTTTAATCAATTCAAACCGTTCAATTATATTTAGGACATACAAAACCACATACATAAACAAAAATCAACGATTGATTGCAAAGAAAGTGAATGTGAAATCACTGAGAGAATGTGAACAATACATGTTATGATAATCATTGAATCAATGAAAAACTATTGATAATAATCCTTTATCGATAATTATATTAATGATATGATGGTGGATATGATGGTTAATTTATTTTCCCACAATGATTATTATTAAATTAAATTAACTTTAACTAGAATGTGATTAAAGGCTGACGATGATAAGTTTTTTATTTTTATTTTTTGGTCACATTTTATGATAATTTTTTTTTATTATAAATCAAGTAATTAATTAATAGAATTATGGATTATGTTACATATATCGTACCATATTTACATGTGTGAATGGAGTGAGTTTGGTTGGCACGTGAATTTTTTTTTTGAAATTTATAACTTTGACTAATAGTTGAGTGAGGTTAGGTTAATGACTATGGCTATGACTGTGATTCATAGTTGAGTGAGGTTAGGTTAATGACTATGACTATGGCTATGACTGTGATTCATAGTTGAGTGAGGTTAGGTTGATGACTATGACTATGACTATGATTCATAGTTGAGTGAGGTTAGGTTAAAACAATTTTTAGGAATAAAACCAAAAATCAAAAAAAAAAACTAACCTGAATTTAGTGACAAAATGTTCCAATTGATTACCACCACCAACACCAACACCATCATTATTATTTGGACCATTATTGGGTTGAATTTCTGCTGATGGAAATGTTGATAATGATGATGATGTTATCGTAGTTGATGTTATTGATTCATTATTAAATTGATTATTTTGATCAATATGATCATCATTGAATGATTGATGATAATGTCCAATATTAAAATGATTATCTTTATCAGTATTGATCATCATTGTTGTTGTTGGACCTGTATTATCACCTGTATTAATTGTTGTTGATGGTGGTGTTTGATTTAATCGTTTATCATCAATGGCATTATCAACGGGTAAATCACCATTATCATCATCATCATTGATTATCATAACCATTGTTGATTGATGTCGTCGATTTTGATCATCAACAATATCAATATTTCTGTTGTTTTGGTTATGATTTTGATTAATAGCAAATGTTTGATTTTCATTCATCATTCGATCTGGATTGATTTGATTTGATTGATTGAATCAGAAATCACAATTCAAAAAACTTTTATATTTCAAAAATGTTTAAAAACCAGTAAAAATTCAAAAATCAAAACAAAACCAGCAAAAATTCAAAACAAAACAAAAAACGGAAAATCACAAACAAAAAAAATTTCTGGAAATCGAATCAAATCAATCAAAAATCACGTTTTTCAACAACCAAATAAAAAAATTGTTCGTTTTTTTTCACCAAAAAAAACAAACACCAGCATAAACCACACATGAAATGAACAACAAAAACAAAAAAAAAACAAAATGAACAAAAACCAAATCAAACTGGATTTTATATGTCATCCATGAATGTGGAAAAAATCAAAAATCATTATTTCATTTCACTGGTTATCTCCGTTGGTTAGTTTTGTTGTTTTGGTTATCTCCGTTGTTGTTTCTTTCTTTCTTTCACAAATATATTCAGGTCGTATTACATTGATGATGATGATAACATTTTTTCTTGGTATCTTTTGTTGTTTTCTGGTAATAGCCTTTATTATCTTGTCATAATTACAACCAATTTGATGATGATCTCAATATGTGTGTTTGATTGCAATCAATCAAAGTTATTTAGTTAAGTTTTTGCTGATGATAAAATTGAAATCTTAATAGATTTTTTGGTCACAGTAGAAACACACTGAAGAAAAATAGCAAAAATATGATATGAAAAATCAGTTAATCTGTAACCACCAATTTGTTTTATTGATTTGTAAACATTGTAAAAATTTATTAATAAATTTATAATTTGGGTTAAAATAGTAAAAATTCTCTTCCGCGTTTCAAACAAATCAAATGATGGAATTTAAGAAAAATTTTTTCGAGAATTTTTTTTTCAATATTAAAGTTTTTTCAAATTGAATTGAAGTTTTTTTTTTGTTGCATTCTGTTTTGTCGGTTTTGGTCATATTTTATATGTGGATAATTTTTTCTTTCTTTCTTCGTTTCCAAAAAACTTTTCTCTATCTTTCTTTCGACTCTTTTCATATTTCTTTGCCTATTTTCTCTTTCTCTCCTCGTTTCAAACACATCCAACAAACAAGCATCCTTCATTTGTCTATAATAGACTTTACACTTTTTGTTTTCCACTGCAAACATCAAACTTAACTAAGTTGTCTTTCTCTATCTATCTTCGTTCTCTTTATGTCTGATATAATTTTCTTGAAGTTTTTTTTTTGTTTGAATTTCGCGCCAAACAAAAAAACTTGTTGCTCTACCAACCAATCCATCACCTCATTTCACATCTTATTCATCCAGTAAAAAGAGAAAAGAAACCTGATAATTACCTGGAGACTGGTTCAATCATCCTTTTAGTTTTTTTTATTATGTGATGTGATTAGGATACCTATTTCTACCTATCTAATGACATGGAATGACATACATCCAGTATTCTTATGTGTGTGACATGAATACAGAATGATGATGATTATGTCACCATAGTGAACGAATGGATAAAACAATGCAAAAAGACAAACTTACGGTAATCTTAAGAATCTAATCTTGGAGTTTTTTTTTTAAAAAGGACAATGTCCATCTTGGTATAATGATGATTACGATGATGCAAATGATGATCAAGGACAAGTTTCTCTTCAGTTTTTTTTTGTCCAGGCAAATGATGTTAATAAGGATGCAAAGGATAACCTTGTTGTTGTTGTTGTTGATCAAGATCTGTAGATTGATGGAGATGCACTGGAATCTGATGAATGATTGAAAAAAAACCCGTTAAAGTTAAGTTTGATTTTTGTTTCTGTTCTGGTAACATCAAGGGGGTTTAATCGGTCGGTCGGTCGGTTGATGAACCATTGAATGAATGAGGAAAAGAAAATTGTTTTATTCAAATCAGGAACATCTCTGGCTCTTGGTGTGTAACTTGAGGGTTAGTTCGATCAATCAATCATAATCGATAAATCGATGATGATAATCTTAGTAAACAACAAAATCTAATTTCAAACTTCAAACAAAAAAAAAATCTCTGAAAACACACACAAAAATCCAGTCAATTTTTTTGGACTTTTTTTCCAAAAATGAACATTTTGTTATTCTAAATTTGAACATTTTGTTGTTGTTGTTGTCACAGTTACAAACAACAACAACAACAATTTTTTTGCTTTTGGAGCTAACCATATTTCATAATGGATGTATTATTCATCATGTTTGTCATATCTGCATCTCTTCTATATTTGCATTTGGATAATTTTCTTCCAAAATCAAAATATTTTGCAAAAAAAATTCTCCCTTAAAATTTTTTTGTCGAAAAAACTTTTTTTTTTCAATGAAAATCTAATTTGAAAGAAAAAAGTTTCAAAAATTTTTGAATGTATCCCGGGCCAACCAATGACAAAGTGGAGAAGGCGAATTTTTGAAATTTTTGGAAACAAAATTAACAAAAAATAATAATGACATCTATTTCATTGACAGATACAGGGTGTTTTGTTTTTTTGAATGATAATTAGGAAAAAAAAGGCAAAAAAAAATCAATCATTTTGCCAATCATCACATTGGATTCCGTTCCGTCATTTATAAACGTTTCTTTTTTTGACATTTTTTTTGATTTGATTTAAATCAATACAAAATTCAAATGAAAAAGATATTGAATGGATGTCCATATATCTTTTTTTTTCGGTGTGGTCTGTGTGTCAATAAAAAGATTGATTTTTCAAAATCTTTTTTTTCCACGGTAATGTTTTCACCTTGTTTTATCTCAATCACAGTCAATCCTTAGTCATTTTTTCCTTGTTCCAAATCATGTTTTCATTTTTTTCTGTCAGCCAATTACTTTATTGATTATGTCATTTATAATTAGGCTAATTTCACTTCCTTTTAGGGTTTTCTATTCATTTTTTTTGTCTTTGGAAAAAAATCGATACTATCGATTCTTTCATGACTGTTTCTTCCTGGTTTCCAAAATCAAATCCTGTATTTTTTTTTTGATGCAAAAAATACCTGTCTACAGGTTGGATAATTGGTTGGGCACATCTTATTTATCAATTTGTTTTACCATTTATTTAATCAGACAAACGGGTAGGGGAATCAATCAAGTTTACTATTTGATAATATATGGAAACAAAGGTTTAGGTCATTAACCACCACCATCTTGATGATCATTATCATCATTATGATTATCTTAATGTTTTTAATCAAATCTTTGAAAATAACATTTCAAAAGAAAAAATCTCAACTCTCACGGTCATCATCATCATCATCGATGAACAACGTCATCGATGATTTTTTTTCGTTCGATATCGATTATTATTTATCATTTACCATCACTATCACCATTATCATTCGATTTTATTTGATGTAACTACCATGTGACCACCATTACCATTACCATCTTCAATCATATAACAATTGCATAATTGAAATTTTTTTCTTTCTTTCTATTTTTCCATCATATTTTGATTTATTTTGTCACTTGATTCGATCTATCAATCGATCGATCGATTGATTCATTATTCCATTGTTTTGTAACTGATTGATTGATTGATTGATTGTTCAATTGACAAAACAAACTGACAAAAACGATATGGCTATCATTATCATTATCGTCGTGTTATCGATGTCCTTGAAAAACCCCTTTCTTCTTTTTTGTGAGAGAAAGATGCCAAAAAAAAAACAAACATTTTTTACAAAAAATGATAATGATACCTGATGAATCGAATCGATTCGGTTCGATTGGAATTCTTTCTTTATTCATTTTTTTCATCAAAATAATTTATTACGTTGACAAAAAAAACATACAGCGCAGATACACAACGAGAAAGAGATGTAAAATTGGAAAAAATGAATGTTTCCATTTCTGGCTTGATTGGAAATGTTTTTTTTTTCAAATCTGATCGATTTGATATTGATTATAATTGAAGAAATAATGCAAGTTAGTTTTATAAACTTTCAAAGATTACGATTTGTCATTGGATTGGATTGAATTTTTGAACAACAAAAAAAAATCAATGATTTTCGGTTCGGTTGATTTCTTTCTTCCTTCAGTTTATCCAAACATCAAACGATCATCACCATAATAACAATTTGAATTGGCTCCTTACTTTCTTTTTCTTTATCAAATCATTTCAAAAAAAATTTGATCAACCAAATCAAATTATTAGTCAAAACAAATATTATTGATGATTGATTGGTCGTTGTTGATGAAGCATACAATCCTTGAATATAATCTTTTCGATGATCATTATGATGTTGTTGATTTAAGAGCTGTATGATTGAATGATAACCATTATTTGATGATGTTTGATTTTGATTATTTTTCCAATAAACTGATAATTTTTGTAAAGATTCAGCAATTACTGCATATTTCCATTCAATTTTCGCATCCTTATTGTTTTTAGCAGCCAACATTGTAATAAAACGTTTTTCCATACGAGATGCTTGAATATAGCCAAATGCATCAAAAACACCGATATGTTTTGGTTCAAATCGATCATCATCAATATCAATCTCGTAGATAAATGCATCAACATCATGTCGTATGACAAAAAATGGTAGCCTGTGATGATTATCAACATTATTCGGTATTTGACAAATCCATTGATGTGATGTTAAATCAATTTCATTCAGAATTTGACCGGATTTATTTTTGAAAACCGTCATAATTAAACAATCATAAAAATCAGGTAAATCACAATCTTCAAGTTCGAGTAAATTATTATCATCATGGTGTTGGTCAGATTTCTGATTTCGATTGATCAAATCACCTGCATCGAATTCTTTTTCTTCCGAAATAATATTCAATTCGTTCGAAATCGATTCCGGCACGATACTTCCATCGATTATTCGATTAAAAAATTTCATTCGTCCATTACTTATTACAATAAGATTATCATTGTGAATGGCAACATATTTTGGCCAATCGGATTTTAATCCATTTTCAACTAGCTGATGATAATTTTGAATAATAATTTCATTTTGTTGTTTATCAATGGTCAACCAATGTAATGATGAAACAAAACAACTTTTAAATTCATTTTTTGTTTGTTGTTGAGACTGATCACGATTGATTTTGATTATCGAACCAAGAATTATTGAAATTGTTGTATCATCGATCGAATCACCAGTATTGAATAAAAACATATGTGATGATTGTTGTTGTTGTTGTTGATTATCATCAGTCGAATCATGACGATAATCAAATGGAATCAAAGTTGTCAATGTCCAAATTTCATCAGGGAAATTTCTTTGAATAATCAATAAATTCGTAACGAAATTATTCGAATCAAAACGTTTTGAATGACAAATTATAACCGATGATCTATCGGATAAAAATGCTAACGATGCAAACGAATGGCGACGGTCATAATCTATCGAATCAAGAGGAATTTAATTGAAAATGTCTTCGCCGAAAAAAAAGATCATACCTGGTATTTGAAATAATTTTTTCAATTTTTTGCCATCCAAATAATCAACACCAATAATCGAACCTTGATCGGTAATAAAATATATTCGATCCGACGTCGATGAAGAAGATGTATCGATAAATAAATTATTTATGCTGGATATCATTGAAACATGAACAAAACTATAATCATTTTGATCCAATTCTATTGTTTGAAGTTTTTGTTGATCAAAAATCGTTTCAAACGATAATGATTCAATTTGCCATCGTTTATTATCATCATTGTTGTTACATAATCGATATGAATCAAATTGATTATTGATTAAATATCGATCAACAGGTAATTCTTTTACCATTTTTTGATTGATTATCGCGATTGGTAAACATCGATGATGATCATAATCATCATATGGAAACTATACTCACTCGGATAGATGGCGTTACAAGTCTTTTTTTAAAGATTCTTTATTTTTTTTAATAAAAAAAATGTTTTTTGTTTTGTTTTACAAAAAATTAAATAATTATTTTGGACGTTTCATTTTTAAATTACTGTAAAATGTATCGACAAATTTATCGGTCAAATCTAATTTATCAGCCATATATGCTAATGGTATAAGATTTTCCGGAATATTTGGTTTCGAACGTGTACCACCTAATGATTCGGGTAATTCATTTCGTTCCATCATTTCGAGTAATTCTTTGGATTTTTGATACGTAAGAATTTCTTTCAATTTTGGATTCAAAAAATTGATTATGATTGTCATCACTGGGTTGAGAATCCATGGCAAATCAACGATAAGAATTTTTTTCAAACTACTTGGATAATTTTCAACAATAGTCATTTTGAATTTGATCAAATCCATATTTACATTGGATGGACCAGCACCACCAGCATCGATCAACATAATGAAACCTGATTGACCAGCCATACGATCAACACGTTCAAGCATATGGGCAATAAATTGTTTTGGTAATTCTTTCAGCTCTTTATATGTACGTTGATTACGAAATGCTTCCATTTGTACGAAAGTACCATCTTTAGCACGAGCACAATCAGCCAATTCCCACAGTTCTTTTGGAAACATATCATCTTTACGATCATGAACACCGAATTCTTTTTTCCAACGATAACATCGTATCATTGCATCGAATGCAACTTGCATATCGCAATTATATTCAATTAAAAAACGTCTTACTTCCCATTCTTCTTCACCGATACGTTTTACATCGATTTCATGATACAATCCGGGATTTTTTTCCACTTCTTCTTGCAGAAAACGTTGACGAAGTTTTACAATCGATTCTTCGGTCGGTTGTTGCTGATTGGTGTTGGCCATTATTGTTTGTAGAATTTGACGAAAAAACAAAAATCAAAAAATCAATCAATAAATCAATTGTAACCTGATCGATCAGCCTTTTTATTCTCAACAGAAAAAACCGTTTTCATTAAGATCAATCAATAGGTCCACACACACGCAACCAGATTAAGATTAGATTAAATTAGATTTAGATAATCTTTAATTATTGAAAAACAAGTAATTTAGGATTAGTAAGGTATGTTTGCCAAAAAAATAGATCATTTTTTCTAATTAAATTTTTGAAATGATACTTGAATTTGTTTTGAGGGGAACAACAGAAATGACATTAATTGAATGAAAACTTATCGATTAACATTGAAGGATTTTCTTTCTTTTTAAAAAAATAAATCTTTAATTATCCTTGATGGTGGTGGTGTTGTTAACATTCCAAATAAATCGATTACATGGCAACTATCATCACCATCGATCGATCGATCGATGGATACAAACAATCGATTTACAGATTAATCGACCGTTGTTGATGATAATGGTGGTGGTAATTGTATATTGAAAAATTTATAAATCAAATTTATCAATTCTTGATCAAAACCTAATTCATTGGCCATATATGCTAATGGTTTTGTATTTTCAATTTTGACCATCGATGATTGTTGTTCATCACCATCATCGATTGTTGTTCTTAATGTTTTTGGTAAATTTTCCGGTTCGAATAATTGTCGAACATTTTTCAATTCCAAATATTGAATTAATTGACGAAATTTTGGATATAAAAAATTTACAACAATCGGTAAAAATGGCCGTACAATCCATGGACAATTTACCAACCAAATTTGTTTTAAACCACCCGGAAAATAATCCGAAACAATCATTTGAAATTCAATCAGTTCAAAATTAACATTATGATGTCGAGCATCGGTTAAATCTTTCAAGGCAATAAATCCATTTTCACCTGCTTGACGATCAATTTTTTCCAAGCAATGTCCAATAAATTCCAATTGTAATTGTTGTAATTGATTGAATTTTTTTTGATAACGTAAAACTTCAACAACAACAAATTGTCCATCGATTGTTTTGATTATTTCAACACCAGATAATTGCCAAAATTCACGTGGAAATGATTGATCCGAACGATTATGTAGACCGAATTTTTGTCGCCAACGATATGATTCACGCATTGAATCGAATGCTAGATTTTCATTCCAATTCGAAGCGATTAGAAATCGTTTAACCGACCAATCCTCATGGCGGATACGTTCAATATCAATCGGATGATATTCATCTGGGTGGATTTGAATTTCCGTTTCTAAAAAACGTTTTCGTAGTTTTTCCACAGCATCGGCCGATGAATCTGAAGAATCTGATGATACAATCGTCATTATCGTGGGAAAGTTTTTGTCAACAACAAAAATGAAAAGTTTTCGAAAAAATCAAAAAATTTTCAATTTTTATAATCAAAAAACCAGAAAAAATTGTTTATTTTATCATCATCCTCATCGATTAATTTTTTGTCAATAAGGAAAAATCAGAACAACAACAACAACATTTGTTTGATCAATCAATCAAACATTGATTGACTGATTATGAATTATTATATGTCAATGATCTAAATTCAATAATAATAAGATAATGTGAAAAAAATGTGACAAATCAAAGTTCAATCAATAAAACTAAAAACTTTTACTACTGAAAATTGAATGAAGAAAATAACTAGAAAAATGTTCACGAAATTCAATTATTCTGTTGATTTTCTTTTGATTGTTTTTCTAACATTGCATTCAATTGATCACTTTCACGACGTTGATGTGCTAAATGTCTAGTTTTTATACCAAACATATGTATTAAAATTGTTGTAAAAAATCCAATAATTTTTCTATTCTTTCTCCAATGTACAGCAACCAATTGTTGTTGTTGTCGTTGTTTTTGCTGCTGCAGTTGTTGTTGTTGTAGTTTTTGTTGTTTATCAACAAATTTTTTCGGATAAACATTTGCTGCTTTCATCATTTGACTAGGAGAATTGAAAAGTAAAAAATCAATCAAAAATTTTAAAAAAGAATCCACAATAAAAATACCTATTATAAACATCGATCAATTTGGAAAATTTTCCACGAGCATTTATTCGAGAATCATCCAATACCTGATAATTGCCATTATTACCATTATTAATATCAAATTCATTGTAAATATTTTCGAAAAAATGTTCCTCCCCATTAATGAAAATATCATCCAAATCATATGCATGAATTAAATCACGAACAGCTTGTTTATCAAGAAATTTTTGTATACCATTATGAATGAATTCATTCAATTCATGTTCACGTATCCAAATATGATTATAATTTTCCAGTTTTGTACGAAAAAATTCTGTTGGTGATGGTGACCGTCCACGATCATAAATACCATTAACACCATTAGCACGTTGTAATAAATATGAATCATTTGAATGTGTTGACATTGATGATATTGAACGTTGAGCATCTAATTTTGCTGCTGCAATTGTTGATGTCATTGTTATTGTTGTTGGTGATGATGACATTTGATGATGATGAAAATGTTGTCGATGTTCCATAATGTGGATTGTAGTTGATTGATTGAACGAAACAATCCCAATGAATGAATGAATCATATCGATGGAACAATCTATCAAAGACAGAAAAAAAACCTTGATCTTGAGAGAAAAAAAAACCAAAGTAATAATAATTAAATTAATTACCTTTTCCAATTCGCAAACAAAATTAATTGAATAAAAACTTGAAACAATATTGTTCCAAATTCTATATAGGAAAAGCATTTAGTTTTTTTGGTTAGTAAAAATATTCGATCGAACGAACGAACGGAAAAAAATGATCAAAGTTTCCTTATTGTTACTAATGGTAACAATATCGATTATATCAACATCAGGATTATTACAACATCGAATACGAAAAAGATCAATAATGAATGAATTTTGTCAACAAACAACATTGGATAATATATTTGTATTGGATACAATAGAATATTATCAACATATTGAACATTTTTGGTATTCAATTTATAATATTGGTGGTGATCATAGAAAAGATCATAATGATAATGATAACCATATTGATAATGAACATACTGATGATGATTATGAATATTTTAATCATTCATCACCATTACCGGATTCACGTATACGACAATTATATTATGGAAGTTTAGGACGATCAACATTTCATTCGAATGATAATATCAAAGGTTTCAGTGGATTTATGTTTTTTGAAAATATGGGACAAATATTTTTACATGGTGAATTTGTTCTAATTAGCCGATCGTTAATTAATGGACAATTTGACTATATTATTGGCCATAAAGATTTAAAAACTGGTCATTATCATGTTGATTTTCGTTCGAATGATCAGAACCAAAATCAAACACAAAAACAACAAAATTTAGCAATTTTTATGCAATGGTTATTACCAAATCCAAAATTAACAACGGATTTAACAATGTATCTGGATTCACAAGCAAAATCCTTATATGTTATAATGGTGGCTTCAAAAGATTATTCAATGAATACAAAAACATCATTCATCATATCAATATATGATTTAAATAAACCATCAGTAGGAGATATTGTTGGTAGTAAAAAAAATTATCCTGGTTTCGAAGATACCAAAACAATTATCGGTAATTTCTATGAAATTGAAAATAATGATAAAAAGTTAAAATTTTTAACATTAGAAACTGACCTTACATATGCTACGTATGATAAACAAGGTGAATTTATTTTGCCAAGGGTAAGTGTGTGTTTAATGTGTTTTGATACAAGTTCATTATAGAAAAAATCAATTTCAAAATTAGGATCGATACAAAACAATAAGCGATGTAATGGTATCATTATTTAAATGTGGCACAAAACATCATGATAAACATGTTAATAAATCCAAATCATCATCATCATCGACGATTACATCAGCCGAATTAAATCATTATTCCTATTATATTAATTTTTTTCTCGGTGCTGTAAATTTTACATTATTATTAACAGCTTGTATGATACCATATTTTAGTCGAGCACGGCGAAAAAAACAACAACCACATTATCCAGTGCAAACATATTAAAAAAATTTGATTTTAACAATAAAATTCTTCTCAATTTTTTATTTCGAATTTTTCCTTTTTTTTTCACTTTTTTTGAATGAACATTTGCTGCTTACATCATTTGACTAAAATGACGGGAATCAAAAATCAAAATTAATAATACACAGAAAAGGAAAAAAATAATCAAAAGAAAAACCTTGATCTTGAGAAAACAAATACCAAGTAACAATATAATTAAATTAATTACCTTTTCAAATTCGCAAACAAAATTATAATTAAATAAAATAATAAAAAACTTGAAACAATTTTGTTCAAAATTCTATATAAGGAATAACATTTGGTTCGATCATTTTTGTTTTAGGTAAAACATTCGATCGATCGAACGAACGTAAAAAATGATTCCATCATTGACATTGTTGCTAATGGTAACAATATCGATTGTATCAACATCAGGATTACATCATCGAATAAAAAAAAGATCATCATCGTTATCGGTGGATGAATTTTGTCAACAAACAACATTTGATAATATGTTTGTATTCGATAGAATACAATATTATCATCATATTGATCGATTTTGGTATTCAGTATATGATGAGGTTCTTAACAAATATTATGATGATGATGATGATGACCATAGAAAAGATGATGATGATGACAATACTGATGATGATTATGAATATTTTAATCATTCATCACCATTACTAGATTCACGTATACAACAATTATATTATGGAAGTTTAGGACGATCAATATTTCATTCGCAAGCTAATTTTTATACGAAAGGTTTCAGTGGATTTATGTTTTTTGAAAATATGGGAAAAATATTTTTACATGGTGAATTTGTTCTAATGAGCCGATCATTAGTTAATGGAAAATTTGTCTTTATTATTGGCCATAAAGATTTAAAAACTGGTCATTATCATGTTGATTATCGATCGATTGATCAAAACGCAAACAATAACAATAATAATGATACAATGAAAACACAGCCAAAAAATTTGGTAATTTTAATTGAATGGATATTACCGAATACAAAATTGGCTACAGATTTAACAATGTATTTAGATTGTCAAACAAAATTATTATTTTCTATAATGCATACTTCAAAAGAATATTCAACCCAACCTTCGGCAGCATACATTATTGAAAAATATGATTTAAATTTACCAACAATCAATGAAATTATTAATAGTAAAAAAATTATAATGGGTTTCTTTGATACCAAAATAATTATCGGTAATTTTTATGAAATGGAATTGAATAAAATGCAATCAAAAGTTCTTGCAATAGAAAACAATCATATAATTGGTGTGCATTCATTACGATCTGATGATATGGTTGGATTAAGGGTGAGTGTGTGTGTGTGTATCTAAATTTATTTAAAAAATCAATTTCAAATTTAGAATAAATACAAAAAAATGAGCGATGTGATGGCATTTGTTTTCAATTGTGGCCAAAAACATGATCATATAATGATTGATAAATCCAAATTATCATCATCGATTTCATCAACCGAATTGAATCGTTATTCCTATTATATTAATTTTTTTCTTGGTGCTTTAAATTTTACATTATTATCAACAGCTTGTATGATACCATATTTTGGTCGAACAAGGCGAAAAAAACAAAAACAACAACGACCACGGCTAATTCGTTATTCAATGTAAAAAAAAATCTAATTAACTATTTCAAAATAAAATTTTCAATTTTCCACTTTTTTTGTCAATTTCGAATTTCGACGGAAAAGTTTCCGAATTTTTCTTTTGAAAAAGAAAGTTTCCAATAACATATTGCATGTGCACAGCATTCGACATATCGAATTCAAGAGAAAAGTGTGGTTTGCACGCCATCAAAAAAAGCATGTAAATGTGTTAGCGATTGACGTGCAAACTTCAAAAAAAAAATTGACGTGTTCAAACCACTCTTTTTTCTCAGTGTCTGTATTTAGAAAAACATAAATGTTTCTTGAGTCACAACTTCCTTTTCTAGTTATTTTTGTTGTTTCTTTAAAAATTTCATAATTTCAATTTTGTTTTTTCTAAATTTCATCATCTTTTTGAAATACAATCGATTCATTCATTCAATTTGCAATTCAGGAATAATGCATCGACCATCAAAAGCTACAACTGATAATAGTCGTCGCATGATTGATACCACCGCATCAACATCAAATCATAATCAACGAAAAATTCACGATGATAAAGTTGCTATGCAAAAAAAATGCATTTCAATCGATATGAAAGTTGATGCAATCGATTTGAGTGCATATGATGCAACTACATTGGATGATTTGAATAAACATCGTTCAGAATTGAATGAACAAAATCTTCTTCATAAAGAATTGGTTCGAACGATTTTTAAACAGAAAAATGTTGAACAATCATTGATAGCGATTGTTAAACAATTGGGTAAAAAAATTGAACAATATGNATATTAATTTTTTTCTCGGTGCTTTAAATTTTACATTATTATCAACAGCTTGTATGATACCATATTTTGGTCGAACAAGGCGAAAAAAACAAAAACAACAACGACCACGGCTAATTCGTTATTCAATGTAAAAAAAAATCTAATTAACATTTTCAAAATAAAATTTTCAATTTTCCAATTTTTTTGTCAATTTCGAATTTCGACGGAAAATTTTCCGAATTTTTCTTTTGAAAAAAAAAAGAAATTTTACAACAGCATTCGACATAACGAATTTGAGTAATGCATGCGCAGAGAAAAACATTAATGTTTCTTGAGTCACAACTTCCTTTGCTCGTTTTTTGTTGTTGCTTTTGTTAATAACAAAAATTTCAAAATTTCATCATCTTTTTGAAACACAATCGATTCAATCTGCAATTCAGGAATAATGCATCGATCATCAAAAGCTACAACTGATGATAATCGTCGCATGATTGGTACCACCGCGACAACATCGAATCATAAATCAAATCAACGAAAAATTCACGATGATAAATTTGCTTTGCAAAAAAAATGCATTTCAATCGATATGAAAGTTGATGCAATCGATATGAGTGCATATGATGCAACTACATTGGATGATTTGTATAAACATCGTTCAGAATTGAATGAACAAAATCTTCTTCATAACGAATTGGTTCGAACGATTTTTACTCAGAAAAATGTTGAACAATCATTGATAGCGATTGTTAAACAATTGGGTGAAAAAATTGAACAATATGATGATAAAATTTTGAAAAAAATCAAAATTTTGAAACAAAATGGAATTCCCATTGATTGGAAACAATCAAAATCATTATCATCATCAACAACAACAACGTCGACATCGACATTGACATCGACATCACCTTTATTATTGGAACCAACTTTGTTGCCGAATCCATCATCATCCGGATCTGAATCACGATCATCATCACCGTCGCGACCACCACCGCCATCAAAGGATAAATCATGGTCAAATTATTTTAACGATCCAAAATTGAATCGAAAGGAAATTGAAAATCTTGTTCCATCAAATCGACGTAATGATAATTTTACCGGAAAAAAACAATTATCATTTCAATCAAATTCAATGAAAACATCAGATTCATACAAATCCAATCATTTCAATGAATTTGAACAGATATTAAAAAATCGTAATAAATTTTTTGGTTTTGATTCAAATTTTGATGATGAGCATTTCATTATCAATGTACGATTGGCCAATGGTGGTGATCTAATTTTTGATGATAATCCTGATCCAACCACTGTTGAATCATGTGTGGCAAATCCTGCAACTGATTGGCCGAAGAATATGAAAAATTTCATTCGTCAATATCATCAATTACCAGCACATCATTTCATTGATCAATTTCAAAAATCGCTTTCACACCAATTATTATTTTTATCATTGGATAATCGTATTAAATTATTTAATTCAATGTTGGATGAATTGGCATCTAATTATCCGGATGAACATGATCAATTGATTGTGCCATTTATCAAAATTGCCGAAATCATACGTATATCACGACCACAATTACATATTATGGAATGGGCACGTGATAAAATTTTTGCCGGTATTTATAGTGATATTGTTGATTATCGCCATTTACATCGACTAATCGATCAACGTCAAAATCAATCAATCAAATCAACATTAAAAGAATCATTGGAAATAAAAAAACTTGAATCATTGAAATGTTACCGCGGTACATTAAATTTGATCGGTACTATATACAATGAAAGTATATCAACACCGAACAAAGATATCTTTGAAATTTTCTGTTCTTTATCCAAACATTCAACCAAACAAAATCGTGAAATTTATCTGGAATTATTGACCGATTTCATTTTGTTGGTAGGACCAAAATATTTTTCATCATTATCCAAAGGTAATGATGAAAAATATCAAATGGATAGAATATTAATGGAATTTAAACATTCGAAAGCTGAATATCCTGATCATTTGAAATCAAAGTAAGTTGGACAAAAATGAATGATTCAAATCAAATCAATGATTTCTTTTTTCTATTTATTTTCTTACATAGACGAACCATGGTCATCAATATGATAGAAAATAAAATGATTCGTCGTCCGAACAATTTATAAACAACCCCATCTTCATTCCATCTTAACAATGATTGTAAAAAGATTATTCAATGTTGAAAAATTTAACATTTTCAAAATAAAATTTTCAATTTTAAAATTTCGAATTTCGCATTTTTTTTTCGTTTTCGACGGAAAAGTTCCCGAATTTTTCTTTTGGAAAAAAAATTTTCCAATAAAATTGCTTGTACACAGCATTCGACATATCGAATTTGAGTAATGCATGCGCAGAGAAAAACATTTATGTATTTTTAGTCACAACTTCCTTTTCTCGTTATTTTTGTTGTTGTTGCTTTTGTTAATTACAAAAATTTCGAAATTTTAAAATTTCTTTATCTTTTTGCAAACACAATCGTTTCATTAATTCATTCAACCTGACAATTCAGGAATAATCATGCATCGACGATCAAAAGCTAGAATCAGCACTAATAATAATCGTCGCATGAGTGGTACCACCGCGACAACATCGAATCATAAATCGAATCAACGAAAAATTCACGATGATAAATTTGCTATTCAAAAAAAATGCATTTCAATCGATATGAAAGTTGATGAAATCGATATGAGTGCATACGATGCAAATACGTTGGACGATTTAAATAAACATCGTTTGGAATTAAATGAACAAAATATTCTTTATAAAGAATTGGTTCAAACAATTTTCACACAGAAAAATGTTGAAAAGCCATTGATAGCGATCGTTCAACAATTGGGTGAAAAAATTAAACAATATGATGATAAAATTTCGAAAAAATTCCAAAGTTTAAAACAAAATGGAATTCCCATTGATTCGAAACAATCATCATCATCATCATCAACAACAACAACAACAACATCGACGTCGTCATCGACATCGCAACGACGGCCTTTATTATCGAAACCAACAACAAATAGTAATGATGATGAACAATCATCCATCGCCAATATGAAAATTAATCAAAATTGTTCCAATATTCGCTCATCTTCTGGACCTGAATCACGATCACCATCACCGTCACTACCACCACCACCATCTAAGGATAAATCATCTTGCTCAAAATATTTTGCCCATCCAAAATCGAATCGAAATGAAAATGTTGATCCATCAAATCGTCGTAATCGGCGTAATGATAATTTTTCCGAACAAAAACAATTATCATTTCAATCAAATTCAATGAAAACATCAAATTTACACAAATCCAACAATGGTATCAATAAATTGGAACAAGTATTAAAAAATAAAAATAATTTTGTTGGTGTTGATTCAAATTTTGATGATGATGATTTCAATAGCAATGTACGATTGGCTAATGGTGGTGATTTGATTTTTGATGATAATCCTGATCCAACCGCTGTTGAACCATGTGTGGCAAATCCTGAAACTGATTGGGTAATGAATATGAAAAATTTTATTCATCAATATTATCAATTACCGGCACATCGTTTCATTGATCAATTTCGACGTTCTCGGTCACAAAAATTATTGTATTTGTCATTGGATGATCGGATTGAATTATTCAATTCAATGTTAGATGATTTGGCATCCAATTATCCGGATGAGCATGATCAATTAATCGTGCCATTTATCAAAATTGCCGAAATCATACGTATATCACGACCACAATTGCATATTATGGAATGGGCACGTGATAAAATTTTTGCCGGCCTTTATGGTGATATTGTTAATTATCGTGATTTACCACAACAAATTGATCAATGTCAAGATGAAGTAATCAAATCAACATTGATAGAATCATTCGAAATGAAAAAAAGTGAATCACTGAAATGTTACCGCGGTACATTAAATATAATTGGTACAATGTACAATAAAAGCATTTCACGCCCAAATAAAGATATTCATGAAATTTTCCGTTATTTATCCAAACAATCAACCAAACAGAATTGTGAAATTTATTTGGAGTTATTGACGGATTTTATTTTGTTGGTCGGACCAAAATTTTTATCATCATCATCGAATGATAAAAATCGTTTAACCATTACACAAATGGATGAAATATTAATGAAATTTAAACATTCATCATCATCATCATCATCGAATGATGATTATTTGGAATCAAAGTAAGTTGGACAAAAATTTATTGATTCAAATCAAAGTAATAATTTCTTATTTTTTTTTGCATAGACGAAGCATGGTAATCAATCTGATAGAAAAACAAATGAAATTGATGATTCGTAATCCAAATAATTTATGAACAATTTTTTTTTCATTTCCTTTCTTTCATCTGTTAACAAATCCAAATTCGTTTGATCATTCATATTTACTATTTTGACATTAATTTGGCTTAATTAAAAATTTTTCTGACAAAAATATCAAAAAAATTTCTCGGCAAAATTTTTTGAAAACTTTTTCGAATTTCGTTTTTCTTTTTTCGTTCGATTTAATCATGCATCATCATGCTCGAATAGGACATGCGTATTTTCAAATAAAAACCTTATTTCTGAATGGTGCCATCGCTCAGCACACACACACACTAAAATTCGTTGTTTTGTTTTTCTGTTTTTTTGTTTTTCCTTTTTTCGTTTTGTTTCGTCATTTTTCGATTTTATATTTTTCAAACACACAAAAATGCCAACTCATTACACAAACAACAACACAAAATAAAAAATTTTAATTTCAAACGAAATTTTGTCAACAATGATTGTAAATATTTACCCGGACATCGTTTATTGATCAATTTCGACGATCACGGCCACAAAAATTATTGTATTTATCTTTGAAATGTTATCGCGGTACATTAAAGGGTATCCTTGAATAAGATGGGTGAATTCTCCATGTTAACCAACCATTTTTTCTTCATCAGGTGTTCCAGGAAAATAATTTGAAGTGATGAAAATTAACCCAAACGCACCCACATTCGTTGGATGATTTGAATAAACATCGTTCAGAATTGAATGAACAAAATCTTCTTCATAAAGAATTGGTTCGAACGATTTTTACACAGAAAAATGTTGAACAAATATTTTTCATCATTATCTTTCAAAAGGATGTAATATTAATGGAATTTAAACATTCGAAAGCTAAATGACCTGATTATTTGAAATCAAAGTAAGTTGGACAAAAATGAATGATTCAAATCAAATCAATGATTTCTTTTTTCTATTTATTTTCTTACATAGACGAACCATGGTCATCAATATGATAGAAAATAAAATGATTCGTCGTCCGAACAATTTATAAACAAAACACTGATTATGGGCCAATTTTTTGCTTAATGCAACCTCATCTTCATTCCATCTTAACAATGATTGTAAAAACATTATTCAATGTTAAAAAATTATAAATTTTCAAAATAAAATTTTCAATTTTCCACTTTAAAATTTCGAATTTCGCATTTTTTTTTTCGTTTTCGACGGAAAAGTTCCCGAATTTTTCTTTTGGAAAAAAAAAATTTTCCAATAAAATTGCATGTACACAGCATTCGACATATCGAATTTGAGTAATGCATGCACAGAGAAAAACATTAATGTGTTTTGAGTCACAACTTCCTTTGCTCGTTTTTTGTTGTTGTTGCTTTCGTTTAGGACACAAGCAATTTTCTTTCGAAATTTCTTAATTTCAATTTTGTTTTTCAAAATTTCTTTTTCTTTTTTGAAACACAATCTCGATTCATTTATTCAATATGATAATTCAGCAATAATGGATCGACGATCAAAAGCTACAAATGATAATAATCGTGGCATGGATGGTACCACCATGGCGTCAACATTGAATCATAATCAACTAAAAATTCACGATGATAAATTTGTTTTGCAAAAAAAATGTATTTCAATCGATTTGAAAGTTGATGAAATCGATATGATGCAACTACGATGGATGATTTGAATAAACATCGTTCCGAATTGGATGAACAAAATCTTCTTCATAAAGAATTGGTTCGAACGATTTTTACTCAGAAAAATGTTGAACAACCATTGATAGTGATTGTTCAAAAATTGGGTGAGAAAATCCAACAATATGATGATAAAATTTTGAAAAAAATCAAAATTTTAAAACAAAATGGAATTCCTATTGATTTGAAACAATCATCATCATCATCATCATCATCATCTGACTCTGAAATTGGATCACGATCACCATCACTGCCGCCGCCGCCACCACCACCACCATCAAAGGATAAATCATCATGGTCAAATTATTTTACCGATCCAAAATCGAATCGAAATGAAATTGAAAATGTTGTTCCATCGAATCGTGGTTCAAATTGTTTGAAACAAGTATTAAAAAATGAAAATAATTTTGTTAGTGTTGATTCAAGCTTTGATAAATTCAAATCGATTACATCAGCGAATTAAATCATTATTCCTATTATATTAATTCTCATTATTATCAACAGCTTGTAACAATAATTTTCAACAATGATTGTTTTATAAAAATTGAAATGAATAGATAAAATATTTGTTTTTTCAAAATCGACTCTTTTTCTCAATCCGATAATAAAACTCAATAAAATTGTTTTGTTTTTCAACAGCTTGTATGATTGCCATATTTTAGTCGAACAAGGCGAAAAAAACAACAACGACCACGGCAACATCATTATTCAATGTAGAAAAAATTCTATTTAACATTTTCAAAATAAAATTTTCAATTTTCCAATTTTTAATTTTTAATTTTTAATTTGTTTTTTTTCGTTTTCGACGGAAAAGTTCCCGAATTTTTCTTTTGGAAAAAAAAGAAATTTTCCAATAAAATTGCATGTTTACAGAACATTGTTCGAGTACTGCATGCGCATGCGCAGAGAAAAACATTAATGTATTTTGAGTCACAACTTCCTTTTCTCGTTATTTTTGTTGTTGTTGCTCGTGTTGATAAGATTTTTCTTTCGAAATTTTTAAATTGTGTTTTTCAAAATTTCTTTTTTTTTGAAACAATCAATTCATTCAGTTACAATGCATCGACGATCAAAAGCTAGAGCTACAATTGATAATAATCGTCGAATGAGTGGTACATCGAATCATCAAAAAAATCACGATGATAAATTTTCTATGCAAAAAAAATGTATCGCTATCGATTTGAAAGTTGATGAAATCGAAATGAGTGCATATGAAACAACAACGTTGGAAGATTTAAATAAACTTCGTTCCCAATTGGATGAACAAAATCATCTTTATAAAGAATTGGTTCAAACCATTTTCACACAGAAAAATGTTGAAAAGCCATTGATAGCGATCGTTCAACAATTGGGTGAAAAAATTAAACAATATGATGATAAAATTTCGAAAAAATTCCAAAGTTTAAAACAAAATGGAATTCCCATTGATTCGAAACAATCATCATCATCATCATCAACAACAACAACAACAACATCGACGTCGTCATCGACATCGCAACGACGGCCTTTATTATCGAATCCAACAACAAATAGAAATGATGATGAACAATTATCCATCGCCAATATCAAAATCCATCAAAATCGTTTAAATATT